TATAGTCAGATGATAGACACACGCACGAAGGGTATTATATATATACAGTACTAGTGAAGAAAACAAACGCTTCACAAGGAAACACACAAACTCAAATTCCATTCCATTCCATTCCATCAATATCTCATCAGTCATTTGGCATAAAAAACAAAACGGCATTCAAGATGCAACTCAGTAAGCATCAAGCTGGTACGAGCCCATCTTCCTCGGCGGCACCTTTGCCTGAAACATGCGGTCAATCTCATCAAACGTGCGGCCCTTGAGCTCCGGCACAAAGAACCAGCTCCAGGCCGTGGCAATGAGCGCCAGCCCGCCAAAGATGAAGCCGACCTTGCCCTTGAGATTGGCCTCGTCCGGGTTCACCATGTAGGGGATCGCAAAGTTGAAGGCGATGCCCATGACGGCCTGCGTGGCGGTGGCGAGGGCAATAGTTGGAGCACGCAGAGAAGTGCTGCTCGTCTCGCCCAGGATGGCAAAGGCCATGGCGCCCAGGCCGACGTAGTAGAAGAAGGCGTAGACGACGGTGAGCGAGGACTGCACCCACTTGGCGCCGCTGGTGGGCACGACGTCCATGATGCCGATGAGGAAGAGGATCACGGTCAAGATGCACATGCAGCCGACGAAGATGCGGCGGCGGCCAAACGAGTTCATGATGATCCAGCTGAGGATGTTGCCGGCGAGGCCGCAGGCCGTGACGCCGATGCCCAGGTCGAAACTCTTCTCGGTGGGCAGACCGGCCAGCTCGAAGAAGTAGGTCGAGAAGCCCAGCACGAAGATGATGCCGGTGAAGTGCTGGCACACGAAGACGCCCATGGAGATGAGGGTGCGCACCAGATTGGTGCTCTTGAAGCACTGCACGAAGCTGCCCTGCTCCGAGCCGGACGCCTCTTCCTCGGCGATGGTGGCCTCGAGCGTGGCCAGCTTGGCGTCGATGTCGACGCTGGCGCCGTACAGCTTGCGCAGCGCCTTCTTGGCCTGCTCTCGCTTGCCGACACGGGCGAGATGCCAGGGAGTCTCGGGCGCAAAGGGCAGCAGCACCAGCAGGAACGCGCAGAAGAAGAGCTGGATGGCAAACGGCGCGCGGTACGCCCACCGGCTCTCCCACCCGCCAAAGCCCTTGATGGCCACATTCGACAGCAACTGGCCCGTGCCGATGCCAAACTGCACGCCCGCCGTGGCAATGCCGCGAAACGCAACCGGCGCGCACTCGGACGACGCCAGCGGCGACAGCGTCAGGTAGAAGCCCAGCCCAAAGCCCAGGATCAGCTTGGACACCAGAAACGCGCCCTTGACGCTGGAGAACATCTCGCCAAAGATGCCGCCCGCGACGACGGCGACGCCCATGAGCAGCGCGGCCTTGCGGCCCCAGCGGTCGGCGACCCAAGAACATGCGAAGCCGCCGAAGAACTGGCCGATGGAGGAGACGGTGTTGAAGGCGGACTGCCAGTCGGCGGGGAGGACGGCCTTGCCTTGGTAGATGTAGCCAAAGTCGCGGCGGAAGGCTTCGACGGAGAGCATGCCGCCGTTGACTTGGGCGTCGAAGCCCCTGTGATGACATGTTAGCTTATACATTTGACATGTAGATGAGATGAGATGAGATGAGAGCATGAGATGATGTTGTGAAAAGACTTGAGATTCGAGACTCACCAACCAACTCCCGCCATGGCCCAGTAAAAGGCCCAAAACACCAGCGCCGGGTGCTTCACAAACACCTCTTTCACCGTCAACTCGTGCTCCCGCTGGATGTCGACGCGCACCGTGTCGTCCTTGGGGCTGCTGAACTCGTCCACGCCCGAGACGTGAGTCTCCAGCGGAGCGCCGACGCGCTTCTCGTCTTCGGAAAGGCCCATTGCCTCGGCTTATCTCACTGATACAAGACACAAGAGCAAGAGGAATTAAGAAAAAAAGAGACAATTGATGGAATTGCCTACAAGTTGGCCGATACCATAATATCGAAAACAAGAACCAAAAAAGAGAGGGGTGATTGGATGTTCATATAGTAGTTACCACTTTTGAGGGGGCCGAAATTTAAACGTGGTGTGAAACATGGAAGACAATAATCAATCAATTGTACTCGGCACTAAGTCTGTACATGGGGGATAGGATAGGATGGGATGGTTGATTCAACAAGGATGGGGTAAACAGAAGCCAAGCCTTGTCCACTCCAGTCCACTCCAGTCCAGTCCCGTGGTGTTTGATGCATCCAGATTGATTCCGGCTGCATATGCACCATGCACGGGCAAGCCTGGGGAAAAAGAGTCACCCTCCACAGAGAATTAGAGAACAATGTGCCTGTTTCGGACCGATTCCGTGATTGGTAGCGGCTAAAGAGAGAGAGACACACACAAAAGAGTAGGGTTAGTGAAGAAGTAGAGAGAAAAAGCAGTATACTTTTGCTAGCTGTTTGGTAAACGCAAAAGAACTTGTATTACGGCCTAGGACCAGGTAGGCGGGTAAGCCGATTCAAAAGTGGGAAAAAAGGGGATGAAAAGAGAGAGAGAGAGAGAGCATTGAAGAGTTGAGTAATATTGACACCAGCTCTAGCCGGATCGAGCCCGTGTTGTATCCCGGCTTGCTGTCAAGTCCTAGGCTGACGACGCTGATTCTATTGGCAAAGCAGTAGGTATTCTTGTTCACGATTCTACGCGTATTATGAAGTTATGGAAGTTGCCTTCACTCATCACTTGATTGGTACTGAAGGAATGATTTTGTTGAGGCCCATGTCTCTTTTTGTTGTAGATGGAGAGGCTGCTCCTCTCTTTAGCAACGGTGAGGCTGTACCTGCTTTCGCCACGGCGGCAGGGGGATTTCTTAACCATTAAACTCAGTACTGTAAGGGCGTGCAGTGCTAGTGAGAGATGCTAGCATTTACAAATTAGTGGTTTGGGCGTAGCTGACAGCCTTCCCAGCCTCTTACAATGTCTCAATCAGTCGTTTCATTTCCAACCTCTGGAGCTGTTACAGCCTCTTTTATCGCGCGCTCATTCAAATTAGGAGATTCATGCTGCTTCATACTAGTTATCAAGATGATCATATTGAACAACATCACAAACAGCATTTCACAGACTGTATCAACGTGACAACCACAGCTCTGTAACTTGGAATGCAAAACCAAGTTATCTATTCAGCGTATCCAAATAGGCTAGATAGGGTGAGAATATAGCACACGCAAAACGAGGCACAGTTTTCACACGGTGAGCCGACTATAGCCAGAGCGGTCTAAATGCAAACCTGCACCACAGTGGAGTCTGTAGCACCAGACAGGGAACAAGGTCCGGGGGAAAAGGTCCAAAAGAGTCTGGGGTGCAGCAACAGAAAAAAAAAAAGAATCGAGTTAAAAAGTTGGCGATGCGAGCAGAAAATGCGGAGGGCGACGCTCCCCGGCCGATTGTGCGATGATGGAGATGCCTCTTGAGATTCAACTAACACACACACTTTCCAAGTCCAACACGCCGCGACGTGGCGATTGGCTGCGTTCCCCTGGAATGGCTGCAGTGGCGTGTCTTTGCCGCCGTGGGGTAAAAAGGGAAAGGGAAGAAACGCTAGTTGATTCTTTAGCAGCTGGCCAGTGCGGGGATATGGCCTGGGAGGAGAAAAAGAGGGAGGGATGCGTTGACGGTGGGCAGATGATCTGGAGAGATGCAGGCACGCAGATGCCCAAGGTACACAAATAGTGAAGCAACATAGACGACAATCACTCCTACTGCTACCTCTCTAACACCTACAGCAAATTATTCGCCACTGAAATGCCATGCCCCGACGGTCAAATTCTTTGTTCTATCGACGTTGCGCCCGTCGGAAGTGATAGCCGTGGGTGGCATCAACTCAACAGCGTGATTGATGTGATGCCCCAGCCAAGATTATGCCGTGCAACGCGGGTTCGAGAGAGGGTCAGCCGGGCGGCGGTAGCATCCCGAAGCGTTTCTGGGGAAGAGCCATGCCACGGGATGGAACGGTGGCAACACTAGGTTTGTTTGTTGATACTGACAAGGCAGAAGAAGGAAGAAGAACAAGGCCGGGCTAGGGTGAAGATGAGATGATGATGGTCCCGTCTTGCCTATTGCCGCCTAGCAGCAGCTTTACCCCATGCCGTTCCCCGTATCGAGGAAGAAAAAAAACTCTTCAATCTCTTTGTCTACCGTATGGAATACAGTATACGGGGCTCAGCAACGTGCTCTGCCTGCAACCCCAGTCCCGTAACACTGCCAGCATAACGGCGTCAGTCCTCGTAATCCCGTATATCAGCTGTCATGGATTACTCTCATCACATCTCCATTGCCAATGGAAAAAATCCAACAGCCACACTCCGGGCATACTGTATTCTGTTAACAAAGAAAAGAACGGCCGACTTCAGCTCCCAACGCCCCCCAAGCCGGCCCTATTCACAACTCCATCTTTTTCAATCTCAATCAAAACAAGCTCCAACCCGGAGCGCCTTTCGGTACAATATCTACCTGCCGAGACAAATAGCGGCCCATTGGCAGCCACACACCCCTGATCACTTTCCGACATTGTTCCAAGCACGCGTAGAGAAAAAAAAGACCACACCAAAAGCAGTGCCCCAGACTCTTCCCCTCCCGCTACTCCTTTTTTTCTTTCTTCACCACTGCCGAGCCCTGTCCGAACCCGCCAGACGCTAAAAAAAAAAAAAAAAAAGTCGTTAGGGCTTTCTTCCAGGCCCCCAGGCGGCTAATTCCACCCAAGGGGACCCTGTCTCCCCCCAAATCGTAGGTAATAAAAAAGAACACGGAGCCACTTGATAAGCAACAGGAGAGAGCCGGTAGCATCGATCTCGCTGTCCCATCATCCAACGGCCCAACCGAGACTCCCCGAAACTCAAACCATTGCTTCTCCTCCTCCTCGTCGACGCCCGCCCCCCCCCCGCGTATTGCGTATTGCTTGTGCCCATCGAACCGATTCGATCATCTGAGATACCTTGATTCGCCCAGGAGATTGGCGGGGTCCCTCCCTTGCGCATGTCGCTGCCGCCGAATCCAGCCATGCCGCCGCCTCGGGCTCAGCAGCCACAGTCGCCGTTCCTCGCTACGGCCCTGGTGTATCCTGGCGGCGCCGGCAGCAGCAGCAGCACGAGCACGAGCGCGGGCAGCTTCACCGGCGGCGACGTGGCTGGCCTTAGCCCGGGCAGCAGTAGCGCCGGCATGGGCATGGGCATGGCTTCAGCTTCAGCTTCAGCTGCTCGACACGGCCAGGACGCCTCGCTGTCGCTGGCCCCGTTGACGTCGCCCATTGGCGTCGGAGGAGCTGGAGGCCAAAGCCACCAGCAGCAGCAGCAGCAGCAGGACCTACACTTCGTCGATGCTGCTGCTGCTGACTCGGCTGGACTTCACACCGCCAGCTCCAGCATCAGCCTCGGCGGCCCGTCGTCGCCCTTGGACGCCGCCGACCTGTCCAGCCGCCGCCCGGGCAAGCGTCCGGCCGCCCGCGGCACGGCCTTTTACCCCCGGAAGCGCGCCAACACGGCCTGCCAGGTGTGCAGGGCGCGCAAGACAAAGTGCGACAACAAGAAGCCCGCCTGCAGCTACTGCGTCAGCGTGGGCGCCACGTGCATCCAGTCGCCCGTCGACCTGTCCAGCTTCGACCCCGCCAGCCTCAAGATCCTCGATCGCATCGACGAGCTGGAGCGCCTGCTGCGCCATGCCGTGCCCATCCCTGGCGCTGGGTCTGGGGGATCAACGTCCGGATCTGGGCCCGGGGCCGGGATCGCCTCCTCCCCCGGTGCGGGTGCGGGTGCGGCGGCGCCACAGCCGGCTCTGGCGCCTCCCGGGCCCGGCTCCGCGTTCGCCGGCCACCAGCAGCGCCTCCCCCCGCTGAGGGCCGGCGGCTTCGACCTGCACGGCCACAGTTCCAGCATCAGCAGCCTCAAGCACGCCGACGACGACGCCGTCACCATCAGCAGCCTGCTGCCCCAGCGTGTGGATCACATCCTGCAGTGGCCCATCTTCCACAATTCCGGGTCCCACCACCACTCGCCAGCCTCTTATCGCGCCCCTCCCGATGCTATCGCGACACCTCCCTCGGGATCGGCCTCGCTGGCTGGCCTTATCGATATGGACTCGCACCGGATATACCGTCTGCTGGACAACTTCTTCCTGCACATCCACTGCAAGAACCCGATTCTCGACGAGGTGCTGGCCCGTCGCATGGTTCTGAATGCCTTTCTCGACGGCATAGACTGGTCGCCCGCCTCTTGTTTAGCTCTGATCATCTGCGCCCTTGGCTGTATCGCTACGCCCTTTGGCCCCAGCGGCGAGACCAAGCTGGGCACGCAGACGTACAATGACTCGCAAATCTTCTTCCAGGCCGCCCAGAAGCGCATCGGCATCCTGCTCGTGCGCTCCGACATTGTGGGCGCGCAGTGCCTGTTCCTGTCGGGCATCTACCTGATGATGGTCTTCCAGCCCGTCTACGCCTGGCGCTTCTTCTCCCAGGCCCTGGCTGCCTGTCAGCACTTCCCCTTCCTCGCCCGCGCCCAGAACCTCAACGCCTCACTCGACTCCATGGAGATGGGCCGCCAGGACACGCAGGAGCAGGCCGTCTACTGGTCCGCCTGGAAATCCGAGCGCGAGCTGCGCCAGGAGCTGGACCTGCCCGACTTTGACATCCTGCACGCTGGCAGCACGCTGTACCCGCCCTTTTTTCCCGCGCCGCCGGTAGCCCCAGCCGAGTCCCCGGACGGGCCCGACTCTGAGACGCAGCGCGCTCGAGCCGCCTGGCTGTTCTACCTGGCCGAGATCTCGCTGCGCCGCCTCACCAGTCGCCTGTCGCGCGAAGTGCTGGACCTGCGCCAAAAGTACTCCTCGGACGCGGTGCTGCTCGACATGCTGCTCGACATGATGCCCGAGTACGAGGCCCAGATCGGGGAGTGGTCCGAGAGCCTGCCCGCGGACCTCTCCATCCACACCCCCGTCGAAGAGGACGGCATCTGCCGCTCCGTCCTGCGCGGCCGCATGATCAACCTCTTTGAGCAGCTCTACTGGCCCTTTGTCATGGCCAGCATCAGCGCCCACGTCGCGCGCCGCCCGGTGAAACCCGCCGTCGCCGACTTCGCCAAGCGCGGGCTCGAGACGCACATGCACCAAGTACGCGTCAACAAGCCAGGCTTCCACCACCGGCACCACGGCAGCATGTTCATGATTCGCGCGTGCACTCGCAGCGCGCTGGTGCTGCTGGCGGCGGCGAGGGCCGGGTGCGGCATGCCGACGGACTGGGAGGATTCGGTGTACAAGACGGTGGGGATGCTGGCGTACTGGGAGGACGAGGACAGGGACTTGATACATTGGCGGGCGACGCTGGAGCGGGAGCTTTCGTTGACGCGGCATGAATGAACCAAAACGATACCTTTTGCTTTTGCATTTACTTTTTACTTTTGTTCTAATGATGGCAGATTATCCCTATCTTTCTTACGAGTAGCGACAGTTTGAATATTCGCTTGATCTTTCTTTCTTCACTTCTGTATGTACTTTTCTTTAGCTTTGTAGTATAATGCGATACGACGTGAGCACATGTCCCATAGAGTCGTGGTGCAGCAGGTCACGATGACTGCAACCACATTGTAGTATTTACTATCTACTATCCCTGCTTTCTGTATACGGAAATTTGCAAGATACTATATCAGTCTAAGTAGGTGTTTACCTGGAGGACCGTACATGTTGTGGAGGTGATCTAAAAAGACATGATCCATAGAACATTAGCGTCTCATTTCATCATCTCTCCATTAATTGGTCCGGGGATGCCAATGTTTCAATATCATTCTTCATGTAACTTTTACGTATCTTCCTCAGCTACCCAATGATCTTGTCATGTTCTTCTTACTCCTTGCTACCATTAGTGTACTTAGTACAGGCGGAGTATTACCATGCACCACCAGTCCTGCCATGCTTCTCCGGGTGGACAGATATTACTCCGCTGCCAACAGTTCGATGAGCTGTAGTTCGTCGGGGAGTGTCGCTCCAGTCAGCTTTTGGCGCTAGTCACTAGTAACAACATCCTGCGTCAGGCTTCTCTGCTAGATCAACGACGACAATCCATTCCTTGGGGATGACAGCTCCCTCCTGTCGGATAATCCGCTGCATGTTTTATCTTACGAAATGAAATGATTATATGGTACTGATTTACTGTCATGCTCACGCGACACTTGGACGGATCTTTGTAGCATGCGATGTTGAGGTGGGTGTTGCTTTGATAGTTCGTGGGACAGGAGTCATGACTCAAGCTGGCCGACATGATGAGATATCCGTCAGCCGCCCAGTTTCATTCTTCTTTTCTCGTCCGTTAATCTCACTTCTCTCTACTTTCTTCATTGCACTTGTGATTCAATGCGGTTAATTTCATAATCTTCTATGGGGCATATAACAGAATCGTGAGACAAACGATAATTTGCCATGTTACTCCGTTTCTATTCAATCTCTTTTTCACTTCGCCAATATCGGAGCAGCCGTTCTTTCACCCGAGCTGCAAATTCTACAACTTTTTGACTGACAACTTGATAGGCATCAAAGACAGACTTCTATAAATCCAGGTCTCGGCCTTTGAAACATCTTGCTATGCAACAATTTCTCAATATGCCAAACGAGCTACTTACATCTTCGTCAAACAAGACTATATGTAGTATATGACCAAACAAAATAAACAACACACATTGTGCGCACAAATCGCCTTTACTCCCAAATGTCCACCCATGAGACCAAAAGCAATGCAAGGTCCATCCAAGCTTCGATGCTCTCGACACGTCCACGCGCCGTTTCCCTTCCTTCTCCCATATTCCAACAAGTAAAAAGCATGGCCCGCCATCTCTCTTTCACATCTCCAAATGCCCACTTTCGTCCATCTTGCATAAATCTCACATCTATAAACATTTGCATCCTCACCTCCGTCCTCGTGCCTCGGAAGCGTCCAAGAAGGATGGGTCCTTGATACTGCCGCCTGCATCGTCTAACCCCGCGACAGGCCTGTTGTAGCTAAAGTTGACAAACTGATCCTGCATCGTCTTGGAAAGCACAAAGTCGTCGGGGAGCGAGTCTTGAGCGGGTTCGTCGGTAAACTGTTTATCAAAGTTGATCGTGTCGAGAGCATTGGCCTAGAATATCTCTTGTTAGTCCATCTTTGGCCCCGGAATGCGACTTTGATAGAAGAGGGGACCTACCACGTGGGGCTTGAATGTTGGTTCATATTTGCGCTGCAGGAGCTTCTTCCAGTCAATGCCGTGGAAGAAGGGGTGCGACTTGATCTCAGTGGAGCCATTGACCCCCAATCTCTTGGTCGGGTCTCGATCCAAAAGTTTGGTTAGGAGATCCCTCGCCGCTGGAGGCACAACATCGTAGCCGGGGAAGTTCAAGGGGGCCGTCAAGATTTTGCGATACATTTCGTTGGTGTTTTCATCATAGAAGGGCGGCAGACCCGTCAACATCTCGTATAGTAGCACGCCGAGCGTCCACCAGTCCACTGTTTTGCCGTAGCCTTCTCCCTTTAACAATTCGGGCGCCAGATACTCAGGAGTGCCGACAAACGTGTTTGTTGAATCCTCATCCTTCATCTCGAGCTTGCACAGGCCAAAGTCACAAAGAGCAATGTGGCCCTGATAGTCAAGAAGAATATTCTCGGGCTTCAAATCCCGATAAACGACGTTGAATCCGTGCAGACACTCGAGAGCGCAGAGTAGCTCGGCCGTGTAGAATCGAGAGCGGTTGATATCGAAGCGGCCTTCCTTTGACAGATGGAAGAACAGTTCTCCGCCATTCACAAAGGCCAACACAAAGTAGAGCTTTTCCGGAGACTGGAAACTAAACTTTAACGGGACGATGAATGGGTTGTTGATCTGGGCCAGGACGGAGCGTTCGGCAAGCGTGTGCGTAACTTCGGAACGCGAAATGATTTTGGCCTTTCTGATAGTCTTAATTGCGTAAATCCGACCGGTATCCTTCTTCTGCACCTGCATCACCTTTCCAAAACTGCCCTTACCAACAAGCGTAAGAAGATCAAAGTCATCAATGGTGAGCTTGCCGACGCGATTTTCAACAAAATCAACGCCGATTTGGAGCTTGCCTGTTCCATTCTGTAGCTCAAACCAGCCCTGCCCGCTGTAACCCTGGGATTGTGGGTGATCGCCCTTTTTGCCTCCTGCTTCAGACGCGGTTTCGAATTTGGGATTGACGCGAACGGATCCTAGAAAGATATCATGGGATCTACCAGCACCGGCCGGGTTTCTCATAAAGAGCGAGACCGTCAACTCGCCAACACGTGACACGTCAAATTTGTACTGGGTGTTGGACCCAGCCCAAACAGGGTTCTCAGGGTTGCCATCAACAGAGTTGATAAAAACTTGGTTCTTGTCAAAATCCACCAGCGCATATGGCATGTATTTGGTCGATACGCGGCCATGGTTGGTGGGAATTCCCTTGAATCCCGATCCGGTTGACTGCGGTCTGGCAGACGCATTCTGACGGACAGAGCTCAGCGCATCCCCGGCAGAGTGAGCGCCAGTCGGGTGGCCTGCCGCTATGACATCTTGATATTCTTCGGGGAGAGAGAGGCCGCGGGCTTCGAAAAGGGTAAGGACGAGGATGCCGGGTTTCGGTGGCTTGACGACGGGCGCCTGTGTGAGGCCTTCTATGGTGGCTAGAGGGCGGAGAAGGACAACCGGTTAGAAGAGAGATGCTAAGCATATGGGATGAAATGCGCTGATTGAACATACTGGCGCCGTTCGCATCGGAGATACTGTTGACGTCAGACGGAGTCGAAGTGCCGCTCTTGTCCTTGGTCTTATCTCTGCCGAGGGGCGATGAAGACTTTGAGAAGCCCAGATGGGTTTCTTTGAGTTCTAGAGGATGGAATCAAGAGGTCAGTAACCAGGAAGAGTAAGAAATGGAGACTTGCAAGCAGCATGTTGATTGATGTCTCAGCCGCGGCTGGCCGAGGCTGATGCTATTCCCAGGCTCAGTCCCATCGAACCAAGCCTGATCAGAGCAATCCGTGCGCAGGGCAAACGGCGATGATTGAGCAATATGGAGAAGCAAAGAAACCTCCAGAAGAACAAGGGTCCAAGTTGGAAACAAGCATCGAGGCCGTGCCTAGCCATGTCAAACTCACTTTTGGTCAGGTTCCACGACATGGTTTGCACCAGCGCAGCGAGGCTGGAGATTCCAGCAGCAGACACGGCGGCGATGGTGGCAGCGACGCAGCGATAAAGACGATGTAACGAATGAGCCCGAGAGGTCTGGAACCGGGAATTGATGCTGCTGGCCCGATATTTGGAATTGATGGGTCCGGGTGTTCGGGTCGAGATTGTAGATTTGGAATCGCGGGACGAATGGCCTTCAGTTGTGCTTATGCTTGGTTTGACAGCCGTGGATGGTGTGGCTGTTGAGGGGAGAGCACGAGGCGCAGAGGGGCTGGGCTGAGGCGCATGTCAGAGCCAAACAGCAGCGCTGAGCGCTACGGGAGCGGGGGCGGCGCACAGGAGGCGCTGGGTGACAGCTGCTAAATCGCTAAACCACAGCGGTCAACATGTGGCTGCGGTTGGTACGGAGCGCTATCTTGATGGCATGTGAGCAAATGAACAGGTGAGCGGATAAAGAAGAAGTAAGCAGAGACTGATATGACTTTACATTTGAATGTTGGCTACTGAATGCTTAAGGCAGTCATTCTCAAGGTTATTCTTCAAGTTGGCTGTCGCATAAGAAACTGTTCCTAGTATTCGTAATCGTAATCTTATGCTCTCGCTCATTAAGGTGCTCATTCTGGAGGATCAGGCCTCCAAGCTGAATGCCGCATGGCTAACCGGAATTGATAATGAATCCCTGGCTCAGAACTGACAAGATCTTCCACTCTCATCTTGCTTTCATCAAAACAAAAGAAATCAGGGCAGTAGGAGCAAAATCCATGCCAGAATACATCTCATCATGCGTCACATCAGCTTCAACCCGTATTCCACCCAGAGAGACCGATTGCCATACTACTATGCAGCTATCACAAGTACATCATGCAGCACCGGCAGATCTAAAAAAGAAAAGAAAAAAAAGATTACAGAATCGCTCCAAGCCCATGCCACAAGCATCGCTACTAAAAAAACCCAAGCCCAAAACATGGGGTGCATATCGTCCGTATTACCCTTGGCGCGATTATGGAATCCCCTGAAAAAAAGAAGCACACACAACAAAAACCCCGCACTAAGAAAAAGAAGCCCCTAGGGACCCAGCCCTGCGAACAAAGCAGCTTACCCGTACAGCCGTATTGGCGACATTCTTAGCATTGAGTGCTCCCGAAAATTTGTCACGACTTTTGCTCGTTTTTCCCTACTCGAGTCTAGCACCAGCAGCTAGCTCCAGGGACCCGATTGCGTCATGTCACGATAGGACATCAAACTGGAGCCCAAGCCAATGGAATATTTTTTTTTGGGGCCCTCATTGGTAATTTTTTGTGTTTTGTGTCTAGACCCTTGTTTTTTCCTAGACGTGGATGACTGTTTACTGGATGGCAGAGAATATATAACAATTGTTCTTCTGCTTCACTCCCATCATTCCCATCATCATCATCATCAACATCATCAACTTCTTATATCCTTGACATCACCATCCAACAACATCAGCCACTTACATATATAAACCACTACCACAGCTTTCAACCCCTCACTTACAACAACCTACCTACCTACCTATTCCACACAGCTATCACGACGAGAATCAACATGATCTTCAACAACCTCTTCTCACGGCTCTCCCGCCCCTTCACAGCCGCCACCCGCCTCTCCATCGCCCCCGAATCCCCCGCAGCCACAACCTCCCTCCCCGAAGGCGCCCAGCGCTGCACCGTCGCCGCCGGCTGCTACTGGGGCACCGAGCACCTCTACCGCAAGCACTTTTCCGGCAAGGGCCTCATCGACGCAAAGGTCGGCTTCATCGGCGGCGACCTGACCAACCCCTCATACCGCGCCGTCTGCGGCGGCAAGACTGGTCGTATGTATCCCCTCTTACTTACCTCCTCCAATATACATGTATGTTCTCAGCTAACAGCAGCAGACGCCGAGGCCGCAGAAATCATCTTCGACCCATCCCAAGTCTCCTACCGCCAGCTCATCGAGTTCTTCTACCGCATGCACGACCCCACAACCCTCAACCGCCAGGGCCCCGACACCGGCCCGCAGTACCGCTCCGCCATCTACTTCCACAACGACGAGCAGGAGCGCATCGCCCGCGACGTCACCGAAAAGGCAAACGCCCAGTGGTGGCAGGGCAAGATTGTCACCGAGATTGCGCCCGCCGGCCAGTGGTGGACCGCCGAGGAGTACCACCAGCTGTACCTGGAGCGGAACCCCGATGGGTATGAGTGCCCGAGCCACTTCCTGAGGCCGCTCAAGGATCTGGAGTGATGGACCGGAAGGACCAGAGAGGGAGGAAGAGAGGGAAGAGATGAAAGGGGACGTTATGAAAAGATGGAAGACGGGCGGCAAATTCCATCTGTGAAACGATAATTCAACATTCACTTGTATACCCATTGTATTTATACATATTTCACAGCGCAGTCATTGCAAGTTCAACCAGAAAGGGTCATGAATAGTTTTTATTTTACAAATTTAACAATTTTTTTCTTGAATTTTTTCATAAACATATTCCTTAATGCTATGTCTCTTGTTTGATAATCCTCCACTTATTGATACAACGGGAACGCCATGCTTCCCATATAAAGTTGAGAGAGAGAAAAAGTAAATCATCCATTGAGCGGAGTTTTATCATCTCTCGCAAACAAAAAAAATCCCTTTGCCTAAAAATATTCCAATCACAAGCCTCCACCGTTCCTCTCGTTATATCTTTCCAATCTTTTACAGTTCAGATGCCTCATAGTGCTTATTTCCTCCGGTTCTGGTTCATCATCAGAATCTGCACCATGCGGATGAAAATGTTCAAAAAGTCCAACTCCAGCGAGATGCTCTCGTTGACGGGATCCCGCTTGATAACACCAGCCTGAGCCAGACGGGCGTGGTGAAGCACCTTTTGTACATCATACAGGGTGAAGCCGCCAAAGACGGCAAGACCACCGTACAGCCAGATGTTCTGACTGAAGGCCAGTGTCCGGACAGCGGTAGCAGGGATGACAAGAGGGGCCAGACCAGAGGCGGCGATGATGGCAGCACCGGCCAGAAGAGGTCCACCAATGTAGAGGTACTTCTCCTGCTTCGCCGTAGCGCCGACGACAGACAGGGCACCCATCATAGCAACAGTGTAGAGACCAGCGCGGGCGAGAAGAGGTACGGGCACAAACGCCAGCATAGGAGCAACAAAGGCAGCCTGGGTGGCGTTAAAGGCAGTCCAGAGAGCGTACTTGGGGACGTAGCTATAATTCACACATGTTAGCAAATCCATCTTCATTTACAAGAATTTCCAATGCATCAGACTTACTTATCAGGGCTAATAGACCGAGTTCCAATCATTGTGGCAAAGCTCAGCGCCAAGCCACCCAATCCCACAACCCATGGGTTCGTCACCATCAGGCGGTACACGAATCCCGTCTGTACCATCTGCCTAGCCGTCAAGCCAATGATACCAATGCCAAGTCCAGTGTGCAAGAAGGTGTTGTTCAGGTATTCCCGCTCAAACAGAGGCATCCCACCATCCTCTCTCGTCTCGCGGTTGAAGACAGTGTTGATCGCCACCAGCGTGCCGCCAAAGATGGCTCCTCCCACGAGCAGCCTGCGGAGACCCGTTCCGCTCGTCACAGACTCCTGCCGGGTCGCGGCCTCTTGGTAATATGATCGCGCAAAGCCATGGCGGGTTGTCGCTGATGCAATGCGGGAGCTGAAGAATGCGCTGCTGGGCTTTTTGGGTGCTTGTTGGTGGAAGCTTCGCATGGATGTCCGGAAGGCAGGGAGCAGCCGCTGCTGCGCAATGCGCGCAGGGCCCTGCTGAATGCTCAGCGTAAATGACATATCTGACCGCTAAGCGCTTATATGTTTGTCGAGGAGGTTGTTCTGTGTTGATTGTTGAGAAAAAGAAGAACGGATTAGCAACAGCCAATGCGGGGACAGGTTGCTGCCGGTTTAATATATGAGTGCTCCGTAAGAAATCAATGATACTAACACGGACAGCTTTTCGCCTCGAGTAAAGCCGGTCATGACGTTTGGCCGGATACCTGCTAAATCCGGCGTCACGTGTTGATAGCTTATTTTGATGAGTGGAAATTGGGGGACTCTTGTAGAAGGCTCCGGCGACTTTTCGCAGAAGCTCCGATTTTTTTGAGCGGCTCTTAGAAGCTAAGCTTACTAATGCCGAGCATGGTCTCTTTCATGCTCGGAGTACGATGCAAAGTGCTCTCGCGATAGCCTCATGTCCGCAAAGTCCGCATATTCCTTTTGTCTCTATTATTTCTCAAAGTTTTATTCCCGTGTCCAAATATCCGTACAATATGCTATTACATCGATCAAAAAAAAAAAAAGTCCATCACACATAGCTGCCCAAAAAATGTATAATAAACCTAATAGAAAGCTGCAGCAACACTGAATAATTTCGTCAGATCGTTCAGTCCAAGTACCCCTCCCGATTTGCTAACCTCTGTTACTTTGTACCTTTCCTTGAATAACTACCCAAAACACGTTTCGGCGCCAACCAATACAACGCTCCTCATCATGCCCCTTCCCGTGGATATGCAAATAGATACATGTGTGTGTTCAGAAGCGTACATGGTACAAAAAAAAAAGAAAAAAGGAAAAGAAAAATTAGAGAACAGCAAAGGCGTAAAATAAAATGAAATAGTCGTGTTGTTGCTTATAGACAGCCTCTCATCTGAGCCCATCAAGCCCCTTTTCAATCACAAACTTCACAGGCTGCCTCGTCTTCCTGCCTAGCAGCGAAGCACCAGACCTTGGAAAGAAGCTTGGCGTAGTGAGCATTGCGACGCTCATTGTCCTTGGCGTTGGCAGGTCTCCAAGCACACTGTCGAATGCCGTTGTGGGCCAGCTATTCACTGATGGCGACTCTGATTTTGAAGCTCGGCTGTCAAACCCCCATTTTGACACACTGCCAGCTCGCAGCCACGGTTCCAAGTTGCGACATTGGCTTACATCAACCCAGTTCAAGCGCGTGCAGCCCCTGAGGATGTATTCTAGGCCCTTGCCTGTTACACGCACGCATCCTCGAACACTGAGGCCCTCAAGTTCGTTGAGGTGCAAGGCGACGCTCTCCAAACTACTGTCACTCACAGCACTACCGCAAAAGGCCAGCCGTAACTCGCGCAATTTGGGCAATCCAAGGGCAACGACCTCTGTAGCCGTGTCCGAAAGTGCACAGCAGAACGACAGATCGAGGTGAGTCAAGTGCTTGGCCGCGTTGACCAGCGCAACAATGGCATTATCAGACAGGTAGGTACAGTCCGCCAGGCAAAGCTGCGTCAGCTTCTCAAATTTGAACTGAGCCCACGACTGAAAGCCAGCGTCTGTAATTGATGTGCAGCGCGTAAGAGACAAAGACTGCAGGCGACTCGAGGCGTGAGCAGCAAGATGGCCCATCGATCGATCCGTAATGTGCTTGCAATATGAAAGATTGAGCGTTTTCAGCTTAGGGCAGCCAATCACGGTGCCTGGCGCGGGTGTGGGAGGAGATTGCTGGCCAGTCTTTTCTTTTGCCTTGGCACCCTTTCCCCCTTTTGCTCCCTTGGCTGAATTTGATATCACGATTTTGCTACTCGCTGGGGGAGGCTCTGGGACAACCCATCCGACAACTCGACCAAGTAGATTGTCTCCGACCTTTCGGCAGTTGCTCCAGTCGACCTCTTCAAGACCCTTGGCATTTTCGCTCATTTCTAGAATTTGGTTCGCTGATACATCCCAGAGCGAGCGCATCTTCCATTTTTGCACATTCTTGCCACAAGTCCGCCATAACACGGAGAACCCCTCGTCAGTGATGTGAAAGCAGTTATTCAGATCCATAACAAGTGCTCGAGTCCCGATGAAAGGCGCAAGCACATCGGTGATGATCTGATCAGTAACTCTCCTGTTGTAGTATGAGAGGTCGACATATCTACAGAGCTTTGGCGATGTAGAGACAAGAGACTTCCAACGCGAACTGACCTGTCGTAGCCTCAAAAGCTCGCCCACGTCGGCATATTGAAATATATTGACCAGTATACTGTCCGAAATGGTTGATTGTTGAAGAGAGACCGGTCTATGAGACAGTGTTTTGGCTCGTTTTGCGGGCATATCAAATTCAAAGTCTGGCATGGTAAAGGCTACGGGAGACGACAACTCCGGGGTAGAAGACCGAGCTCCGTTCTGCCGAATAGGCGTTGTCGGGGACGCCTCAGTCTGAGCAGTCGGCGGCGCAATCGATAGACGCCTCCGGTTCTTCAAATTCTCCATGTCAACACTCAGAAACGGATCGGGATCCTTGGGTTCCATGGTGTCTGAGTCGTCTCTAGCAGTCGAGGATATGCGCTTGAGGGGTGCTCCAAACTCGACATCGGGCAGACTGAGTCGGGCGAGTATCGGAGTCGGGGGGTCTGACTTGCTCGTCTTCTCTTGTTGGCCCGCGTCGGTCATATCGACATCTTCATCGCGGTAGTTGTATCGGTGCCATGCTGTCTGCTCGACCTGCAATTTGATGTCCGGGGAACAGCGAGACCACAGCTCATCCAGCGTCTCACCCGGTATCATTAAACATTCTACCGTGGTAATCGACCTAACTGTCGCCGTCCGTCCACTAGACAAGCCCAAGCTCGCGACTTCTCCAAAATATTGTCCTGTTTTTAGCCGCGGTCTTTTTTGAATCGATCTGGTCAGGCTCTCTGCCTCCTTATTCGTCTTGGGTTGCTGATGAATTACTTCTGCTTCGCCTCGCACCACAAAAAAGATCTCATGACCTTGAGTGCCCTGACATATTATGTCGGTGAACGGAGGGTACGTCTTTGGCTGAACACTCAACCCCAGAAAGTGAAGAATATCCGGCGGGAGAGAGGTGAAGAGAGGAAGTTCCGTGAGAGTCTTTCGAATGTTGACAAAGCCGCTGCCAAGGGCGCTACCGAGGGCTGGGTCTTCGATTATACTAGGACTTGGAGATTTGCGCTTCTTGGACTTGATCACTGCCCCGTCCTTGATTGCACCAGTCTCTCCAGTTGACACTTCGCCCGTGGTCTTTGGGCGCGGAACGAAATCGCTCTTCGGAGATTTTAGGGTCGCGCCACGTTCTGTTCGCTTTTTCTTTAGTACACTCAGTCTCTCTTGCGCTTCCTGTCGGATGGCCTTTTCCATCTCTGGGAATTTCGGCATGACTGTCTGCAGATCTTCTTTTTTCAGCACCAGCAGAAGGCACTTGGTTCGGGCGACGATGGTGGCGGTCCTGGGCATATCCATGAGCACACCAATTTCTCCAAAGAAGGCACCCGCTTTGAGCTCTGCGTAAACGGCCTCGCCGTCTCGAGATGTGACTGCGACAACGCCCCGCACCAGCCAATACATGGCCTTTGCGTCGTCCCCCTCCGTAATGATGTGGTCGTTGTGTCCGTGTACCTGCGGCTTCAAGTGATTGCCAATCGCCACTAAAAACTCTTCCGAGGCGGAGAGAAAGAGGGGAAAGCTTCGAATGCGGTCTACCAGGTCCAATGGCATATCTCGGATCGTAGAGGCGGTAAGCGGAGACGGTCGCATGGGGCGAGTAGGATTATTTTCGACGTTGAACGACCGGATGAGCGAAACTGGGTCAGACGCAGCGCCATTGCCATTGTGATGCCCCGTCACCCGGTAGTGCGTGGGCGCACTCGGAGAGCGGCTGCGTCTCATTGTGATACTCGGTCGGTGTATCTGGCTGTGGCCGCGTCCTTGTGATGGCAGCTTTTCAAAGGCGCCCTTGGTGATTTGCGGCTACCCGCACCACACGTTACCAAGCAGCCTCGAAGCTTTGGGTTGCTCAATACAGAAGCCTTGCACGCTGCTTTCAGCTAATTCGTCCTTGTATATGACCAGAGATTATGATAAGGTTTCGCTGTTGAGATCGAGAGTGTCGTGGCAAAGCTCGGATCATGCTCTTCCGGGCGAGGCTGGCCGACGGCTTTTTGTTCCTCATACGGCAGCAGCTTCGCATAGATTCCTTGTGGCAGTAATGGTCTGTAGATTCGCGACGACGATAATCCACATGGAATGATGCGGTGGGCTAGCGATATCGGGCAGGGATATCGCGGTGGCGGTAGCGGAGCCGCCTGTCACCGACTCTTTCGCAGAAAGGAGTTATGGATGTCGATATCGCGGAAAGTTTTGCTATGGTGAAGTCAAGTCAGAGAGGAACTAAAAAAGTCGTCCTCTGCAACGTTGGCAACCGTATATTGCTACCTGGCGTTCAAGGGTGGAAGCGGTCGCGTACCGGCAGCCAACAGTCTATGTCTAAGCCTGTATTAGCAACAGCAGCGGCCCGGTGAAGTGGCGGAGAGGTGTCTCACAGGAGATGCTGAATTAGTAAAAACTGATTCAGTAGCTATATCGTCAAGAGCCGGCGTGGGCCGCAAGCGTAAAGGGGTCTCGTAGGCCGCCTCCGCAGACTCGAGGATCAGTGAGCAGATCAGATAGTGTCCCAGCTCTTGGCTCCAGGGAAGATGATGGAGGAGGGTCGATGGATGGCCAGAGGGTCGCTGGTCATGGCGCAAACCAAAGAGACACGCGCACACATGCACACACACGCATACGCCATACAGTCTAGCAGACAATAAGACGGGCGATGGGGATGGATGCCGCAGCTTGTTGACGTTAGACGTGGGGTAGTAGCTTCACCTGGGTGGGTTCGATTTCGTTTTAGCTGTTGGCGCCGTGGCGGGCAGAGCTTGCAGCGGCCCTGCAGCGGCCTTGCAGCGCTGAAAACAACAGCCGAGACGGCCGTGGGGATCAGCGGCAATCCCGAAACCGCTACGATAGGATTGAGAGGATGAGCCCTCCCGAGAGAGCCCCCCATGTGCCGGCACAGGGAGGCTCAACGGTCAACAAGGTCTGCAAGCCCTGATCCTGCTAGGCTCTGCAGACCAACAGGGGGAACGCAGGGGAGAGAAAAATTTTGTATGATGGCCGCATTGTCTCGTTTCCGCACAATGCTAAACCCTTTGTTGTTACTTTTATCTGTCTTATTTGAGAACCGATGCTTGCACAGCATTCTATTTCTGCTGCTCTCTGATTTCCTACTGTACTTGGGCAGCTTTAGTACTGCAGGCGCTCTTGTACTTGGCGGCTCTCGCTCTAGATTTGCTGGCATGCGCTATTGATCGTACTTAGCCGGAGCTGAGCTACCCTTGCCGAAATCTGGAATGACGCCAGTGGCGCCAATGCCTCATATTCCGTCCCCTGAGAAACGTGGCAGGCGACCTTTCTAGGCGAAGCCAAAGAAGACGAAAGAAAACGACGACGTAGAGGGCTGGAAATTTGCCTGCACAGTCTCGGCAAATAATCTACGTCCAACAGGGATTCGAGCGCACGCAAGGGGTCAGAAACAAGCGACTGGGCGAGGCGAGGTGCCGCAAAAATCGCAAATCTTCCAAATCCAGCCCAGGAGATCCATCTAGCGGCACGAAAATGTATGGGTACATGCCCGCATGTTAGCACTTGTGTGTGTGTATCAATACACGGCGTCCCAACAAGGCACCACGAATCCTTTAAGGCTGACATCTCACTCTGATTCCAAGTATTACTGCGTGACAAGTCACCTACAAGTCACCTACCTCTATGACCAACCAACCCGCCGATGCTACGCACCAACTCGGCATCCATCTCAGCGAGCACAAGTACCTGCGGAGCAGCAGCCGCAAATCCTTCCTTCGGCGCACGGACCGCTAGGCAATCCTTGCTTTCGGGATGGAACAAGGACCAGGGGAGACCCTAGTTGCACCTAGAAGATTGTTAGAAGCCTTTTGCACCCGTAGTGAGATTCCATGATCCATGTACCTCTCTTTTGTGCAGCAGGCCATCGTCCGATCTTGAATCCAGGATATGAGACTCGCAGTTGTGAATTGATGAAAGGATACGGAAAAGAAAAAGAGGCGTAAATCAGTGAAAATCAGGGAGATCAAGAAGTGGAAGAGTTATCCAGCGCCCTCGTGCTATTATCTAGCACTCTATCAATGGCATAGGTGACTCCAGGTAGGTACTGCCATTGCTAGGAACTACTATCTAGTAGGTATTGCTACTGCTATTCCTATTCAACATGAAGTCTATTATCCAAAAAAATTCCAAAATTATACATAAACGCATCGCTTTACCAAACTACAGCTAGGGCAGTGAAAAAATAGGAATGGGGTGCTGTTCAACTTTTGTATCAATCGAAGAAAAGGTAGTATATTCCGGAATACTGCACAAGTCGGTACTCTCTCCCGAACCCCTTGCATATCCCTTCGTCCTGATGAGGCGCTCTTCCTAACGTAGGTAGGTAAGGTATGACTCAAATGCGCCCTAGCGACAGGCTTTTCTGTCAGCGACCAGACGCTTACGATATTACACCTTAGGCATAGGTAGGCGTACATTTACAATAAGACTTATAAATAGAACTTGATGTTCACCAACTAACAGCCTTAGCTACCTTGGCAGAGGCACTATTAAGAGCCATCTAATTAATAGCAGCATCAGCATGAATGCACTGCTCTCTGCTATTTCTGCTAGTATTCTCTTTCGTGGTGAAATTGGTTCTAGCAGTTATTGTCATTTACTACCTGCTCGTAGCGGTACTATTCCCGTCTGACATACAGAAGCCGAAAGAGAGTGGAACGTCTAACAAGGTAATAGCTCGTATACAGTTACACCTAACGCGTTGTGCTTGCCATATCATTCAGTTTGAATTGCAGCTCTTTTTCTCGCATCAGGTGCACCCGATTCTCAGCTCTTTCTTCTTTGCGCTGCCGATCATATCTCAACAGGTTTCTCCATGCCCACGTCAGCACACCAATGTCGAATAAAGACGCCAGCGATAACAAAAAGACCTCCAAGCTGATCAGAGGCCTTTTCATCTCACATGCCATCTTACCGCACAAATCCGTCGTTTCATTCCGTGCTTATCAATCCTTGTTTCAAAACGAGTGCCATACCGGACCTTTTACAAGCTTGTTTCACACTGCTGCGGTATAAACATTACATCGGTACCTGCCTTGTACATGATCAATTGTCCTGATCTCACACAGTGGATCCATCAGGTTGTATAAAGATGCATCGATCTATTAGTGGCTGTTTCAAGCATATACCTCGCCAAAAGATAGTGTGTCAAAGAAACAATACACGAATCATAATCACATTGCCGGCATTCGGCCGCAATGATGAATAGGCATCTACCTGATTCTCGCAATCCCAGCAGCTCTCTACTAAGGTATGCTCTCAGCATGCAGCTAAATGATACCGGCAGTGCTTCGAGGAAAGTGGTTTTGAAACACTGCAAAAGGCAGGTAGCATGTGTTTCGCAAACAGAGGCACTGCCAAATCCAATCCATCGGCCAATCGTCCTCAAAATAGGCATGTCCCAATCATCTGCAGCCTCGGAGATTTCCGAACCATGGTTTTCTTTTCCTCCCGTCTTCTTTCACACCCCTCGGCACTCGTACCGGGTCGCCTACTCCGGCTTCACATGCAAAACATGGCTTCATGTCTATTTTGCAGCTTCCCAATTAGGAGCTTTCATCACTTGCCCACGGCCAAAACGAAGGCCCAAAAATCGAGAACCAGGTTCCCCTGATCAAATCACTTTACCCAACGCCGCGGATATGGTTCCGTAATCTAAACGCTTTTTCTTTTCTTTCCACTTCGGTGCTCTTATTGGCCACTGCTCTTCAGGAACATCTTGAAGACTTCCGAGTCTGTACATTCCTCTGACGGGTAGCCAAGCTCTTCAAGGAACTGTTCCAAATCGGCGTTCTCTTCCGGTGGGCATTGGATCCCTGCTAGCACCTTGGCCACGTCGCCGCCGTACGTACGATACTGGAAAAGGCTGATGTTGAATTTTGGCCTCAAAGTCGCCAGAAACTTTTCTAGCGCTCCGGGCCGTTCAGGGAAGTTGAACATGAAGACCCTTTCGTTTACAACGCCCGTTCGCCCGCCAATGAGATAGCGCACATGGCTCTTGGCGAGCTCGTCGTTGGATAGATCCGTTACCTCCATACCCTCCTCTCGGATGCGCTCCATCAGCGTCCGCACCTCTTCGGCCCTTTGGGAAGGCGGAACTGTTATGGAGAGGCCTATAAGCACCTTGGCGACCTCGCCAGGGGAGTAACGGTAGGAAAACTCGGTGACAGGCCGAGGCATGATGGTGTCGACAAGCTTGGCGAAAGCTCCGGGCCGTTCCGGGATGGTAGCGGCCATTAGAACTTCCTTGCCCTCACCTAGCGCAGCTCGCTCGGCGACAAATCTCATCCGATCAAAGTTCATGTTGGCGCCGGAGGTCACCGCGATGAGCGTCCTCTTGGCGTTCTGAGATGGCTTCTGGGCAACGTATTTCTTCAAGCCAGCGATGGACAAAGCGCCCGCCGGCTCCAGACCGGATCTGGTATCGTCGTACATGTCTTTGATGGCGGCGCAGATTTCGTCGGTGGTGACCTCGATGACATCGTCGACAACGTCGCGGCAAATGCGAAAAGTTTCCTCTCCTGGGACCTTGACAGCTGCACCATCTGCAAACAAACCGACCTCCGAGAGCGTGACTCTCTTTCCCAATTTCAAAGACTGCGCCATAGCATTTGCATCGGATGCTTCAACGCCAATGATCTTCACATGGGGTGCCATCCGCTTGACGAACAAGCCGATACCGGCAATGAGCCCTCCGCCTCCAACGCCGCAGAAGATGGCTTCAACATTGGCCATGTTGACCTGCGCAAACATTTCATTGCCAATCGTTCCCTGTCCAGCAATCACGTATGGATCGTCAAAGGGCGGAATATTGATGAGGCCATTCTGCTTTGCGCGTCGTGCGCACTCTTCCTTGGCGGCGTCAAAGTCTGCGCCATGCAAAACGACATGGCCGCCCAGACGCGCAACATTCAAGTGCTTGATGCTTGGTGTGCCTTCGGGCATGACAATGGTGGCAGGGATCTTGAGTTTTCGGGCAGAGTATGCCACTCCCTGGGCATGGTTGCCGGCGGAGCAGCAGACAACGCCCTTCCAGCTTTTGGCAGGGTCGAGATGCGCCATCTTGTTGTATGCGCCACGTAGCTTGAAGCTGAAGACGGGCTGCAGATCCTCGCGCTTCAGCAGCACATTGCACTCTAGTCGGTTGCTGAGGTTGACGGCCGGGGTGAGAGGCGTCGTCTTGCAGGCCTCGTAAACTCTTGAGGTTGCGCTGGCAATCATGCGCAGATACTACATCGTAAAGTCCCGTCTGTCAGCACTTCTATAGCCTTGCGCTCGCTGGAGGAAAAGGAGGAAAAGGAGGAAAAGGAGAAAAAGGCAAGCAATTCCACTCACGTCTGGGTAGCCATCTGGAAGGCGATATTCTTCCGGAACATACGATGTGGCATCTTCTTCCCTTTCGGACGGTGGAGTTGGGTTGGCGCTGTACTCTGTCAGGGCCATAGTCTTCAAGTGCGATGACATTGACGGCCGGCGAGTGCCATTGACGCCGCCCGCAGCGCCGTTGGGCATCAGCGATGCGCCATTGAGACCCGGCATCTCGGATACGTTTCAGCAGATCACTGCTGTATTTGCGCTTCTAGTAGTTGAACCGGACGAGTGTTTGCTGCAATGCAGAAGAAAGAAAATGAGTCCTCTTGTAGGGAGGGATGGGATGATTGCCCTCCAGCTCCGATAAATCGGCCCCTCCGAGTTTTTTCTGGGGACAAAAGGTGGCGTCACAGACGGCTCCCTTTGAAAGTGAGTTACGCTCTTAACATTAATGAATAACAATATGAAAACAGAGGCTTTCGTGCCTTTAATGTTAAAAATTAGGGCTTTTTCGGTTTAACGCCACACTTACTGATGCAATTTGCTGCAAGGCTCACCAAATACGCCAAGACGTAGGAGTAAACAAGATGTGAAGTGAACCCAAGCGATCGAGCAAGGCCTGACTCAATTGGAAATGACGCGCGCAGCGCATCGATATCGGAGCCCACCCAGACCAGCGTTGTTCGTTATCTAGCTGCGTCAACAACTCAGTCGGCATTTGCAGATGCATGTATCAAATTATTGGGGCCGTACAGCATTACCACACTCGCAGCTAATACAATTTATTTTCATTCCACCACCATTCCTGTCCCGTTTTCTTGATATCCTGAGCCAAGTGTAAGCTGGTACGAGTCTATCGCTACAAGATGAGCGACTCCACATAGTATACAATTGAGAGTATGGCCTACTGTATACTCTCGACTGCTAGAAGCCAGACCTTCAAATGAGACGCCCAGCATGACTACATACATTCATTCTGAACTAGATACGCAAGGGCTACTTCAACTCTCCTCACCTACCCATTCCGCAAAGTTATCTATCAGTAGAGAGACAGCTGGCTGAGCTTCTCCACTCCCCAAGGATCTTTGCTCACGTATTTCAAACTCTCAACGTCCTTTTGCTGCAATGTCTTGGTCATCGCCTCTTTAACGGCCCTGCCTTGCCCTTGTTCCAAGAATTTCTGTAAAACATCCGCCGCAATAAGCAGCAAAGCATCCGACGGCTCTATCTTCTTATCGCCTTGAGGGCTCATCTGGCCTGCAGCCACTGCAAGCGGGAGGCCAGCGGCAAAAGGCAGTTCGTCCGGCTTGTTTGATAGGACGCCAGCACCCAAGATTCCCGAATAGCCTTCGCTTAGCCGCTCTAGGAATCTCCATGCCTCGTGATGCATGGTGAAGAGGTTGAAGCAGATGCCTGGGAGTTCAGTCTGGAGGTTCTGGGCCAGCTTGCGTATAAGCCCGGGAGGGAGGAGCCGTGCATTCTCGACCTAAGTAATGCCATCATTGTCAACAGAGGGTTTTCAAGAAAAGTCAATTCTTGAAGGAATTAACAATACACTTACTCTTGCTTCTTCCACCTTGTCCTTGAATTCCGGCTGGATATGGCCTCTGCTGTCCGTGTACTGCTTGAGAATACCTTCATTCAAGGCATTTTCGACTGCGGCAGATGACCACGGCACGCGCTCTCCAGGGTGCTCAAGGCGATGATTAGTTATCAAAGTCAAGTATCCCATAAACTTCAAGTTTCGTCGGTTGGCCGCGTTTATCTTGAGTTTGCCCTTTCGCTTCTCAGCTGCCCAGTTGGTAACAGATGTGCCTATGCTCAGGCAGTAGTTTTTAAAGTAAGCTTCTCGGTTCGTCGGCAGGTCACCAACGAAAAAGGACGGATCGCCCTGCATCTTCCAGAGATCATCAAGGTCCTCCCATACCAGATTGTCAGCAAGCATCTTCTCCTGACGAAGCGCGTGATACAGCTGCGTCACGCCCACAAGCGCTCCGGGGCCCGCCAAGTAAGGCCCGCCGGAAGAGTGCAAGTTTGAGCGCATATTGTGTATCAAGAGGCCGCAGTATAAAGGGTTGCGACGAAGAAACTTGAATTCCGGCGCAGTCTCGTTGGGGAACAGGCCTGCGTCTGATACCAACTTGCGAGCTGCCCAGATTGGATCCTTGTCCCACCTCGTGGCGGCGCTGAGAACTCGTGAGCGTTCTTTGTTGGACACTGGGATTTCGAGCATAGAGTGCTTGACTTTGAGGCTTTCTTGCTGAAATTCTCGGTATCCACGATCACAGTCCGCGCCAAGAGACTGCAGAATATCAAGATAGATTTGGAAAGACCAGCATAGCCAGAGAGGCACGGTCTTGTTAGGCTCGTTCATCACGTAGGCCATTCCACGGGTCAACTCGTCCACTATGCTCGAAGCCCCGAGTTTCCACACCAGAAAGCTGACATCTGGCAAGATTTCCAGCATCGCCGTCATGTCTTGCTTCCATTTTTGGCGGTTGGTCGTTCCAGAGCCACCCAGCTTCTCGTCATACCAGCCGAAGCTGCCACTGTACGATTGCAGATGCATCTCATCGCGCTGGGTAGACTGCAGGTAGCTAATCAGCATCGTCATGGGATTCATCATGCATACGTCCGCCAGGTCGTACGCCTTGAGGTTATAGGGGTCACCTCTCTGCTTATCCTTGTGAATGTCGATTCCGAACGCACTGCATATCCTTTCAAAATGTAGGTTGGCAACGTAGGCGCCGCCGTCCAGTTTGCTGAACAATGGGTCTACTTCTTCTTCTATATTGCGGGCAAGCTCAAAGGCCATGTTGGTGGCAACAGAAACAGCCGCAAGATCCAGCTTGCCAGAAGCGTAGTCGGCCCACAAAGTTTTAATTTCGCTCCTAAGGCGGCGATAGTCGTCCAAGAGAGCAATGTACGCGAAGAGGATGTCCAGGGCAGAGTCTGCCTGTTCCGCGACATATTTAACATCAGTCGAAGATGCTGCAATGGCGGCATCTGGAGCATCGTCGAACTCTGCTGAAGTATGATATACCTCTAGGGGGCTAAAGAAGTTGTCGTCCAGACCGTTCGACTTGGCATCTGCCTTGGCGTCCACGCTGAATGAGACGGCTCCCATGAGCGGTTTCAAGTGATCACGCACTTTCTCGAGAATACCTACGAAGAAAGAGTGGCGGTCATCGGAGGCGGCATTCACTTCCACTCCGCTCGATGCAAGACGATCCGAGAAGCTCTGTCGCACTATCGTGAGCCGCCGTCAGCTCCTCTACTCTTCTTTATTCTTTCGTTACTTTGCCCTGGAACAATCAAAAAAGATACCGACCTTGTATAACACGCTCAAGGGCAGTAGAAAAGTAATTGGGGACTTTGATATCATCAACTTTGGACACAAACTGTGCCAAGGGCTCAAACTCTTTGATCTTGATGAGATATGTGGGCTTCTTAGAAGCGGGTGTACCACTGCCATCATCACCGATAGCCGCCTCTGATGTCGTCGCTGTCGGTTTCTTAGGCTGATTTGACGCCTGATTCTTGGCCATTTTTCGAGCTTTCCCCTTGAGCCTGCCCCCAACGGCTGCTGGGGGATTTGCCGTTGATGCAGTGGCGGTGGCAGCATAGCCGTGGGCTTTGGCCGTTACAGCCAGCCATTCGGCCACCAGGTCGGTGTCGGCCTTGTACTGCTGGTAGATGCCTTTGAGCGATGGGATTGGCATTTTGTTTTGTTTTTTTCCCTTGGATTCGTAACTTTATACTTGATTAAAGGATAGGAATTTAATTTGTAATTTAATTTACGAGACGAGCAGACACTGTTGCCATTTTATTACAATGGTGGTAACTAGTGGAGGTGGAGTTCAAGTTGGTTGTTGTGTGAGCGGTCATTTGAGGAATGACTAAACACGGCATTGATCAGCCTGAACAAGATGTGACTCGTTCGATATTCGGGTCAAGAGCTACATCACTCCTAGTCATTCGTGGATAGGTAGGATGCTGAGATTGTTGAAATTGAGGCAGCAAAACCGCCAATTGGCGGTTAATGGCGGGGTAGATGCAGCTTTGAGAGCAAGTTATCACATGTACACATCGAGCTTGCAGAGCAGCGACAAGGTATCGCAGACCGGGGCTCGCACCGTTACCACAACTGACGAAAAATAAAAAAGAATAGTGAAGAATCATAAGACTCAAAGTATCAAAGAGTCCTATCATGTTGTATACACCTTGATATAGTAAATGGATAGTAGAATACCTTGATGCAAAGAGCGGTAAGTGGGACGCCAGAGCTATGTAAGTGCTTGTAGTTACATTGAAGATTATAGATTGTAAGACTAATTCCATCCTGTATTCGAACAGCAGCAAACAGTAATCTAGATTCATAGTAAATTATATACAGAGGAATGAAACCGGTAGAAACCAAACGCCCGCTTTCCCTCTCCAGAATAAAGGTACTTCTAACCAAATGTCGTGATTTCAAAATCATGATTTGCGAGGCTTCTGAACAGCCTGTTCATACGAAGGCAACCCATCCATAGATGACCTTGCACTGCGACTCTGCTCATCCCTCCATCTGTACCCCTCCGGTATGCGGTCCCTACAAGAACCGGCCACGGATCCCTGCGCCTCGGAGGAAGACACGCCTCTTGGCGCGGGGCCTTGTCCGTGGTTTCTGTAAGATACGCCGCTGACGGGCTGAGAGGATGCCGGCGCTGCTGCTGCGCGAGAGCGTGAGCCGGAGGTTATGAGAGACATGATCATATCATTGCGCTCGGCCTTGCGCTCGGCCTTGCGCATTCTTCGTTCCATGCGGCGGGTTGAACGGCGACTGCCCGTCATGTGTGAACATGTGCCGTATGCGGCATAGGGCACATAGTGGGTGGCGTTGTTGCCGTTGTAGTTGTCGTTGGCGTAGCCATTGTTGTAACCTCTAGTGTAGCCGTTGCTGTTGTATCCGTTGGTGTAGCCGTTGTTGTTGCTATTCTGGCCGCTGCCGTTGTAACCCGGGTTGCTGCCGTTGTGGTCGCTAGCCAGGGCTCGGGCAGCTGCTGCGACGAGGCCAATAACCAAGGCCATTGCTATTGCTGAGAATGAGGTGGAGGTTGATGTAATTAATTTGATAACAAGCAACGTTATCCCGACTGTGTACGAGGATATTGAGTCGTGACGTGGACGAGTATTAATGGCTTAAAGGTAGACTTGTGTGCAGCCAAGGATAACAAGAATAGGTGTATATGTGTAAAACGATTTAATGCAGTGTAGTGTATTGTATTGAAAGAAAAAGGAAGAAGATGGATGGCTCTTATGGGTATTATATAAATAAAGACTTGTTCGATGATGTAAATGACAAATAATGAAATACGACAAAGCAGATCCAGATACGCTCGGCGGCTTCTATAGTCGCCTCGCCGCCAGCCTCAGCAGCACCGCCTCCTCCTACAGCCAGGCCCCAAGCAGCCCAGCAATGGCTCAGCCCCGGCGCGCGTCCTCCAACTAAGCAGCTAAAAACCCCCAAGCACAGCGGCCTCGAATCGTTCTGCTCGATATGGCCTAGCGCTGCCATCCTTCTTCGGCTCCGGTCCTCTTTGCCATCGCATCGGTGCCAAATCTCCACCCAATCGGTCACCAGCCAGCAATGGGGGGACAACTCGGAGCTTTGCGAGCTCTTCGCGCCGACTCTTCTCGCTCTCGGTTTGCCATCTTAGAAAACACTAAGCGAAAAAAGAAGCATAACGCGATCCACTTCATGTGCCTAGTTACACGTATTACACGTAGGTAGGTAGGCACCTCTTCAACCAACCGTCCCCTCTCAAAATCATGATTTGCGAGGCCTATGAACGACCTGTTCATAGGGCGGCAAGTCATTCACCGATGAGCCCGCACCTGCTCCCAGGTCTCTGTCTCTGCCTCTTTGGCCCACCGGCTGGTTATAACTCTGCTCATCCCTCCATCGGTAACCCTCAGGCGCTCCCGTAGGCATGTCTCTGTAATAAGAGCCGGTCACGGGCCCCTGTGGCTCGGAGGGATAGTACGCGCCCCTTGGTGCTGGGCCCTCGCCATAGTTCATATGAGGCTCGCCGTAGCCCATATAAGGCGCATCTCTTGGACCGGGGCCCTCGCCGTAATTCATGTAAGGCGGCGCGGGCTGCGAGGGTGCCGGTGCTGCTGAGCGAGAGCGAGAGGCAGAGCTCACCAGGGACATGACCGTGGAGGCGTCCGAGTACCGGCTCGCGATACGATCCGTGCGGCGGTCTGCACGGCGGCCAACCGCAGATGCGGCACGGGGGGCATTGTTGTATCTGCGGTTGTTGTTGTAGTTTTGGCCGTTGGCGTTGTAGCCTGGATTGCTGCTGTCGTCGCTAGATAGGGCGCGGGCAGTTGCTGCAACGAGGCCAATAACAAATGCCATTGCTTCTGTTGACTGTGTGGTTGCGGATGAGGCTGATGTAATTTCTTAAATATTCAGCTGAAATTCCCTCGAATAGGTTTGAGGAGATCAGGTTATGATGCGATTAGGTATCAATAAGTAGTTCAAAGGTGGACTTGTATATAACCAAGTGGGTATAAGTGTGCAAAGACGATTGAAAGTAATGCAATGTGAAATAAATAAGGTGGAAAGACGAAGACCGAAAGCTCTGTACTATATAAATGTTGATTTGTTCGATGACGGGAAATACAAATATCTAGGAACCTTGAACCTACTAGTAAATACGACAAACGAGTTCAAGATACGCTCGATGGCTTCTACACCCGCCTTACCGCCTGACACTGAGCCATTGCTGCCTCAAATCGTAGCACCGCCTCCTTTCATTTCCAGGCCTCCGACAAACCAGCCAGCTAGAGTCTTCAAAGCAGTTGAAGCGATCTCCAATGATCCTGCTCAGCGTGGCCTGGCGCTGTCATCTTCCACCAGCCCCGGCCTCCACCACCGGTGCCGCAGGGGTTCATCCCCACTCGGAGCTGAACGATACCGAACTGAACGATACCGAGCTGCATTAGCGCCGACTCTATCTTCAATGCTTCATTTCTGCCCTTGTCAGAGGATTAGAAGAAATGCCATAGCCTCGTTCATGACGCCTGCGACTGCGAAATGTCCCAATACGCGCGAAGCAGAGCGACGCCCCCAGCCTGCGTTTCCACCGTCCTTCCCCTGCCGCGATCATTGGCATCGCCGTCGTGTGGCCGCTGCATGACTGTTTCCGCCGTCTCTGACCCTTCCATGCTCCTCAGTTCCAGTCTCGAGCTTGACGTCAACGGGGCTTGCGTCTCCTGGATCCCCTTCCCAGCTCCTGGCAGCCATCTTGCACTTCGACCCCAGACCTCGTCATTGGGCGTCCCGTAGTTGCGATAGTCGGTGGAGTTTGCAGCATTGTGATTGATCCCGTCTGCCTCTGGCGAAACCTGAATGTTGCCAAAGATGCCTGATCCCCACCACATGCCGAAGCGGCCCCTGCTGTCTCGAGTTTTCAGTGCTGCCAGAGCGTTGTGCTTGATCCAGCCAAGATACGCCCCGCAGGATGCTTTATGAGCTGCTTTGACGTGGCCGAAGCTGTCCATGTTGAGAGCATTGCCGTCGGTTATGTCATCCCACTGTAGAGGCCGACAAAATGCGTTCAAGTGGTGAAAGTATATCCCCTTAAAGGTCTGGCCATCCTGGGAGCAAGTGCCGCTTGCATCACATTCCTCTTCCAGAATGCCTCCACGACCAAGGCCTCTCCATTTTGGTAGTTTTGACGACACCTCTATCAAGTCTATTGGTTGGTTCGTCTCTACACTCCAACCAGTGGCTTTGATGACTGCTTGAATCAGGTTATGCCCGTCTTCAAGATAAGAGGGGCTTCCCGTCACATCCCACAACCCCCTTTGGCCCGTCAACAACACTCCCTGGTTGTAAGTGTACACCATTTCATCGCGGACATCGCACTCCACATTGCCGGGCTTTTGTCGATCAATGTGGAAGCCATCGACAAACAGGCCTTGGTTATTGGTCATGTTACTACCCCTTAGCCATTTGTAGCCCTCGATAGCTGCTTGAAGATGAAGGGGGTCTTTGTCAACGGCGGTTCCGTTGTTGAGATACTGGTACATGGAAATAGAGGCCGAAACGTAAAGCTCATTCGTAATGGCATTCTTGTAAGGCTCTAGGCGGGGATTCCAGACCATGCCGCCGTGGCACAACGCAGTATCCCATCCCTGTGCGCCGAGTAGCCAAAAACTCTTGGCTCGGCTCTGGAACGAAGGGACCCAAAACTGACCGCGCCAAGGCAGCGATGCCAGGGCTTCGTGAACGTCAGTTGGGAAACTCGCATTGAGATTGGACTCAGCCCAGGGGAAATGGAGACTGGTATGCAATCGAGCAAAGTTTGTGGCCTCAATCCAGCCAAGCACCACCCATAATATATCGTCAAAAGCCTGGATAAGTAAATTTCAAAGTCAATAAAGCATCTCAGGCCAAAAAAAAAAAATGGCACGCATACCTGATCTCGGATGGCCACTACATCTTGCTCAAAATGAAAGCCAAGAATTTGATCGTAAATTGACGAGATGAGATTTTCATGCGCCCCTCGAATAGTCGGGTTACTGCTTAGAAGTAGTGAGTCTAGCGATTTCGTAAGAGTCGACAACATGCCAATAACTACAGTTTCTGTAACTGCGGCAGTCCAGTCTATTGCTGATGGCCATGTGTTTCTTTCTATTTGATAATAGTCATTCTGAAGCACGGCGAGCGCCGAAAATGCGCCTTCTAGGATATCAGTGCCGGCGTGATCAGACGTAGAGATGTTTATCGCGTTTGGAAGGAAACTGTCTGGCGCTGGACGACAATTGGTAATCTCGGCGGCCGCCACAGAGCAGTATTTTCTCTCATATAACCCAGGAGCCCCAATTACAACAGGTAGGAAAACAAGAGCAACGACAGCTTGTGTAGTAAGGAGTCGACTCATTGCTGCTGGGGATGAGTGTGATCAATCATGTATGAGTAGCTGCGGCGGGTATACCGGATATCTTTAGGCGTCTGATTAAAAAGAGTTCATTGGCATTCGAGTTCTGGGCACTCGTGGAATCGGCCCAAAAATGGCAATAGTCTGTTGTGTCTTTTGGGCCTCGAGTAGAGAGCTGGACAAGTATCTGAGGTCGAAGACAAGCTCAGATAGTAGAGAGACTGGTATAGCTAGTGAGGATATATATCAGTACAAGGACTATTAGAAATAGCGATCTGATTTTACATATATGAACAAGTCAGTTCAAGGTAGTTCAGAAACAATTCACCAAGACAATTAGGATGATGCCGAATTCGGTTATGAGTGTCTCAGCACAGAATATGTACATGTAGAATAAGACATGCCATACCCTGTAATCTTGCACCTACCAGGTGGTAGAATACATAGCCAGCGCAAAGGAGGGATGTTATACGTTCTAAAAGAGGGATTGAAAAAGTTTAGAATATGGAATTCATCCACCAACTCTACATGCTGAGATTTAGAAGGTCGTTGTTGATGTTGTAAAGATCAAGAAAGATTGATAGACTGCTGATTGTCGCTGAGGGGTAGATCCACAGCCCCGTGACCCATGAAGGGATTGGTATGGCTGGCACTCACTAGCTGCTCTTAAATCGAAGAGGCCTAAAGCAATGATTGCCAAGGTTTTTAACGTTGCGAGCTATAAATTTCGGGTTTTTCAATGGTGTATATGCCAAAGGCCAAGTTGTTTGCAGGGTAGTAATGGCTGTCACGATACTGCAGCACTTTGTAAAGGACTGGTGGAGTAGCAGTAGCAGCTCCAAAGTTTTGTACGGAGAACTTGGTGCACTACTTGTATTATGATTTGCCCTCCGGCGCGCAGCTAAAGTCAAGATATAAATCAGAAGGAATTAGATAAAAAGAAGTGAAAACATGAAATGAAAATAGAATTCCAACCAGCTTATATTAATGGCGTCTGCATTGTGCAAGTATATGGACGTAGTACTAACACCTGCAAGCTCGATCGAATCGCAACTTAAACTAGGTTGTGCATAAGTTCATTTTAAGCTGGCGGTTTCACTGCAAGGGATACCCAATATATGGCACTGCGCTATTTTCATGCTCTTATCAATTATGACTTTCCCTCTTCCATCTTCGACTTTGCTGAAAACTTAAGACTTGTCAACGTCTCTATCATGGCTGAGTTGCGATAATCATTGAACGCTGCCCTTTTACTTTTCACGCTTCTGCAGTGGCTGGTTGGCACGGGAGCGATAGTAGCGGTACAAGAAAGCCCTGCAACGGGGCCTGCCGCGCGCAAGTACAGTACTTGCATATGCCGCCGTTCTGCTTGGCCTTTTAGCAGGAGAGCCCCCCAAAAGCGAGAAACCCCGCCCCGCCAAAAGCCTGTCTGGGGTTTGTTTACTTTCACGCCAAAACAAGGATCCGTCTCGTTTCCAGCTTCCACTTCCAGCCCCGGTCCTTGCTTTTCTCCTCCCGCAACTCCAAAGCTCGACCTCGACCACCATTGCAGCTGCACCACGCCTGGCTGCTGCTTCGACATCCGAACTCGACGCGTTCTCAACCAAACTCACAGCGCCTGCTCCTGCAGTGTCCGACCGCCTGGCGCATCCGCCTTTGCACCGATCAACAATCTCCAGATACGCGACGCGGCGAGCTTGCATCCGCTTACCGCCATTAAAACCCCCAAATAGCCACCGTCGACTCTTTGCAGCTCCAGCATCGCGTGCGGCGCGTGGCAGGGCTTTGCCATGGAGTCCGACGCAGTTACCAGATATCGTTCGCGCATTCTTAGGGAAATGAACGCCAACCGCGAAAATCCCTTCAATTCCCCGCCTTCATCCACCGGCAGAGCGAGCCCGACCCTGTCCTCCGTCTTTTCAGATCCCGACGGCGAGTCCACACGTCTGCTGAACCAGGACATTGCCCGCGTTACTGCCCCCAAGAAGCTGCCCATCAACTGGGAGGCTGCTCACCGCAAATGGCCCGAATTCTACGCCCAGCCCAAGAAGAACATTGCCGTCCTCGACGACCAGACAGACACCAAGCCGCTAAATGACATCTTACGCACTAAGAACGAAAGGAAGACGGCGCAAACCATCCCCAAGTACATTGACGATACCACCGAGGACGCCTGGAACGGCTCCAAGAGAACGCGCTCCGAAATGCAGCCCCGCGTCGACAACGAGCCTGACCTGCCGCAAGTTATTTCACGCGCGCCCGTTAGGAAGCTCTCCAACTACGGCCTGACGAAAAGTGTCGTTCACAACCCCAGCCCTCTATCCAGAGTACACGTCCAATCACCGCCCAGAGAGCGGGCCAGTGAAAGGGAGCGACAAGCGTCTATCGAAAAAGCCCTGGAGATATTGCGCAAGGCATCTTCTACCCCTGGCGATTTGAACCGACGAATATCAACCCACGACCAAAGCTCGCCCATTCTCTCTTCTGCCAAATCCAGCATGACAGCTGTTCCTCCTTCACCCCCTCCCTTGATGTCCAGCCCTGTACACGAGACACCGAATGGCCGCTCATTCTTCATGCCAGACATTTCGCATCTTGATGACTTTGTTACGGGCACTTTGAGATTCAACGGAGCAATGAAGGACGGCGTACCCATTCTTGTTAAACACGGCCAAGTACACGACCAGAAGGAGAGGCCCTTTGGCGTGACACATGCAGAAATCGATGGCATCAAGATTCCTGAAGATGAAGAGAAGATCTTTATATCAATGGATATGATCCGTGAAGAAATCGTCTCTCTCCAGGAGCATCATGACAAGATCCAAGACTATGCCGGCAGCCTTCAGCACGAGGTGGAGAGACTCGAAGCTCAGCTTAGATCATCTCGCAAGGGTATAAACGGAGAGCCTAACATTTTTGGTGTCAGTGAGCAAGTTTTGTCTCAAAAGAAGGGTAAATTTGAGATACCTCTTTATACGATGACGACTGGTTACTGACTGGCATATAGCTCTCGAAGCTGAAGTAGCCTCACTCCAGAAGCGACTGGATCAGGCGACACATCGAATCAGCACAAGTGATATTGAAAACGATACTTTGGCGCAAGAGCGAGACCGTGTCATTAGCCGCCTGCAAGAGGCTTGCGAAGACATCAACAAGTTGACTCGAAAGTTGAGCGTCAAAGAGAAAGAATTAGAAACTACCCACAAGCAGCTGAATTCAACCGGACAGGTGCGCCATGACAATGACACTCTACGCCGGGACGTTGCAGCCCTGAAGCAGGGTCGAAGCACCTTGCAACGCGATAATGCATCGCTTCGGGCAGAAATCGATGAACTGCGGCGTGCACAGCAGACTTTCCTGAACGAAGCTCAGTCCTTGCGCTCTGACGGTAATGGCCTTCGACAGGACCACCAATCCCTTGTCAACGAGAATAGGTCTTTGCGAGCCAACAACAAAACTCTGATGGACGAGAATGAGGATCTCCGAGAGAATCTGGACGTTATCCAACACGATCTTGATGTCGCTCGCGAGGAGATTGAAACGCTTAAACAACAAGTGCAAGTGATGAGGCAGGAGAAGATGACTCTTCGCGAAGACAACGATAGCCTAGTCCGACACAACGACAAATACTTCAACGAAAACAAGACTCTCCGCCGTGAGAACTCTGGTTTTGAGCGTAGCATTCATGATTTGCATGAGAAAAACATTAAGCTGAGAGATGAGCTTGAGGGAGTGAAGAAGCAATTCGACCGCTACCGACCGTCCGGTAAGAACGATTTCCCCACTCGGCACGATGAAGAGACTGAAGAAAACATGACTTCGGCTTTCTTTGTTCCCGACATTACCCTCAATAAAAATGATACCGGTCCAGCTGATGCCACTGAATCCAAAGACATGCCGGATCTACCAGAGTTGACAACGCATACCGACGACCTCATGACTGGGAGCAACGAAGCGCAGAGACGTGAGGCTGCCTCACACAGCGACAAGGCTGATGCAAGACACCGAGCTAAGAGCAGCGTAAAGTCATCGCCATCGAAGAATACTGGCACTGCTCAAAAGGTTGCTTTTGATCTCCCCGACAAGGCGACCGGAAAGCCGCTGCAAGGATCCAAGTCCACAGTAGCAAATCAGGGGAGCAAACGCCGAAGCAGACTTTCCCTGGATCCTTTTGGCGATGATGATACGACAGGGATGCTGTCTGTAGACAACACCACTCAGGACTTGGCCGTATCCCTCAATTTGACCGCAACGGACTACAAGGGTAGAGAGACGAAGCAGCCCCGAAGCCTGAATACCGAGAAACCAGCTCCCAAGGTTGTGCACATTGATTCCAAATCGCAGTCATTTAAGAAGACAGCTATGGCAACTGAGGCTGGCGTGCGGACTGTTAGGGTTGTTGATAGAGATGTTTGTCCCACATTGTCGACTAATGCTCGGCGAATTCTGGACGACCTATGTGGACATAATTGCCAAAATTGCACGGTCTGCAGCCGCATCACGTCTCATTCTGGCGTCATCTCCTCTGCCGATCTGGCTGCCGGTAAGAAGCGCGTGTCGATTCCGCGGCCCGTTCCCGTCAGTGAGCGTGGTGTGTCCGGCGGCGACCATACAGTTCGACCAGCTCACTCCCCTGGCTATGCCCTGGCTCTTGTAATCAAGGGCTTAGAAGATGAGTCGCAGCATCTTCAGCTCGAACTGACGCGCCTTCAAGCCCGATACAATAGAAGTGACAAGTCCATGGGCCGTCAGGATAGACAGGATCTGGCCGAAGCGATTCGCGTGCTTTTGAAGCGTGTCGAGTCGAAGAGCGACCAGATTTACAGCCTGTACGATGTGCTCGAGGGGCAGAAGGCAGTCGGCCAGGAGATGACGGAAGAAGAAGTGGAGATGACAGTCTTGAACATTACGGGCATGACTGTACGAGACGCCACCAATTTGAGTGACCAAATGACATGGGAGGGCATGGTGGAGGCCTAAAGGAAGACCCATGGCTAAAGGACGTATTATATTTCTCTTGCTGTTTTACTATCATTACAATTTCACAAAGATCAAAATGGCTTTGTGTGGTATCTTCTGGATGAGCTCTAGTCGCTAATAAATGCGATGAGAGGAGCCGGGCAATGGGACTAGGATATTGGGGCGTTTTACAAGCTGGAAAATGGCTTCAACTTGATATGCTAGGGCTTAAAGGAATGTCCTTTACTCTGGTGGCTTGCCTTTTTTTTTTTTACGTTATGTTTTTGCTTGCATCTTTCTTCGAAGGAGTTGAAATATGGCGCACAAAGATACCTGCGCGTTTTGCTTTTGTGTAATACTAAGACTTGTACTAAGTTGGTGTCTTTGATTAGCGACTGTGAGACCTGACTGATTTGGTCAATGGCAAAATGGGATAATAAGAATTTGCAAATATGGATACTGTGATGTGACGTGAAATGGAGCATGTGAATTATATATATAAATATCAATATGACCAAAAATCAAATCTTTATTTTTAAAACTCTGGAACCAAACTCCCTAATATTATCCGACATCCATCAGGTTATATACAAAGATCTATCTACTCGTCATCTTCTTCCTCTTCCTCTTCCTCTGCTTCCTCCTCATCGTCCTCCTCTCCTCCAAGCTCGTCGTCCATATCTACGTCCTCATCGCTGTTCTCTTCCTCATCACTTGGTGCTTCACCCTTTTCATCCTCTTTCCTCTTTCGCTCCTCCTCCTGTCTCGCCTCGGCCAGGACCTTTGCGCGCTCGGCTCTAGCAGTAGCCTGGCCAACGACGTACGCGCCCAAAGGCGTCTTGGCCGCATCAAAGTCCTTTAAGAAGGCATCGACCTGGCTGCGGTGCTTGGGCGCAAAGTCGACCTTGGCGCGCTTCTCCTCGATGAATTTGGCATTGGCCTCGAGCTTCTGCACCAGCACGGAGAACTGTGAGACGAGCTTGGAGTTCTTGTTGCCGCTGGACTTTGCGCTGACTTGCTTGAGCCATCGCTTGAGCTGGATGATGACGGGGAGGGCGAGTTCGGGGAAGGAGATGGAGGTTGACCAAGTGTACATGAAGCTGCTCATGAGCTCGACGACTTCCTCTCCAATGCCATCTTGGAAGACTCGTGTGCGGAGATATGACTTGGGGGCTCTGTAAGCGACGGCAAAATCCATCGGCTTCAGTGTTGATGCCTTGGGAGCCTTCTTCATCTCTGCAGAGTTGAGCACTTCTAGAAGAGGTGACGCAAGCGGGATGTAGACGTCGGCAGCACGCGACAGAACGAGCAGTGAGCGAATGAGGTGGAATCGAAGAGGGAAGTAGAGGGATGTGGGGAGAAGACGCATAGCGCCAAGGGTCACTTGGACGAGGGGATAGATGAGCGGCCTCAAGGGGCTCTCCTTGCCGGCCTCGGCCTCCTTCAAAGGTGTGCAGTGCTCGGCGAGAACGCGGGCCCAGAAGTCGAGTGAGTGGGTAAACTGCCAGTTGTAAACCATGCGGAACGAGTCATTCTTGTTGTTGACGATGCTGTTGCGAAGGTGGATGGCGAGTTGGCGGATAAAGGTGAAGGCTGTGGTGTAGCCGACAGCAGGATCGATGCCCCAGAGTCCGGCGGCCGAAAACTTCATCATGTCGATACCGGCAAGGGTGTTGTGGTTGGTGACTCGGCAGCCCTGGACGAGGCCCTGGTAGACAGCCTTGAGGACGGTTTCGCGGATACCCTTGTCTCCGATGATGACGAGCCGTCTGATAACACGGAAAGCAGTGACTCGCGATGAGTGAGAGCCAGCGGCTTGTGCCCAGAGGTTCACCATGGACTTGGCCAGAGCCTTGATGAGCTTCTTGAAGGATAGCAAGTATGGGAGAACCTCCACAATCGCCAAGAGGGTGACGGTGATTGTACCGTCATCTGATAGCGAGTGGAGGAGGTGCATGATGGAGGCAATGTAAGACTTCAAGAGCAGAGACAATGTCTTGAACTTCTTGCCCTCTGTCTGAACGTAAACCTTGCCTGCCGCTGACTCCTTGATAGGGAGATGGTGGTTTAGAATGAGAGGAACTTCCTTCAAAGCAAGAAGCAGAATATCGTTGAAGACTTCCGGGCTGTTGATGGACCATCGCATATCAGCCTGGCCCTCCTCATCGGCTTCGTCGAGGTGAGCAGCGCATCGGAACGCAAGCACCACTTGTCTGGTCGCTCGCAGAGACTTGGTCTCCTCCATCGCTTTCCTCCAGCCTGCAACAGTGCTGCGAGTCAGCTCATTGTTCTGTGTTGCCTCTTCCTCCGCCTTACTGCCCTTCTTTCTCTTCTTCTTGGGCAGCTCCTCATCTTCTTCGCCGGCGCTCAGTTCGTCGACCTCGGCCAAGTCTGCATTCTCGTCGAAATCCAGCGCTTCGGGGTCGTTTTCTTTCAGAAATTTGAAAAACTCCGGATCCTTCTCCGCAAGGCCCTTCATGGCCTCTGCGCTCATGCCAAGTCCAGCACCCTCATCGTCGTCGTCGCCATCTTCGCTGTCGCTCGCAACGGGCTGGGCACCAATTGACACGTCAGAGTCGCTCTCTGCAGATTCCTCCTCCTTGGCTTCGCTTCGCTTCCGCTTGCCGAGTTTGCCATCCTTGTCCTTCTTATCAATGATGTCCTCGAAGCCGCCGGAGAAGAAATCGTCGACGCTCATCTCGGTGACTTTCTTTGCCTTGCCTCCGGCAGGTTTCTTGGCAGAGGCATCGGCCTCGCCTTCCTTTGAGCCCTTGATATATTCGGCATCTTGAGCTCGTTTCTCTTTCTGCTTGTTTCTGATCTGCAGCTTCTGCTTCAGCTTTGCGCCAGCCTTTCTCTTATCCAGAACATCTTTCAGATGCGATTTTTCGAATTTTTTTGTCGCTTTCAGATTTTTCTTGGAAGAACCCATTTTAGGCAATCTTTTGCAGCTATTGAGGGGGCTGCAATTGAGGGTTATAAAAGCAGAAAGGAAAAAAGAAAGATGATGCCGCTTGGAAAGGCAGAAAGCGTCGCGCTGCTAACGTGCCAATTGCACTTTCCAAAATTTTTCGATAGCGATCATTATCGATAAGGCAGCTCCACTACAAGAATTTGGGCGGTCAATTAATTCTGCCAGCCGTAGCGCCTCTAGTGCGGCTTATAGTGGGCTGAGTGCTAGCGCCTCGACACAGTTAGCTCAGTGAGTGCCGTCACCACCATCTTTATATGAGACCCAAGCATCGTCACAGCTTCGCGGCTCGTCGATGCCTCGCCTCAGTCCACCATCATGAACACGCGTCAGAGCTACGCGCCCACGCCTCATAGCTACGTCCCCAACACGAGCCTGGCTGCCACCATCAACCTCGATGAAGTGAGTAAATCATACCTAATTAAGCATCATCGAAACCCCTCCCCCGCTCTCTCATCATGATGTATGCGTATATAGCTAATCAAATCTCAACCACGTAGGAGGTGAAGCTCACCGACACCCGCGCTGAGCGCGATCTCCAAGACTCTCTCGGCGAACTGTTCAGCATTATCGTCACGCTCGATGAGCTGGAGAAGGCGTTCCTGAAGGATGCTATCCCGGAGGCTGAATACACGGACATCTGCGAGCGCTCATTGAGGCAGTACAAGGCGCTTCTAGCAGATGAGACAATTGCAAACGAATTCAAAGACCTCGAAGAATTCAAAGCAAAATGGGATGTGAGTTACATCATACTAATGAATTCAACCATGAAGCTTCCTTAACTAACCTCGATATCTGCGCAAACCAAAAAGCTCGACGTCCCCCGCGCAACTGAACGTCTCCGAGTCGGCATGCCCTCCACCACCGTCACCGCATCCTCCGCCGCTCCAGCTCCCGCTCCCGCCGCCGCCGCAAACAACACCAGCGGCGTGCTCATCCTGGAAGCCACGCAGGAGTTCATCACCTTCCTCGACGCCGTCAAGCTGGGCCTGCTGTCCAAGGACCAGCTGCACCCGCTGCTCTCGGACGTGATCCAGTCGGTGAACCGCGTGACGGACAAGGACTTTGACAACCGGGGCAAGATTGTGCAGTGGCTCATCACGCTGAACCAGATGAAGGCGTCGGATGAGCTGAGCGAGCAGCAGGCGAGGGAGCTAGATTTGGATATCCAGCAGGCGTATCAGGGCTTTAGACGTACATTGACATGATACCATTTTTCTATATCTTGAAGTTAAATCTTGTAGTAGAATATATTTTCCCTTTTCCTTGTCTATATGTATGAAAACAAACACCCCATTGATGGCCATGGTGATGATAGTGATGATGATCATGCAAACTCTCTCGAACTCACACCAAAAACGTCCAGAAACTCGGATACACAAACTCCTCCTCAAATATCCTCCTCACCTGCTCCAGCACAAACCTCTCCACCTTTCCCACATTCTTCAAGCTCTGCCTCCCGCTCTCCCGCTCGCCAATCTCGCTCTCCACCTTGATCTCCTGCAGCAGTCCCCCGAATCTCCCTCCAGTCTGCTGCTTCTTCTCCTTTTCTCCTCCTCCATTACCTCCATTACCATCTCCCGCCACAGATTCCTCTCCTTTATCCCCCTCCGGTCCCACCGCAACCAACGCATCATCCGGATTCAAAAAGCAGAAATGCACCCTCTTCCGAATATGCGCCAGCACACCTACCCCATCAAACGTCAACCCCGTGATATTCAACTTGAGCGGAATCCCCACAAAGCTCGGCATCGGATAGTCGAGCAATATCTCCGCCGTCAGGTTCAGCCTCACGTCGCCCGCGTACCGGATCCGAAACACCGCCTGCACATCCTCCACCTTCGCCTCTCTCTTGCCGCCTCTTTCCACTTCGTCGTCGTCATCGTCGTCATCAACAACCGCAGAGTCCTGCCCATGGCTCGTCGACGGCCTCGACGGCTGTCCCAGCGTGCTCGACACATCCGACTTTGCACCCAAGCTCAGTGCCCCCATCCCCGGATCCAGCAAGTTATCAATCGAGCTCAGCGACGCCTCCCTGCTATGATACGGCGTCTGCACCTCCGACCCCGCCGCCGAGCCCATCCAGCTCGTGCCCCCCAAATGCGCGCCCGCCACCGCAGCCAGCGGCGTATGCGTCCCCGTCGCCAGATGCGCCTGGAAATAGTTCCTCCCCGGCCCGCCCAAGATCCCCGGCGTCGACGTCCCCAGAAACGCCCTCCCCAGATCGTGGCTGCTCACGTCGCTCTTCAGCGCCTCCCGCAGGCCGTTCTCGCGCTTGCGGGCCTCCATCATCGCCGCCGCCGCCGCCAGCCGCTCCCGCTCGGCGATGCTCTCCTCGTCCTCGTCGCTGTCCTGGCTGTCGTCCTCATCGTCCTGCTCGTAAAAGTCCGGCAGCGGGTCTGTGATGTCCTTGAGCTCCAGCTCTGGCGGGATCGTGCCGAAGTCAAAGCCGTGGACGTTGACAGATCTGATGAACCGCGGCAGTGGCACCGTCTGGAATTTGGCGTGGATGAAGGTCCTGATGCTCTCGGCCAGCGCATCGCCGTCTGGACCGCTTGTGAGCGTCTCCCAGTTAAGATCAATCGACATTTGGAGATTTGGGGTGAGTCAGGAGAAAAGAAGAGGAAGAGGAAGAAGCTTATCGAGACATTAAAATTGATTACAATAAATTGAAAGTTGCTTGGCAGCACTGGTGGTAGGCAGAAGATGTAAAATGGTTGACTGAGAGAAGTTGGCCACTTAGAAAGTGTAGTGTGAACATCAACTTATTAGCGGGGCCATAGTATGACTTTTTCAAAGTGCTGGTTTCAAGAACACAACACAGGCATTATTTTCGCTTCATTAGCCTCTTATAGGAAAAAGAAACAAATAAATATTGTTGCTATCGAAGACAAGAAACAGTTCTCAAAAATACTGTTTCTTTTTCTGTAGCTTAATATCACACAATTTGGGCTGATCAGTTCGCGCATTCATCTTTTCAATCCGTCCGCTTTCAACTCTGTGATAAACATTTAGGGTATCTCGTTGCTCCTTCACTCATCTCATCCCTCCATCCCAAAAACACATCCACATGTAAACTTTGAAACCAACTTCACAGACGAAAACTAAAGGTAATAAGTGTGCGTATGAGGTTCAACTCGCCAACGCCATGATGGAGCCAAAAAAAAAAAAAAAAACTATAGCCAACGCGCTGTAAATGCTTCTCCGTACACCACTCGAGTTCTACTCGCTTAGTCTCAAATCAACTCATTTTCTCAAGCCTCTGCGTCCTCAAATCTGGCCTGGTTGTAGTACATGTTATGCTGAGGCTGCTTAAAAAGATGCCAACAGTTAGGAGCTTGCAATATGTACCTGCGAATACAATTGTTAGCATGTCGGTGCACTAACATCAAAGTGTCGCAACATATGAATTCGAAACAGAAACACTTACCTTGCCATGGCCTCTCTAAATCGAGACTTGTACTCCTTAGGACTCGTCACAGTCGGCCTGTTCCGACCACCACCCGCGAAGCCGCGATCTTTGATCCAGCTCTCAAGCTTCTTGTCCCACGTATAAGTTCTGATGCAATCAATGATGCCCACGACCAATTCCTTTCTCCTCTCATCCACCGCAATCATCAGAGAGTAGTCCATTACGTTCTGTCGCGCCAAGAACAGCGTATCGTTCCAGACAGACGCCCTAAGGAGCTTCTTGGAGTGTTCGCGCGCAAATAGAGGAGATTCGTAGATGTACTCCACCATGTTTTCGTCTAACAACACCTCATTTTGCTCGCCTGTTGACTGGATTTTGCGGTTGCGCATGGAACCCTTCAAATCAAAGATTCTCGTTGGAGATCTGTCGTAGAAGAGATTCTCCGTCACCAGCAAGTCCAGCTTGATATCTGTCCCTGTCACTGGGTTCTTTATGAGAATTTGGAAGAATCCCATCATCTTTGCGATTACAGACGGCAGATCATGGAATAGCGCCTCAGCCATTATACTGAAATATCCTGGAGCAAATCGTAAGAACGCAGACGTCTCGATAGTCGAGAGAGACTGAGAATTAACGCGTTAGTCAAAAACTGATACACTTGGCACTTTCAAAGCTCCCCCTTTTCTTACCTTCAAAACTAGTCGATCATCAAGCGTCTTCAAGAACACCGATTTCGTTTTACCACCCTTTGAATCCCATTGAAGACATCGCGACAACGATTCCACTATGCGCTCGGCAACACCACATTTTCGCCTCAGAGCATCAAACTGCTCCGCATAAAAGATCTTGCAAGTCATGACCGCCGCGCCTTCCTTGAACTGATACTTAAGATGCGTGCCGGTGGCGCGAAGTAGACTCTTTTCAAGATCTGTTTCGTCAGCAGCCCAATCTGGGTTGTCTGATACTGGCATTGATTTGTGGTCACCATCGATATTGCCGTCCATGTTCTCGTCTATGATGCTGTCCGCTTCCCGCATCATAGTCTGGTGCGCATCTCGTCGGATGTTGGCTAGTTTTTCCTTGTAATCATCGCTGTTAAGAGCCAACGCGATGACCGAGCTAGGCTCATCTTCTCGAACAATAATGTCCGAGTCAACAAAGATGTGATCTGTAGCATTGACGGGATACTCCAGCGCAGGCCACCCACTGGCTGATCGTTCAGCCCAAAAGTTGGTAAGATATTTCATTAGGCTTGTTTTCTGATGCTTTGGAAGCTCAAGTGGGATCTCGGCGCTAGAATCTGCAATTTCTTTAATGTCGGGCATAAACTCATCAGATACCGAAGGCTCAGCGTCACTAGTACCTCCCTCGTCATCCGACATGCCTTGGCTCGTGTTCGGATTAGTGGTTTCATCGTCCCATCGAGGCTGGCTATCCGAATGCAGAGGAGGTTCGCTGGGAGTTGACGGCTCCGTTTGGGATTCTAGCCTAGATAACCCTTCTCCTTTTCCTCCCAAGGAAGTGGAAGAAGCTTCTTGTAATCCTGTCTCTACGTCATGCTCTGTATTTGGTTCGCTTGACACAGCTGGTTCATCAAACGCTTCATTTACGTTGTCGTACACTTGCACAATCGCCTGCGTCGATGTCTTGGGGAGCATGGGACGAGGATTCCGCATGCTGGCGGCACGCTTCTTACGGTCTCGGATGCGCTCCTTTTCAAATTCTCTGCTGAACTCTCTGCTGAGCTGTTCAAAGTGCTTTGCCAGAGTTGTGACTTTGGATTCCTTCTTCTTGCTCTGCACCATGCGAGGAATACTTGAGCCAGCCATCTTTCCCCTGTTTTTCAACACAGTCAAGCCGAGTCGATCAGATAGCTTCTTATCCGACTTGATAGACCCCCCTTCTGACTGTTGATCTGAGTTGGCAGGTTCCGAGGACTTTGAGATAGAATCGGAAGAGCCAATTGACTTGCCAAGGGACTGTAACCTAGACAGTGTCCGCGAAGGCTGTGATGTGGCTCGTGTTATTGGTGGCGAAGTGCTAGTAGCAGACTTTCGCCGAACACCTTGTTCTGAGACCTGTCTGGGTGTTGTTTCCATATCGGCAGGTCTATCACTGGAGTCCTCTGATTGTCTTGGTTGCAAAGTCTTCTCGCGGCGGCTTGCCTCAATCTTCTCAGCAAGGGACTGTCCAGACGCAGATGAGTTTGTGGGACTGCGAGCCATTCTAACGGGCGATGTAGATGAATGCGTTACTGATGCTCCATCTGGGGGAGTAGTTGCCGCCCTTGTTGCCTTTGTGTCTTCACTGTTGGCAGCAGCCGCTTGAGTGTCATTGATAACAACAGGCGCTGAGCTTGCCAGATCTAGCGGCTGGGCATGCTCAAGAGTGTCCTCCGTCACAGGTGAAGCCTGTACATCTTCGGCATCAAGCTTCTCTGGGGTCAGTTTCGTAGAAGTGGTGCTGGCCTCCATACCGTTATCAGTAAAGTCGGCAGTTTGCGAAGTTTTCTCCTCCGACTCAGAAAAGGTTTGCGACGGACGCTCCTCGCTGTCCGCAGCTGACTCCGTTCCTTCGTTAGATGCAAGTGATTCCTTGGACTCGTTGTCGGTGAAAAGTTTCTTCAGCTGCAGCATTGTTAGCTGCCGCATATCTTTATCTCCTAAAAAGTCGGCCTCGAACGTGGCAAATATTTGATCCCATTCGGTGATTGTTTCCAACATTTCTCGAACAAGAATGTTGAATGGAACAACCTCGTAGTACTTGGAATTGACGTAGATTTCTTGCAGCCGATGGACCATAAGGGCTTGTTCTTCCTGAGCCTTTTGTGACAGCCTTTCGAGCTCTGCCTTGCAAGATTCAGCTTTTTCAGGAAGAACACTGTCGATCCTAATGCTCTTGAGCCGGGCATTTACAGATGCCATGAATTTCGCCCAGCGCTCATCCATCTTTGTATAAATTTCGTTCTTGAGCTTCAGATCGTTTCCTACTTTCCAAGTGAGTCGCGCTCGTGGTACGACAATTTCGAGAAGGTCAATTGGATCCCAGTGAATTCGAACCCGGGAGTCATGCAAGCTAAAGTATCGAACGTGATCTTTTTGATGATCATGAGGGCATTCCATAGCATCCTTCATTCGCAAGCCACGGCCCCAGTAAAGAAGCTCCAGGTACTTTCCAAAAGAGTATTTGTACGTAGTCTCCGACATTGCCGTCTCTTCTGAGTCTTTCTGGCAGATTTTGCAATAAGTCCACATGGAAATTCCATCTCCTAGATCAGGTGATCTGGGAGAGGCATTCGGAAGATGCTCCACAAACACGGTGACTCGGAATTGGTCATGGACAAAAGTACGATGATGCTGGGCCATCTTGCGTTCGCATCCGTTGGAGTCGCAAATTTCATCTTTACTGTTGACTAGGTGTTCAATGTACTGGCCGAGAGTGCAGTCCGGGTCCATGTCAGTATCTTCACGCTGCTCATCGTAGAAATTGATGCCAACCAAGACGGGCTCTGTGCAGGGAATCTTCGTTTCGGTGCAAATGACAGAATAGAGAATGATGATATTTTGGTGCGAGTAAGGGTCGAAAAGGTCCAGGTTGCCTTGGATATACGTTTCCCACTGGCGTGTCTGCGTCTGGTATGTATAAAGAGCCTTGTCGTACTCGGCATCGTGCACCGCATGAAGAATCTCCATGATCTGACGGGGCGCTTTCTGGCCAAGCTCTTCGACCATTTCCGGCTTAATAAGTTGAAAGTTTTGAGGATCAGCCTTTTCTTCGAAATCTTCTTCAACCATGTCCTGATCTCTTAGGCGTCTGAGATACAAAAGGCGCCTTTCCTGCTCACGGGCTTTCATAAGAAGATACGGCTGGGTGAACCGCACATATGGTGAAGCCGAAAGAATCTTGGTCTCATACTTGGACACCATGTCGCTATAGAAAGTCGGCATGGGCACATCATCTGGCACCTGGCTAAATGCCGAGTCGTGAATATGAGATTCATGCAGCGACAGCAGCTTAGGTGGCTCAGAGCTGGCTTGATCCACCGAAAGCTGTGAAGTCGGCGCCTCATTAGTGTCTCCGACACAGGAGCTTTCGATAGTGGCCTGTGACGGCGGATCACCCTCACTAGACGGCTGGTTGATCACCACAGTTGGGCCATGTCTGCCAGTGTTCGAATACTGTACCGAGTTCAGTGAGCGAATGCTATCGTTTAATGCTTGGAAAGAATTGGATAAAGAGGCAGATTCGTTGGCCTCGGGTGGCTCAACAGACTCATCCCGCAAAAGACTCGACTCAAGCTTGAGATTGTATACAACATAGACCATGAAGTCGGTGATGTATTTCATCTTGGCGAGAAGGTCATTGCTGGCTCCTCGAAGCGTGATGGTGCATCCGAGCTCACGTCTGCATCCCGAAAGGAAGATGTAGGATTTCTTCCGGCCGGGATAATCGTTGTTCACAAATGTTCTGACCTCAAAGGCGCTACATCTCCCAACCTGAGCCTCTAGCATGTCAAAGGACTCGATAATCTTTGTCTCGGTACAGCGGGCAACAGCTGCTATGACAGATCGCTTGACATTAAACGCCACTGCAATATTGGCATCCGAGAGATATTGCAGAGCCAAGCCAGAAATGGTCTTTTCCGCAAGCACAACATGAGGTTTGAGCTGCACGATTCTCTGGACCACAATTCTGAGAAATTCCTTCTCCTGCGCAATGACCGGCTCCAAGCTCATAAATTGCTGCTGGTGTCTCTGGTATTCAATTGGAAATCCCACAAGTAGGATCCTGGGATTTGTAATCTTGCGTGGCATACTCTTTAAAGCAAGATTTTTGGTGAAGACGATTCCAGAGATGTAGGATGTATCACCAGGTTTACCTCCTGGTATTCTCTTGAGCTTGACATAGGTTCGAATATCCATGGATTCGCCATTTGCCACGTCCGGGGACACATCGTCTGTCGCCTTCAAAAGAATAGGAACCAGCGCCTTTTGCCAGGCCTCAGGGTTAGGTATATCCCCGTCAACCAAGAGCTGATAGAGGAGCCTGTCGACATGCCTCAAACTAGACTCATTGAGCTTTGTTTTGGCCTCCTTACGCTTCTGGAGCGAGTTGCTTCTAGTCAACTGGGTCCCGCTGTGGTTTGGAGCATCCACAGGAAACAGCATCTCCGATGATGTTGACGGACCCTTGAAGACGATAGACTTGGGTCGGGGAGAGCCAAAATGGTGAACGCTGCCGCTAACATTACTGTGATTGCGCCGCCGAGTTGACCTCCGGTGACTGGCAAAGCCGGGCGTCAACTCATCAAGCCCAAAACCACTTCGGCTGAAGTGGCTCATTCCGCTGATGCTTTTTTCGCCCCCTTTATGGCGATGATGCTTCTTTGTAGAGTTCATGAGTGATGAAAGATTTGATTTGTCAGGGTCAAAGCCTGGAGGGGGAATATCGGCTGATGCGAGAGTCGCAAAAATACTGCCGACTTGCTGTTCATCTCCGCTCGAGTCATCCGACATGAAGTCAGCTAATTCTGGGTCGATGATGTTATCGTCATGAAAAGCTGGGAATTTGGTCCGATTGGAGTTTTCTTCTTGAATACCTCTCCGAAAAGGAGCTTGGTCCGGCTTGATCCTTCCCAGCAATCCATGCTTTGAATGGTGTCTTTTATGACCAGCAGACGAGTGGGGTCTACCGGAAGAAAGAGACTTGAGCGAGCGTGATGAACTCGGCCGACTGAGCTGCGGAGCGCCAATTTCCAGAACAGAAGAGGTGTTGTTAGATTCATTGACTCTTCGGGTTGCTGGTATTGTCATCATGGGTGTTGTTACCGGTCTCGAAGTCTCTGGGCTCTGCAATGTCTCTGGCTCCCTGAGAGGCTGCGCAAAAGAAACTGTTGATTTTCTGGGGTCTTCCGAGCCAAATATTCTTGGCAGATACGACTGCTCATCGCCAGAGTCCTCTGAGCCACTGGCGTCAAAGCGCCGAGTGATGACATCGATGCAGCGCTTACAAACCCGGAGAGAGCCAGGAAGACCAAATCTTTCACCCGAAATAACAACAGTACACTTAGAATCAAAGATGAAACCGCAGGTTCGGCAGTGGTGCTTTCTTCGAAACGCTGTAAACGGACCCTGGCAGAGAAAGCACTCCTTTACGGTCTCGTCCTTCATCCAAAATTCTTTACTTAGTATTTGTCTGCGCATTCTGTCTAGCTGGGCGTTCATCTGGTCCGACGCTCCATGATGACCGGCCGTGGTACCTGGGATGCGGATATCGCCAGTCCGCGAGCGTTGAAGATTGGAGTCTTGAGTGAATGAGCTATGATGAATCGAATTATGGGCAGACGTGATGATATGACTTGCTTCTGCTGTTCCCCGGTCGGCAGACGAGTCCCTCGAAGCTGAGTATCTCAAATGGTTTGGGTGGCTAATACGATCAATAACAGCAGGCTTTCTTCGGACGTCATCGGGAGATAGCAGGGACGATGCTGCAGACGGACTTCGTGAGTGAAAGGTCGTCTGCAATGGCGACATGAGGGGGCCTTTCCCCTTGACTGGACTCAGCGGAGCTTCAGCGCTTCCACTCTCAGCACTAGAAATGCTGTTGTCCCTCCGCACCCTTGCAGGAATGCTGCCACCTTTGGGATCGTACAGGGTTGGTGAGTCGACGGATGAGAGGCGCGTCTGTAAGTCACTCTGGGGTTTGCCATCATCAGTCTGAACAGAGCTACGGCTGGCATCTCGTATCCTTGCAGAGGGGCCGGCGATGGTATGAACAGCAGTTACAGGACTTGTGGCATTTGTTGGTAGGCTCTGCCGACTAGAGGGGTGAGACTTGGAGCCGCTAATTAGGCTGATGCTTCCAGATTTGGATGCGGCAGGCCGGCCATCGACAGGGTTGGTGGATGTTGTGGGAGAGGATACATCGCTTGGCGCAAGCTGAGATGTTGCGGTAGAGATGGTGGTTGCAGTCTCGGCGCGGCTCAGAGACGATATCGACGGCTTCGAGGCATGTCCTTCGCCGGCAGCCGACGATGCCTTTCTGCCCGACTTTTCCACCCTTTCGGCATCGTCTTCCCTCTGCGCAGCCTTGGACGAGCTGCTCGCACCAACCGCCTCTCGAAACCGGCTGTAGAGCCCGCTCAGGCCTTGCTGCACCGTCCCCCGGCTCTCGGTATCTGCAACAACCACGGGAGGAGGAGCAAAGTCGTTGAACGTAGTCAGCGAGTCGGTACGGCTGGCCGTGGTGTGTATCTGGTCGAGGGCGTGCGCGAGCTGTTCCTTTTCCAAGGTGGAGCTCACCGAGACGGAGTGGACGGAGTCGCGGCGGTGCTGCGAGTGTGTAGGAGAGATGAGCGAGCCGGAGAAGGAGGACGCATCCATAGGTTTCGAAGCGGGCGTATGGCTAGCCATGGTGTTGTGATCGGGGTCTATCTGGAAGCTCTACTGGGAGCTCTACCGGGAGCTCTATCTGGAAGCCCTGGCCGAGTGGTGGCGCTGCTTCAGTGGCGCTGCTTCAGCACCCGCCCGCCGCTTAGACGTGGATTTCCAAGCGAAGGCGCATGCGCAGTGTCGCCAGCATGGTGGTGTAGGAAAGATGACGAGAGGCAGTCGAGAGCGTGGAGTTGAGGGCTACGTCAGGTATGCGGTGCCGCATGTACGCATATGTAAGGGCTCTGTAGGCTGCAGGCGGGATATGCGAGCAGAGAGGCGGAATGCAGGCCGTTGGCGAGGGGTCAGTCAGCCGCGGGAGGCAACAAGAGCAAAGCTTGATTTGGCCTGGCAGGATGTGACAGCTTATCGATGTCGTTGACTCGGCACAGTCTAGTCTGGAAAATACCTGGTACTTGTAGCTCTATCTACCTAGTATAGATACCATGCTGCATCGTCGGTAATAATATGTGTCACTTTCTATCATCTCATTTCGTAACATGTCACTGCTAAGCGCCTCGAGCTGTATATCAAGCACACCGTTGAGCTTCTCTCGAGGCGCTCGGCTACGTCCCTAGGCCTAGAGAAGCACCTGATGCTACCTGACAGCTAGCGCCTGCCCAAGCTCCCTGTCAACCCGCGAAAACCCCACCACGCCCAGCCCAGCGCCAGGTCAAAGACGCGATCATCTCCAACTCCAGAAAAATTCCTGGACCGCGTTTTGCGACGTCCCGCTCGCCTGCATGGTGTTTACGATCTGAGTCTGAGTCATGGGATGCGAAGCCCTGCCAGGCGCCCGGCGATTCTCTCTGATTGCCTGATCAACGGACCTCGCACACTGTCGATTGCGCCTCGAGTGGCTGTCAACGCTTGCTTGGCCGTCCATCTAGTCTTGATATTGCCGATAGATGCGCTGACCAGCCCGCCGCGCCGCATCATCGCCGACTTTACAAAATGCCTCCCAAAACGTCACCAGCGCACGATGTCACCGACCTGCTGGGCCGCCGCAGTCTTGCCACCATTCCCAAAGACCAGAAATCGCTGCTCGAGGCGGAGGGCTCCTGGGCGGTTGACATGAAAGATGGGCCGCACGGTCTGTCTACTGTCCCGAGCCATGTCCTGCAGACTCTGAAGGAAGCATTTGTTCGTCTCAAGGACAAAAACGACCAAGGGGCGCAAGAAGGCCAGGGGGATCAAGAGGGCGAAGAAGGTCAAGACGACCAAGAAGACCATGAAGACCAAGACCAAGACGACCGAGAAGAGCAAGAAGACCAAAGAGACGAAGAGGTTCAAAAAGATAACGGGGATAAAGAGGGCAGAGAAGACCCCAAACAAACGGAAGATGCTAGACTCCCTCTGACCGTCAATAACGGTGACAAACAGAATGGGTCCTTCCCCGGCTCGATCGCTGCAAGGTCGAGTAAAGTACCCGCATCTTCAGAGGGACCTATAGCTTCACCAGAGAGGGAAATATCATGGCCGCCCTCACCATCCAGAGCGGGGGACCATCTAAACGCATCTGATCCCGGCTCACCCATCGAAGAGGAATACAAGTCGCCATTGCTCGCGCCGCTCACCCAACCGCCACCGCCCGAAGCAGATGACGCTGCAGGCCCCGGCCCCTCATCGGGCATCAGCGAGCCCGATGATCTGGAGATGGAGGTCCCCCAAGCCCAAACAGACTACCATGAGGCACCAATCAACCGTGTAGCGACGCTGATCCATACAGCAGCGCCTCAAGAGCCCACGAGCAATTCGATAAACACGGCGTCCACTACCGATACGCCTCCATGTGCGCAGCCTCGCGTTTCGTCCGGCCCTCATATTCCAATACCAACCCCTCAGTTGTCTATGCTTTCAACTGACCCAGTTCATCACCGGACACGGAGGATGAAGGCGATTCTCTTTGACGAAGATGGTCCCACTGCCTCTGGAACCCCCCCAATACGTTTGGCTCCTTCCACACGCATGCCTTTCGCGCGTGTACATCCTGACCTGAACCTCCAGGGCTCTGCTCATCTAAGCTCTGCTGCCTCATCTCCATACGATGATGATATGATGGAGAGCTCGCCACCCATACCCCCACCACACAGGTTTGTCAGAGACGCCGCCCCCCAAAACAGAGCTCCGGGGCGCCAAGACGAGATCAATAGGCTACCCCACAGTGATCCAGAAGCATCTCATGCTCGCCAAACGCCGATAGGCCATTTATACAAGATACAAGCAGCCATCGACGTGCTGATAAGCAAAAGCGGAGATCCTTACAGTGCTTTCACTGCTACATATCCCGACTACGCGACGGTTCATTCAGGCAACCTCTTGAGCTTTGTTGAGGCGTGCTGCCACCTCTATGAACTCCAGGAAAAGAGGCTGATAAGAGAGTATCTATGCGATGACTTCATCAGAGCATGGTCCGGATATTTGAAGTACGCTCTCAGCGGGAGCCCTAGCCATCTTCCTGCCATCGAATGGTTCAATGACCTTCGAGGTCCCATCCTCTTCAACCGCATGTGTGTAAACAAGGACAACCTAGACACTGTTCTGGGTGCATACCCCGAGGAAGTCGCAAGGATCAAGGCCGCAATGAGCCAGAGCAAGCAAAGAAGCTCAGCTCCAGACCTAGCAACGGAGATGGAGCAAGTCGTGGAAATCGTGGACTTGCTAGACGACGATAGTATCATGGACGACAGCGCCCTGGAAGTGAGACGAGGTGGACGGAGTAGTGTGTCGCGGGCGCAGAAACGGCCAAGAGCAGCATCCGCTGGGGACATGCTTCCTCCGACGAGACAACCGCCAACTGTACCTGCACCATCACGGACAGCACCGGCACCGCCACCTCCTCGACCTCCTATCCCACGAGCTGCGTCCCCGGATCTGGGGAGCGACGACTTTGATTACCTCCCATATCCCGCTAAACCATCATCGCTTGCAAAGACACAGCCACAGCCGCAGGCAGAGTCACATTCAAGATCTCGATCGCGACCAAAAACACAGCAAGCTCGACCTCAGCATCAGCTTGAGACCATCCCGCAACCGCAACCGCAACCGCAACCGCAACCCCAGCTCCAACCAAAGATGCACAGAAGCCTCCCTGAGCGCTCATCACCCCGCCGCCACCCCACAACCTCCGCAGTAATCTCATCTCCCGTATCAACAACACGGCGGCAACCTCCTAAATCGTCCAACCCCAGAGCCGCTTCGCACCCAGCGGCCGATTATCTCGGGAATCTCGTCTCAAAGGGTCGCACCACCCCTAGCTCAAGCGCCAGATCGGGCTCTTCGAAGCCGCGCAAGAGAACGGCCGAGGAGCGGGCGCGGCTGAGAGAGCATTTCCGGAAAAAGGCTTCTACTTCGTCGACGAGTTTCATTAGTAGTGGTATTGATAATTGAAGAACTAAATTGAAAGGAGAAATGGATTGGGCTGATTTAAAAATGACGTATTATTATAATGATGTACATGGTTTATTGATACGCGGCGCGATTGTTATATGAAATGACTGGCAGAAATGGATGGATCACAGAGGGGTATAACAGGCGTTTATTGATATGGGATGAATATGGAAGGTATTTTTAGCAACGAAAAAATACTAAGGCATAGAGTCATAAAACGGAACGAAACAAGTAAAATAAAAGAAATGTTTTCAAAATTTCTGTTATCAAGATCGATTTGAGAATGCATCTCTATTTCATATAAAACGCATCAATGCATGCGTAGAAACAATTTAAAACTGAATAAGAACGCTTCCGCCCCAGTCATATCACATAGTATTTGTTTGAGTTTATCCGTACATAGAAAAGCAAACAAAATAAATCACCGTTCTTCACTTTCAAGAACAGAAGTTGAACAGAGAAAAAGGTAAATCCGATGAGACAGAAACAAAAAGAATAAAATAAACGAATAAATAAATAACCGACTCCTTGAGGAGTACTCGCAAAACCATCTAATCCGTCTCATTCCAGAATATGAATAACACAGCGATACTGTAAAACGCCAGTAAGATTATTTTTTTTTCAACAAAATTTTTCTCAGGTTTTTTTTTTCTTCCTGACTCTGCGCCGTCGAATGTTGAAGTGTATGGAAGGAAGACTAAGTAACACAGCCACCAATGCCCTTGTAAAAAGGGATTTCTTAAACTTTTGAAGTTGTTTGCTTTTGAATGACGTTTGGCGTTGAAAAAAAAAAAAAAAAAAAAAAGTCGAATGGCGGATAAGAGGGAGCGTAATAATAAAGGTTTTAGAAAAAGTGTTTCATGGCGCGTCGTGCAATTATCGTCGAAATCATTGCGTTAAAAAATGGCGGTGGGTGATGGCCGTGTGTCTGCTTGGGCTCATTGCGATATCCAAGCTGCCTGCCAATGGCATGCGAAGTGTTAGTTTTCGCTGAGGGCGAATCAGATAATTCACTCCACAACTCCTGGCTTGAACCTCTCCCCCCTTTTTTGGTTCTTTTTCTTTCCTTCTTTTGAAGTTTACGCATCTGTAGGCTCCATCTTTTCCGTAGTAGCGGTGTCCTGCTTCTTGGCGCTCTCCTCCTTGGCCGCTGCTTCCGCTGCCTTCTTCTTCTGCAGGCGCTTCTCTTCCTCAGGGGTCAGAGTCTTTAGCTGAAGAGCGTGGATGCCTCCCTCTAGGGCCATTTCATCTCGCAGCAGGGCGTAGACCATTCGATGGCGTGCAGGCTGCATCTTGGAGGCAAATACATCGGAAATAATGACTAGCCTGGAGATGGTGTTAGTTGCCGCTGAAGAAACGAATTGCATTCTAGAATCAGTGCATGAAGTCATACCGGAAGTGCGTCTCCTTGGAGATGTTGCCTGCCATGGCCTTGTGGTGGGCGTGGAGGTGCGAATCATTGTAAATTTCCAGCGACAGAGGGCTGAGCGCTGCAGTCAGCTGAGAGGGAAATAAAAAGTCAGCGAACTATACAGACATTGCGCATGAAAAAGGAGCCGTCTTATAAAGGATACGGGATGCAGAAAAGGTCAAGCGAAGTGAAGTAAAGTGGTAAATGAAAATCACAAACCTTGGCGCGAATGGCATCTTCCAGAGGTGTTGCTGAGCCCATTGTGGAAAACTGGCGGCCGACGTTTGAGAAGCCGAGAGCGTATCGTCGGAACATGGTGACAGGAGAATGGCGGGTGGGATGATAAAGTAGCGGTCGTCGTTAGTGGAGCCGGCTGAGGCTCTGCTGGCGGTTCCCTGGTGCGCCGGACGGAAATCACGAGACTTGGGGTGTCGGGCGTTAAAGAGGCGGTCGCGGGTGGAAAAGGCGGCAGAATTAATTGCTGAGTTTTTTGGGTGCTCTGTAAGTCTGGAGGCACAATGGCGAGGTTGTTGGAGAGAGAGGCAGAGATGGTGGGAAGGAAGGGAAAAAGGGTGAGAACTGAGAGAGGGAGAGTGAGGGACTAGAGAGGATAAAAAGGACTTCTCGAGGCCGGCTGGCGGACAGGAACGAGCAGCAGGCCCTGCTAAATAAGAAGTCGTTCTTTGTCGCAAACAACGTGAAATTCGGTGAAGTCGGTGAGAAGTGGTGCGCCATGCATGACTCCTAGAGTGGCGGCGAGCCAATCAGGCGCGGCGACAGGCCCCGGGAACCATGGAGCGGTGACGGCCAAAAGGCGGCGCGCGGTTCCTGGACGCTGGGCGTGGCCTTAGCTGCTTGTAGCGGTGCGAAAAGGGAGCAAAAGTGGTTGCACCCAGGAAAGGGGCATCGCAGCAGCAGGATTTCCCGCGGCGCACACCCCTGGGACCTGGGAGCCACGCCCGAATGGCTGCGTGGGATTTTTACTTTTCTTTCTGTCGCTTCTTTTTCCGTTTTTTTTTCCTTTTCTTTTCCCTCTTAGCATGTACAAGTGTTTGCTAGTGAGTACTCAATAGCAAACGGATGGACATGCATGCATTGGCATCCCTGAATACAAAACCAGCTAGCCAAGCCGTCCTCGACTTGTGGTGCTTGTTGTAATGCTTCTATGTTGTACTTTGTTGTATCAAGCGACATCGCTGTATACAACAGCTGCACTGCTATTACTTGCAACATGCTGGGCCGACCTATGGGATGAGAGCCGTCGTACTTGTTTCAAGGCCCGGCTCGAGGCAGGGAGAGCAGCTCAGCCGTCACGCAGCCGCAGTAATCAGGAGCGTCAAGCCAATGCCTTTTCCGTAAAACCGGGCGTGCCCATCTGTTGACCGTCTCCATGGCGGCCAGAGGATCCTCGTCTGCTCCATGCCATGCTGTTTACCGTATGCAAAACGCACCGGGTCCAGTTCGTTCACATGGTGTCTATCCCCTTGTCTCTTACTCACATTACCCTCCAGTCCCCTCTCTTTTTCCTTCAAAATTTTATGTGCTTCGACTCCAGCCATACATGGATACTGCCCAAGCACGAGCTCTGGGTACATGCTCGTATGCCAGCAAGGGATGGGGGGCCAAACAAGCTGCAGGGCTGCTCAACTGTTTTTTTTGCTTGCAGCGTGTCCTCGCCCGGCAATTGGGCCAGCGCCAGAAAAGCACCAGCACCAGCACCAGCCTGTGCGCGCCACGCACCACCCAGCAGGTCGGGATCAGAGACCGCCATTTTTAGCTCGCCTCGATCGAGCCGTGACGCCGATGGATTGCGATGGTGCCCTCTTCCCTGTAGTCCTCCCTGTAGTCTTCCCTGTAGTCTTCCCTGTACAGTAGGCGAGCAGCCCGTCAACCAGGAGGGGCTGCTTGGGGGGCTCTCGGTGGTGTAACCGCGTGTTGAGTGGCCAGATGGAGCGAGCAGAGAGAACGGGGAGAGAAGAGAGAGAGAATTGCCCAAGGCGGCAACGCTGTTTTGGTACAGTATGTGTGCATGTACTTTGGCAACCTCCTCACAGGTGCAGCAGCTTCATTTCGTTAAAGCACCGCTAGCAGCAGGAGGAGGTGTTGCTGCTGCCTCCTTGCAGGGAATGGGCTTGTGCTTCTGCAACTAGAGGCTGTGGCCGTTTTGCTGCTGATACAGTAGGAGCAGGCATGTGTGTACATGTGAGCATCAATCATTTCGTTTCTTTTGCCTCTCCCTTACATGCTCATGGCCAGGTATGCGTATGCTCACACACTCTCTCACACACACGGGCTTCTAACCAATGCAAAGGTGACAGCTTTCACGCAGCCGCCAGATGTGGTGGCAAAAATCTCAGATAGACGGCACCCCATCTGAGATGCCATCTCGTCACCAAGCTTCGACAAGAGGGCCCGTGTAACAGCGGTAACGACGCAGCCGTCGTTTGTGGCGTGCGTGTGCGTGTGAGTGAGTACATTGGATGTGCCTGTATAGGTGTGTCACCCTCACCACTTGTAGGTTTTTGCAGAAGGCTCAGGATTCCTCACCAGAAGCCTCACTTCTCTCACTCTGTCTCCCCTCCTCTCCTCTGCTCTGTGCTTGACCCCCTGATCTACCATCACGAGGCATATCACGCCTCTCCTCCCCAACGTCTCCAGCCGGCCGGTTCGCTAAACTAGCAGCTAGACAAGAATCCCATCGCCGAACGTAACGTGGCTGACAGCAGATCGAGCTCAGAAAAGTCGGGAACGCACCGTTGACCCATGCCGCTCACACGCTTCGGTCTCCTCTTTCAGTGACCGCCCTATTGCCATGCAAGACCCCTGCGCTCAACCAAAAAGTGGCGGCCCCCGCTTGCTGGCATAAGCTTCTGTCTCCCCTTCTTCTCTGGCAGGGGCCCAGCCTAGCACAGGAGCAAAAAGGCCTCTGCTTATGTGCTCTCCGCCTTTTTGTGATTCCCAATCCCGCCTATTCACTCGACGCCAAACCCGGCCGCGGCCGCGGCCACCGCCCGCCTCGGTAGTCTTGCAGTTTCAGTCGTGCGTGGATGAAGTGCTGGTAGGCAGCAGACTGTGGGATGGAAGCGCAAAGAGACTAGCCGTGCTGCACGCGACCTGGGAGATGGAGTGATGCCAATCGCCAATCACAGCCGCATCTTGCGTACACACTTGGTCGTCGTGGTAGGTAATACCTACTACATGTACACTGCAGCACTATTACCACTACCTACATGAAGTATACATCAACCTCATCATTGGGCACTGCAGTACGAGCCATTGATGTTGATGCTGCATGCTGCCGTGTGCCCTTGGACAACGTCTCGGCACTCACTTACACCGTAACTGCAATGACTAGCGGCCGTTTTAGTGCTTCCAGATGCATTCCTCGCCATAGGTGCGCTAAAAGAAAAATCGGAAGCAGCACCAGCAGAGCAGTTGAAGCCCTGAGAGCCAAGGTAAACGTCAACCGTAGCACATTCCCTCACCGGCCCAGCGGCGTTCGTGCCCCGATCTTCCGGCACCTCGTCCAACCCGCAAAGTGTCCCGCACCGGATCAGCGCCCCGGCGGCTACATCTGGCTCCCTAGCCTCAAACTGCACTTGTTATAACCCCGGCAAGAAAAACACCATCAACGTCGCCAGCATCGATTGCGAGTGAGAGAATCATCACACGCGCAGCAAGACAAAGACACGAAAAGTACAGCAGATCGTGGCAAAGCAAGACATCACGTCGGCAAGAGAAATAGAGTTAAAAATAGCCACAAGCAGACGCACACTCCCCCGCCAGCTCCCGACTCCTCTGCCCCTCACCTTCACCCTCACCCTCGTGTCTGGCTGCAACTGCCATCTCCATCGTTCACCCATCTCTCTCCTCGCGAGCCACTACCGCGTGTAGGATTTCTGCCGGCACAGGCCTGTCTCTCCCCTCACACGCGGGCAAACCATTAACCCCTCCCCTGCCCTGCCCTGCCTTGCCTTATCCCACCCCCATCTATAACCACCACCAGCCAATATCAAATGAAATGATCGTCGCCTCGCCAGCCCTGCGTCGCCTCGCCTCGGCCTCCTCTTCTTCCTCCCGGCTTCGCTCGCATGGCCCCTCTTCTCTGCTTTCCCGTCGCTGCGGGGCCAGCAATCCTGCTGCTGCTGCATCCTCTTCCTCCCACTCCCTCCTCTCTGCCTCGCCCTTTTCTCACTTCCTGTCATCAGCCACAGCAGCCACTCAGATGAGGATGGCGTCGTCTACTTCCGCCGCCCTGCCTCGCCTGGCCCTCTTCGAAGCCGTTGCCCGCCACGACGCCGATGCCCTCGCCGTGGTCCACTCACTCTCTGGCCGGAGCTTCACCTACGGCCGGCTGCTGGGCGACGTGCGCCGGGCGCGGAACCGGCTGCTGGAGGCGCGGGGCAAGGCCAGCGGCGACGACCTGGACGGCGAGAGGGTTGCGCTCTTGGTAGAGAACAGCTACGATTACGTAGGTGAGCAATTCAACTATGACTGCTTATACATGAGCAAAGCTGACACAACTTCACAGTCGCTCTGCTCTCCGTCCTGGCCGCGCGCGCAATAGCCGTGCCTCTGTCCCCCGCATTCCCCATCCCAGAGCTCGAGTATGTCCTCAACCACAGCGAGGCCTCGCTGCTCGTCTCCTCTCCCAAGTTTGCCTCCAAGGCCCAGCAGGTTCTGGCCGCAGAGCTGACATCCAAGCCCGCTCACGTGGAGCTGCCCAAGCACACCGAAAGTGCGGATGCTGCTGCCAGAGAGGAGGTTCCCTTGGAAGACAGCGCCGAGCCGGGCCAAGCAGGTCTCATGCTGTATACTTCAGGGACGACGAACAAGCCGGTAAGCAACCATGTGCTATTATCATAATGCATTTGCTTCATGACTTAAAAACTTGAACTTCATTCTAACACTCCCTCTAGAAAGGCGTCTTGCTTCCCCAGTCCGTCCTCACCGCGCAAGCTCGCTCCCTCCATGAAGCCTGGGAATACTCCCCGTCGGACCATCTCCTCCACCTGCTCCCCCTCCACCACATCCACGGCGTCGTCAACGCCATCCTGACGCCCCTCCTCGCCGGGTCCTCCATCGAATTCATGTTTCCCTTCAACGCCGACGCCGTCTGGAACCGCCTCGCTACTCCTTTCCTACCAGCTTCCGAGGTCACCACCAATGGCACCACCACCAACGGCAACATACCAGCAGTATCCAAGGCTCCCAAACCAAAAGTCACCTTCTTCACCGCCGTGCCCACCATCTACAGCCGCCTCCTCACCACCCACAAGTCCCTCCCGCCTCCCATCCAGGACGCCTCCCGCGAGGCAATCTCCCCTTCCAACCTGCGCCTCAACATCTCCGGCTCCGCCGCCTTACCCACCCCCATCAAAACCGCCTGGGCATCCCTCAGCAACGGCAACGTCCTACTCGAGCGCTACGGCATGACCGAAGTCGGCATGGCCCTCTCCTGCGGCCTCTCCTTCGCCGACCGCGTCGACGCCTCCGTCGGCTGGCCCTTACCCTCCGTCCAGGCCCGCCTCGTCGACGTCGACTCCGCAGAGGTCATCCTCCCCGGCCAGGAAATCGGCCCCGACGGCCGCGAGCGCTCCGGCGAGATCCAGCTCCGCGGCCCAACCATCTTCAAGGAATACTGGCACAACCCAGCCGCCACCGAAAAGGAATTCACAAACGACAACGACGGCCAAGGGCGCTGGTTCAAAACCGGCGACGTCGCCGTCCGCCGCCCCGTCCCCACCGCCGGCCTCAACGCCTCCCACCAGCCCTGGGCCCAGGGACCCCTCTACTTCATCCAGGGCCGCAAATCCGCCGACATCATCAAGACCGGCGGCGAGAAAGTCAGCGCCCTCGAGATCGAGCGCGAGCTCCTCTCCCTGCCGCAAGTCGCCGAGGCCGCCGTCGTCGCCGTGCCCAGCGGCGCATGGGGCCAAAAGGTCGGCGCCGTCATCGTGCTCGACAAGGCCGTCGCCGACAAGTGGACGCCGCTAGAGATGCGCCGCGCGCTCAAGAGCCGCCTGGCCAACTACAAGATCCCGCAGGTCATGAAGGTCGTGGACAGCATACCGCGCAATGCCATGGGCAAGATCAATAAGAAGCAGCTTGTCAAGGCCATCTTTGCCGACGAGCACAGTGGTGACGAGGCGTAGATGTTTCGCCAACTCAAACTCAATTGACATTTGTTCCTTATACTCCTGCTATTTGGCTTTGGCTGCCTTGGCGATTGGATGTAGAATAGAGTTAGGCATAGATGAGTTATGTATTATGTAGGTACAGTAGGCAATATCTAAGCAATCGAGACCATAGGGAACTCATAGGTGAAGCCATAGAAACATGAAATCACGTTGATCTCAAGTGGTAACAATAAATCAATTGACAAGAAAAAATTTTTGAATTAAAGAGGCAAATAAAAATCATAAATGAACCCACTAAAATATGAATCACGAGAATCAAGTGGTAACAGTAAATCAATTGACAGGGAAAAAAATTATTGAATAAAAGCGGAAAATAAATGCTTATTAAAAAAAAAAGCACGACATTTTGGGCCCGAATATCAGACATCTATTTTTTTCCTTCTTTTTCGGGGTTTTCTGAAATAGGGAGGTTCCTGTTCCGGTTCCTCGCCTGCCGCATCTGCCGCCTTGCGCAGCCTAATTTTGACAAAGTTCAAGAAAGAAAAAAAAGATAACGAGAGCTCCTGAGCCAACGCCGTCATGTGATGTGAGAAAGATGCCATCGTCCCAGAGTCATTAGTTGCCCGAGAAGCCAAGCTCTGGTCTTGCTATGCGCGAAACCCGACCCGTATCCGACAAAGGAAAAGTAAATCATGTCTCTTAACCACTGACCCCTGTATGCCCACTCGTTCCGTCCCACGATGGGATAGAAGGCCTTGAGAGAGGTGCGCATTGGGGGACATGCTACGGATATCTGGTGGTGGTAGGTAGTAGGGTGTAGTCAATGCAACCTCCTCTCCCCGTCCAATGTTGTAAAGCTTCCATCTTTGGGCCATTATACGACATACTTGGCCTTGGCTCTGGTGCTACCAGCATGAGCGCTGTCCGTGTGGCCTGAGAACTCAATCTGCTCGTTGCTGGGGAGCTCAAGGGTTTCCTTGAATCTGCGTCCGATAGACAGGAGAATGTCCTTACCCTTCTCCGAGCTTCGGCCCTTTCCGCCGGCAACATCACCGTCACCTCGTCCGGGAATGCTCTTTCCTATGGTGCGAGTCCAGACTCCAATACGGTAGAAGCCCTTGCGGACGTTGACAACAACGCCCATGACCTCGCCATCGTCTTCCTCCTCGAGCGTCTCACCGATGGCGCCCATCATGACGTGCAGCCAGAGACGGTCGACATCGACGTTGCGCTTATCCTTGTACTGGTAGGACCACTTGCCACCGTGCTTGTTCTGGGGATCTTCCCACTCTGGGCGAACGCCGGCCTTGAAGAGATGGTAGTCGGACTTGAGGGCTAGTTCTGAAACAGGAGCAACGTTGTTCTACACGATGGGCGTAGTCAGCAACCAGAAACATGGGACGGAACCTCACAAGGAGGTCTCTCGGAGATGCGTCATGAACTTACGTAGACGCCCCAGAACTCCTCAACTGAATCAAAGGTGATGACCTCCTTGAGCAGGTCATTCCAGTTGTCGCCCTAGAGTGAACACACAAGATAATTAGCTCCAGATTCCTCGATCAAGTCAAAGTTTTGGCCGTAGCTGCGAGTCCAATCCAACGAGTCCTCATTAGCAGCTACTTCCAGGTCCGATGCCGCATACCTTTCCGCTCGGGGGCTTGGTGAACCACAGAGTCCACTTGTTCTGGAGAGGATGCTTGACATTGAAGTTGTCCTTGTCGTGGAAGACCGTCACAGGCTTGCTGTCGTCCGCGGCCTCGCTTCCGTTCTCAGCGCCCTTGGGGGAGATGGGGATGGTGGAGAGATCGACCTGCTGGTCCATGTTGGTTGCCTCCGTCGCAGCAGCAGCCATTGTGTCGCTATTTGTGTCGCGCGAGAGTCGTGTGAAGTTGTGTGTGGTTTGGTGGTTTGTAGCCGCAAAGAGCGAAGAGAGGTGTGTTTTGGAGAAGAACCAGGAAAAAAAATTGGAGCTCTCTCAATGGCGGGAGTCAAAAATCGCGGGGCAGCAGCGGTGGGATGTAGCAGCAGCAAGGGAAAAAATTGCAGTGGCGGTAGAAGGAAAAGAAAGATTGAAGCTTGATGGCCGCTTCTACTTTCTAAAAGGTTTGGAAATTTGAGGGAAAATACGACTCGGCTAGAAGCAGTCAGTTTCTGGCTTATAAGGGTCCGAACTTGCTCCAGGCAAAGAATCGGGCTTGTTTCGTCAAGTGCGAACAGTGATTTTACTTTTTTTTTGCGTCAGAAGCCACTTTACGTGGCGCAGAAAGAAAGGGTCACATTTGGCAGTGGCTGTATTCTGGAAATGTTGGCCTGAAATATTAGGCGAGATATGGGGTAGAATGTACTTATCGTAACATCGGCAATAAGCTGAAATATAGTAGCGTGTTCTGCATAGGTACTTAATGATTGTAGTTCGCTGAACAACATGGCCAGTCACTGCTATTTAGAAAAAATAACACAAACTTTGAAGACAAGAATCAAGGCTTAATAAAGGAATTGACCAGTAATGTTGCTCCTGAAATGGAGGCTGAACAAACGAAACACAATGGAAAAATTCAAATGTAGGCCGATAGAAAGCTGCTCTATAGCTCACTTGTGGAAGACGAAGATGACAACCAGGGCTAAGTATAGAAATTGGCAAATAATGTTGTTCCTGAATCAGCGCCGAACATGGAAAACACAATGGAAAATCTAAATATAGATCGAAATAGAAAGCTGCTCTACAGCTCACTTGTCAAACGGCTTTCACTACCACCAACCAAAAAAAGATCGAATTGAACCAGCAACATTTCAAGTCAATATACCAATCAATACAATCATTTATACATATACATAAAAGTGTATATTATTTACTGGACGATTTCCCCTCATACTTCGTCGAAACCTAAATACCTACAAAACGACAAGCAGTCCATTAATAAACAGCCCCTCCAGCAAAATATCATCCCTTCCATCCATCCATCCAACCATCCAGTATGTATGCACTCGCCGACCCCTCCTACGTAAAACCCTTGTTTCCCGTTCTATCCTTAGGATAAAAGAGAAAGAACCAAGAACGAACACAAAAAAAATAAAAAATAGAAATAAAAAAGGCATAAAACAATATCGCTCCGCGTGTAAAAACCAGGTTGAGGAAAAGGAAATTCTTTTGACCAGATTTGTCCCGTCCTTGCTTGCTTGTATATCCATTCCACTTGTCGTTCCTTTCTCTCGTATAAAAAAAAAGGCATTGACCTGCACAACCTTTATACCTTGTGCATATGCAGTCCTTCCGTATTCTTTTGCAGCCCAAAAAATAAATAAAATAGTAAGTAAAATAGCAAATCCGTCGTGTCTTCCTGTTAAACGCCTCTTTCAAAGTGAAATAGGAAGCGGAATAGAAGAAAGAATTCGCACCCAAATAGTCGTAATCGTGAGATTTCCGTGTCATGTAAAAAAAAAAAAAAAACAAAGCCTTCTTAACATAAACAAAGGCAAATGCATCCTCAAATCCCAAACTTTTGTTCAAAATAGAAAGAAAAGGCAGAAAAGTAAAGGAGGAGGAGAAGAGAAGCCGAATGAAGAAAAGAGAATGAATGGAGTATGCAGTAAAATTTAAATCGACCTGCCCTTATCCAGCTTATTAACATTCTCTTCAGTCAAGGCCTCTCCTGCTCCAGACTCAGGGAGGGAAATGTTATTAAGATCAGCTGGCACACCCCCTGCGGCGTCAATGAGCTTCGTCCCGTGAAGCATATTCGACAGCTCTTGCTCTCTCTCGGGCCGGCGCATCGGCGGTGACATCTCAGCCGCCATGGCCGAGTCAAACGGCGAGGGCTCATGCCGTCCGTTGGTCGTCAGCGGCCGTGGGGTGATTGCGTTGGGCTGGAATTCTTCCGAAAGAGGCGTTTCGCTTTCTTCGATGCCCAGATGCGGAATGTCAGCGTTCTCGCAGTGCTCTCCCATCTCGGAGCAGTCAGAAGCAGGCGGCTCCGACTGGGGTCGGCGTCGGGTTAGTGACCACCTGATGAGCATCTTCTCCAGTACTTTCATCGTTACCGGCTTAGGTAGATAATCATCCATGCCGGCTCTTGTGCACTTTTCACGATCCCCTTGAATTGCCGATGCTGTCATGGCCACGATGGGCACATCTTGAACCAGCTTTTTGTATGGTAAATGGTGGCGGAGAAGATGAGTACACTTGTAGCCGTCGATAATGGGCATCTGCACGTCCATGAGTATGATGTCGGGCTTTGTATTCTGGCCCTTTGATGCGCCCATCATATAATCCAGCGCCTCTTTGCCGTTCCAGGTCGCTGACACTTGGAAACCAAGTTTCCCAATGGTTCGGGTGGCAATCTTCTGGTTTACCGGGCTGTGAGAGAGAGAACTGTTAGTCAAAAAGAAAGATGGAATAGCAGCAAGGCCTTTGGTGGCCAGTAGACACTTACTTATCCTCTACCACTAGTATATGCATTCGTGCTCTTTCAGATCGAGGAAGTTCTTGCTCAGTCGGTGGAGGCGTCTTTATAGACACGCGCCGACGTGTCTTGGCCACAGGGCCACTCACCGGGCCATCCGACCCCTGTGAAGCGCTCGTCAACTGCTCATACTCCGAACTGTTGCACGAGAGGCTCAGCTCTGACTGTAGTCGATCGGAGATAGCTCCGGCTTCCGCCAAGGATGGAGCCCTGGCCCCTGTAGGCTTCATGAAAGGAATCCAAAACGTTGCCTTGGTACCGGATCCCACGTTTGACTCCAGCTTGATACGACCATTCATCAGGTCTAGCAAGTTCTTACAGATTGTCAAACCGAGTCCCGTGCCACCGAATTTTCTCGCCGTAGATGGATCCCCTTGGCTGAATGGCTTGAAGAGCTTCTTGCGAACACTATCTTCGATGCCAATTCCCGAATCTTCAATGACAAATCGAACCTCGATCGTCTCAGCCGTTTCGCGCTCTTTGACCACCGAAAACTTGACATATCCTTGGTTTGTGAACTTGATGCTGTTTGTGAGGAGATTGGTAATAATCTGCCGCAACCTGCCGGGATCGCCAATGACCACTCGTTCATTCGCAATATCTTTCCCAACATCGGATAAGAAATCCAGATTTTTCCGCTCAACAGCAAACTTGAGCATCTTTTTCACCTCCTGGACAATATGAGAGAGGGAAAATTGCACTTCTTCAATGTCTAGGCGGCCAGATTCCACTTTGGAGAAATCTAGAATATCGTTGATTACAGTGAGCAGCGATGTAGCAGAGCTTTGAATATTGTCGACATATTCACGCTGCTCTTCAGTCAACTCCATGTCGCCGAGCAGCTCTGCCATGCCGAGAACTCCAGTGATTGGCGTCCTGATTTCGTGAGACATGTTGGCCAAAAATTGGCTTTTTAGCCTCGTGGCCTCTTTAGCAGCAGCCTCGTTGGCCATTGCGCGGCGCTTCTCTTTATCTTGCTCTCGCAAAGCTTCTCCTCTTTCTTTCAGCTCGGTAACGTCCATGATGACTCCTATGACTCCTTCGATACACGTCTCTTGCGTCGCCCGGCTGTCTTTTGTCTTTTTTCCGAGCATCGGGTGGAACCGTGTTCGATACCAGCGGTCGTCTGCCCACCCAGAGTCAGCTTTGCAGGTCTCTTTACACCATGACTTTGACCCATCAGAATTGGGCTCTTTTAGGGTAACACCACTTACCAATTCCATGCTCCTTCACGTCCTCGTTGGTTCTTCCTCCCAGAATATCTTCGATGGGCTGCAGCCACTGCGGGCGTTCTCCGTCAGGCGACTGTTCGGTGAGTCGGTTGAAGACGGTATACATGTTCTCCCCGGCAAACCACCTGCTCCTCTCATGGTTATCTTCAGTGGCGCTGTTCCAAATCAGAGCACCCTCAAGCATAGTAACTCGGCGTTCGGGATCAACGGTGAAGATGGTGACGTGCGAATGAGCAAGCACACTTAGTAGCTGTTGGCGCGTACGCTTGGCACTGAGTTTCGTCTGCATGCTCTCGTGAATATCGGTGCAAGTCCCTATTGTAATGAAATAGTCTGATTAGTAACTTGCTTTCTTTTGTCTTGAATCGTTTAAAATCAAACATACCAAACCACTTTTCAATCTTGCCCGTTTCTTTATCGCGCACCGCAAGAGCACGGCCAAGGAACCATCGCCACTCTCCCTCTTTGCTAAGGCAACGATACTCCATCACATAAGGATCTCCTGTCTTCAAAGAGTGAGTCCAGCGAGCTCGAGCTCCAGGCATATCATCAGGGTGCACTGCTGGGTGGATGTTGCCTTTGAGGTCCAGTCCAATGCAGCGTCCGGGGCTCAGGCCGGTATAGGTATACCATCTCGTATTGAAAAAATCGTGCGTTCCATCCGGGCGTGCCGTCCACACCAGCTGTGGCATCGTGTCGCATATGACCTTGAAACGTTCTTCATCGCGTTCTTTGATATGGGTAATCTCTTCCGTCATGGTTGTTACATCACGGCCAGTGACGACGGCGGCAAGAAATTCGTGCGTGTTCTCGTCGTAAATTGCCTCTCCCAGCACATCAAATATGATCCTGTTCCCTTTGCGTCCGTACATGCCTATACGCTTGCTATCAAAGGGCTTTTCTGTCCTAAGAAGTATAGATATCGGATACTCGCTGACTTCTAAGCGCTTCGTAAAATCTTCGTTCCACACTTCCCATTTCTCTAACAGGTAATCTCCATCGAGTGAAGAGTCAAGATCCGAATTCTCAGGGAAGAGCTGTCTCGCAGCCTTGTTCGGAAACGTTACACTGCCATCTTTCCACATGGCGACAACGGGCATCTTTGTGCTATCGATCAGGGCGTCTTTCATCATAATGAGCTTTTGCAGCACCGATGGCGTGCTGGATTGCGCATGAGACGCCACGGTTGGAGGCCCCATGGGAGGGAAGGGGCTTGAGGACATGGTAATAACGCCGGGACTGTAGAATAAGGGCGAGCTAGAGTCTCGGCTGGAAGCCACGGATGCCGGGCTTGATGTAGTGATGGACTTTTTGTCCACGGCTTCGAGGGTGCTGGATCGGGCAACGGCCCTCCGGCCGCTCATAGGCATGGCCGGGGCAGACTGAGCATTGGTAAAGGTCAGAGTGAAGAAGACTTGCTTATCCTCGATTTCCCAGATGGTGATGATCATCTTGGCAAAGGCATGGTACTCGGACTCCTTTGACCTGTATCGACTGTTGAACGTGGTTTTGGCAATGTCTTTTCGGGTGATGATGACCTCTACCGTTGCATCCTGGGTCGGCCGCTCGATGGGCTTGTGTTCTAATCCGTCAGTCTGTGATAGGGCAGTGGCAGCGGTCGGTGTGACTTGGCCATCTCCAAGGTGAGACGGCCGTCGCTGTTGATTCGAGGCCGCCGGTGGACGTACACCAACTTCGGTGACCAAGGTGTCGAGGAAGGCCTCCCATGTGACCCATACCGGGCGGCCATCCTGTATCATATCGATGCCCACCTGCGACAACGTCTGCCCTCGCAGCTTCTCCATCGTTTCCGACGCATCATCGTCGCTCAAGTTGTCGGAAATGATGCCAAGCATCCTGCCCATGGCCTCATTGGCCAGTACCACCGTCTTGAGGCTGTTGAGGATGATGACAGGAACAGGCAGATACTGCATTGCGGAAAAGGCAACCTGGCCGGGGGATATCGACGGCATGGCGAGTCGAAAGGGACTCTGAGACTTGGAGCGGACGCCATCACCAGGGTCTCTGAGGAAGCGTCCGCCTCCCAGAGAGCGAGGACTGTCCTCCAAACGGCCATTCTTGTCCGCCGTGGTCAGCTGAGCAGGCGCCAGCTCTTCCATTGACGGCGCCGGGTCGAAATCGAGATCCGGCAGGCCTCGTGGGGCATGGTGGGCAGCGGAAGCGGGAGAGGAAGTGGAAGCTGAGGCGGACGGCGAATTTCGGTTCTTACTGCTCTCGCGAGCACCTCCCAGAGACGTCATATCGTGGGTGATGCACGCATGAGGGAGACGCGCACCGGGTGGGAGGGCAGCGAGGACCGTTTCAAGAGCAGCCCACTCAGCAGCCCGGATCTGCGGTATGAGATTCCCAGCAGGAGAACTCAGAAAGACGTATCGAGTCGAGCCGGGTTGGACGAACGGAGAACAAAGGAGTCGAGAGAAGAGCAAGACAGAGCAGTTGGAAACGAGGATGATCGTATGATGGGAGAAGCCCGGCCCAGCCTCGCTCAGGACGATCACAAGCTGACAGTTGCCCAGACGATGGGCTGAATAATTGCAGTTACGGAACAGAGGTAGCAAAGCAGGAAAGCAACGGCTCCCGCAAGGACTCGATGGGTTAGTGCTGCTCTACTTGACGAAGCTATGCCGGTATCGCAATGGCGTGGGATATTGCAGATCTCTGGCTCCACCCATTCGATGGAAGGACAGGCTTTTTCTGGAGTCGTGAAAGGGCTGTAGCACGAAGTTAAAAAGTTAGGGACCAGAACGAGGGCGGTTCGCCCAAGGCCAAGTGCCGGGCTGGCAAAGGGCCCGGTTTATAAAATGTCCGGATCAGGGAGAGGCGTCGGCAGCTGGCTCCAGCGAGATGCCGAACAGCTGCCCGAGAAAGGGGAGCGAGACCAGACGAGACGAGACAAGCTGGGTAAAAGGGACCAGGCCAATCTGCGCACCGGAAGCGGGATAATTAAATCAGTTGAAGCAGCTTGAATCGAAGAGAGCTGCTGTTCGCTCGCGATAGCCGCAAGCAGGCAGCGTGGAGACGGAGGCTTGGGGCTAGGACTGATGGCTTGGGACTAAAGTGGACGAGACCCTGAGCTGAGACAGAGCAATCAGAAACGGCGGGGGAGTGTACATGTGCGTATGTGTGTTGGATTGGTGCGGCATTGGTAGGGCATAGATACTTGTCGATACGAGAGCAGCAGCAGCAGTGGCAGCCAGTACCTTAGTGGGCGCAGCAGGGGAGGTGCAAAAAAGCAAAGAGAGCATGGAGAGTGAGTGAGGCGACGATTCCCGATTCAAGGAACAAGGTTCGCCATCGGCCGCCTTCTTTTTCCTTGCTTCAAAGTACCGGTACCAGCTCACGCCACACACCAACTGCTACCACACAGGTACTCGTACTGGTGCCGGCTGGCTGACAGCATCCGACCTTGCGAGGCTTCTTTGTTACATGTGCGTGCCCCCTTGGCCAGACCGACGGGTGGTGGTGAGCTGAGACAGGTCCATCATCTGGCCTGCACGGCATAATCACGGCTCTCCCTGCCTACAAAGGTGGTGGTAGTGGAGGTGCTATTGCGCCCAAGACACTCAAGCCAACTACTACTATCGTATTCCATCCAATGCTGCTTCGTACTAGTAGTATCCCATTCTCACTCGATACGCCCGGCAAAAAGGGCTTTTGGACGGCAGCGTAGCCCTTTAGGACCAAGTGTGAGGGAGAGCCCGGTTCTTTGTCTCGGCCAACCAGTACTTGATTACAAGCACCGCTGCATGCAACATACTGTACGGTACATGCATCCATCCATGTACCTGCCAACCCATGGAGCCTTGGTAGGGAGTGCGTGGCATACAATTCATGTATATACGAGCAGACAGGTGTGGCAGCAGCACGGCAGGCAGATCCAGACCGCAAATCTGACAGTCCAGCCAGAGCCGAGGGATGTAGGATTCCCAGCTGGGTATGCATATCCAGGAGGAATAACACCTTGTATATCTATCTATGTACAGTATTAGCACCAAGGCAGGTACTGCGTGGTGTAAGACAGTGTCTTGGGTATCCCATGCGTCCCCAGGTGAGACCAGACCACCCACCAGGTTCCGCCTAGGGCCAAGAACCAAGAACCAAGAACCAAGAACCAAGAACCAAGAACCAAGAATCAGAGGCTGACTGACGACGACGAGAACCCGGGAGTTGGCGGGGGCGCGCCTTTGTCTCTCATCGGCCTGCTCCGTCCGCTGCGCTCGATATGGATTAAACCCGGTGACCCGTCCCTGCTGCAAGGCATCCGCCAAACTTGCTTTTTGTATCACAACACTTGTTGGAGAGCGGAGAGAATGTGGGCTTTAGGGGAGGGGCGATTGTTTGGCCCTGATTTTGATTTTGCTTTTGACCGCCTTAGCACGGCCTTATGTGAGGGCCAGTCAGTCAATGACATGACAGGCTGGGGCTTACAAAGAAAAATAGAGACCGAAATGTCATTAAAAAACAAGTTCTGTGCTTCCTGTGGGACGGACGGGTCTCCATCCTGTCAAAACTGCGGTGGCAAAAAACCATACAGGAATCGAGTGAGAGGGACAGAAAAGAAAGATCAGCAGAGGTGTTAGCGCTGGCGTCTTGTTCTGGATAAACAGGCGCTAGACAGCATCAGAGCAGCTTTGGAGCATGAACGCTTCCACGATGAGCCTAGCCGCGTGTCTCTGCCATCGGGCCTGGGGCCATCGAGCATTTGGCGCGCCCTCGGGCTTTTGGCAACTTTCCCATGAGAGGGGGTGGCCGCGGCACAAACGCGCAAAGGGTCTTGCGAGAGGGCAGAGGCTGGCAAATCGGAAGACGGGAAGATGCAGGAAAAAGTAAAAAAAGAGGCACAAGTCTAGGCCCCATCGCGCATCTGAGAGCTGCTAATGCGAGCCGCTCCCACCGTCCGCGAGGTCCCCTTTCCGCATCTGACTGGCTTCCATTTGGGCTGTTGGCTGGGCTTATTTTTATTTTTTATTTTTTTTTATCGACTTTTCCCATTTTTCCCCCTTCCGACTCGGCAGCCTGGCCAGATCCCAGCTCGCCTCGAAAGAGGGGCCCCAGGCGACAAAAAACGTCGAGTTCTGATGCAAATCACTACTGCAGCTAAAATGGTCTGCTTGCTTGAGACGAGCAACCGAGACGCTTCACGGTCTTGCTGGGCAGATTGACGACCCGACAGCTAGGAGAAAGCGGAGAAAGGCTGATCTTGCTGTGTTTTCGGCCCGGGTTGCATACACAAAAAACAAGTATGGATGCTGGCCATTTTGGCTTTTGGCTGATCTTGCCGAAACATGGACCCCGGCGATGGATCTCTATCTTATGCAGGATCCTTCCCAGCACCCTTTTTTTTTTTTTGTTTTGTTATTTCCATTGATTTGATTCTCGTGCCATCAGCTCCTTCGCCCTCATCCGACGGGCGCAAGACCCCGACTAAGACGAGCCACACCCTCCGCAAAGGCCGTTGTTAAGCACACACAGACTGAGTCCATAGCTTACAGTAGCTGAGTAGGTAGTATCTGGTAGTGCCTTGAATGCGTGCCTGTTCGCCGCCAAGCTTGCCCATCAGATCCAAGAAGCGACGAGGCTCGGCAAATCAGAGCGATCCAAAGCAAGGGTGTAAGAGCAATAGAGAAGGCGAGAAAGTGAAAGCCAGCTGGGTGAGACGACCACACGCCTCAAGCCATTGATACACGATCCAATCAGATGGCGCTTTGCCAGAGCTGGGACGACCCCTTAAACAGTTTTGCTTTTTTCCACTCTCCTGACCTCAGCTGCCCTCCATTTTCCACTCTAGACCTCTTAGTTCAGGCGTCTATGTGTGTGTGTGTTTCTTTTGGCCGCACTAATTTTCATGACAAGCCTCACTTGCCATATCCCTGTCCAAAACTACCGCCTGCAGCGACCAGCGCAACAGGGGTCCCCTCCTGACAAACGCCCAAGAAAGAAAGAAAATAAAGGAAAAAAAGTAGTAAAAAGAGGCTTCTCGGGTCCACCCGTTTGTCTAGAACACAAGCATAAGCCCAGAGAGAGGGAGAGGGAGAGTTATAGCTCTCTCGCTCGGTGCAAGTGTTTTTGCAAAGCTACCTAGCTATAGCTGCAAGTTTCTGTCTGGTGACCAGAACTGCACCGGCGCTTTATGACCTGAGACACGCTTTGTGATGAAGTTACATCTTCAATCTTTGCTTTTTGCTTTGTGCCCTCTTCACCTTTTTTTTTCAACCCCTTGGATGGTGGCCGGGGCCTTGATTCTATCTCCTTGCCTGGAGAGACTATTGGTTTGTCCACAGCCACAGAAATCTCGCTACACCCTCAAGTCGGATTCAATTTGCGCAAGGACCGTCCATAACGTCTATAAACTACATAAAAATAGCAATACTAGCCGGTTAATCCGTAGCATTACTCATACATACGACGACTAGCATTACAACTTATATCTGACACCCAGGGATCAAGGGACCAAGGGCTCATATACGTGTATCGGCTGGCTTCCGGAGAGCCCAGCAGACCTCTTCTCAGTCTCACCTTGTACACCACTCGTACCCCTTTGTATCCTTTTCCGAGATGCGACAATTCACATTTCATTTCTCCGACGGCTTGCTACTGCTGCTAGGCAGCACTTCCACACTATAGATGGGTACATGCTCGTGCATGCGTCGTATAGTCGCACTGCAAGTAGGTATACTGCTAGTCTAGCATAGTACTGAGCTTTATCCGTCCACCAACAACAGCTTGGCGTGTCCCCATGTGCAGCTCGCTCCTCGCGCCGCCAATACTGTAATGATCCTTGCTCATCTAACAGAATACACGCGTGCTAAATCGCTATCGTCCGTCAGCCAAAAGTGACTACATGTCAACTTGCTCGAAAATAGCAGTGCTGCATACATACAGCTCGCCGGCTCTTTTGCTTCTCAGAAGCCGAAACAACAATGAGCTGCCACTTATACCACCCGTCCATACAGCAAATGCTGGCAGGGCTCCACCAAGGCGATCTTAACTCCATTTTCTAAATCGGCGCCTTTCCTAATGGTACCCGGGTCCAGAATTGAGAGCTCAGCGCAAAAAAAAGCCCTGGTTTGAATTTTTCCTGCCGTGAAGGGCTCCTCCTGCATGCATACCAGCTCCATACAGCTCGGACAAGTAAGTAAACATCCCCCATCCCCAAACAATCAAGGGCATCTAGGCGCTTTTATGGGTCATTCAAAGACACGCTCCCCTCAGTAACTTCACCGCATCCTCTTCCTCGTGTCCCACCCATGCCATGCCTCGTTCGGCTTCATTAGGCGAGAATGCCACCTGTAAGTCATTAGTCGTATCGCGCCACCCTCCTCGCCAACCTATCGTGAGTTAAACTTCATCTGCCCGCAATTTGAGCAGGTCCACCACTGCCGCTCCATCTCTGTCGCGCAATACTCGCAGCGCCAAGTGGACGGCCGAGGGGGGGCTGGGGCCGGTGCCGACGTGGAGACCAGTGCCGACGTCGATATTGGTTGTCGCTGTGTCGTCTGCGTCGTCTGTGCTGTTCGTGAGGCCTCACCAGCCTTTGTCTTCTTCTTTGGGGGGCTATTTGTTAAGTCGATGACAGCTGGTCTCGGTCCAGGCTGTCTCGGCTTCACCGGTATGCTCAATGTCGTCTCACTGCGTTCTACTCCACAGGCATCACAGCACAGGAAGCTCTGTGGGTTGTGCAGAGTGCATACCGAACATACCCAGAAGGATCCTTCGTCTGGTCGAGGGGATGCCGGTCTCTTATTGTCATCACGGCTGGTGCTGTTTGGTCCTGCATTTGAGCCCCTGTTGCCAAATACAGAGGCGTTCCCGCCTCCATTCATAACCTTTTCCGCTGGCGATGAGGTTATATACGAACCACCTGAACTGGCCAACTCGTCTTCCTGAGCGAGCTCCCACAGTGCTTGAGAGATGGCAAGCTCGTTGGCCTCATCCTCTTCGGCTTGTGTCCGGAATCCATTCTTCGATGCCGTATCTGCAATATCATGTATCTCGTTCTCACTAAGCTTCTCAGTGGCGCAGCCCTCAAGCGCTTTGTTGCGTCTCTCGGCCGCTGCCGCTGCTGCTTGACGTAGGTTCCTGCCTGGCCTTGGCGGCCGTGATACGTCTCCTCCGCCAAGGCGTCGCCCCGACCCTTGAGTTAATTGTTGGTGGGCTTTTCGCTTTTCAGCAGCGGTACGGGCAAGCCGTTGCACTTCATGGGGTGGCAACGTTTGTCTCCCGCCCAGACGGTGGCCATTGGACAAAAATCCTTCGCCTGTATAGCCTTTGTAGAGGAGACCCTGCCATTCATCACGCAGCTGGTCCCAGAGGGCGTGAAACTTGGCGTCATGAGGTCCGTGTACAATGTGGCACAGCTCATGCAGCATAGTGTCAACGACACTCTCTGTTGGAAGAAATTGATTCTGGTCCTGTGGATAGCGTAGTCTCAAGCATATTTTCTGCCCGCGATTGACATTAAGCCCTATTCACAAAAGGTTAATCACAACCTTGGATACCCAAGTAAGAAACAAAAAAAAAAATTGTAGTGGTATACACACCTAGTAGGTTCTGCTGTGATGGATAGAATTCGGCCAGCTCTCCAACTTTCCATCCTCGACTACGCATAATCGGCTTCACCAAAGAAGCCACTTTCTTCAAGGTCGTCAACGCATCATCAGCGCGCCGAAACTGCGCCAGATGACGGTAGGATAAAACCAGGGGATCATGTTCCGGCATATTGACTGAACCGTTGTGATTAATGGATAATTTGCTCTTTAGTTTGTAACAGTATCGTGTTCCGTCTAAGATCTAATCGAAGGAAAAGTGAAGGTATTAAGCGATGGCGCAGGCTATGTAAGGCAAGAGAAGGAAGAGAATCGAGAGAGAAGAACCATGTCTACATGGATTCAAGTCACCAAAGATGCTTCTAGACACTCGCCACGTCACAGGTAGATGCCTTGAATGGCAGCATCTCTTTTCAAAATCGAGCGCAACCGTCGCCGGATGGGATGAGTGCGATGGCTGTAACTCGATTGTTTATGTAGCGTTCATGTAATCACGAGATGGCAAGGCATGAAGTCTACGCGGCCCGAGATGACTAAGCGCCACGTTGAATGATGATGGACAGCACTACCACGAATCACAGCTAGGAATATCAGGTAGTACAATCTGATGATTAGGGCAGGCGAATCATGTTTTGGAAGAGACTTCCTTTCAACCTTATCAGGTGTTGAATATCTTTGCTTTGCAATGCTAGGTGAATAGAGGACCTGGCTTATAAATTAGCAACGCTTATCTAACACTTGGGTGGCTTCTAGAAGGCAGACAAGTTCGGCGACACCAGCGCACCCGCCTTTAACGAATCCAGCAATCGCTAGAAACGGGCTATTATAGGAATATGGGGGTCCGATATCAATTCTTAATCAGGAGATAATTGTTATCGAGTAGCTCATCAAAGGAAACTTATTGCCACATATACGCCTTCTACCCGTATATTCCCAGTCTAAATCCATTCGGAATAGAGTACGTACCAAAAGAAGATTCAGAAATGAGTGCTCTAGAAGTGTCTAGATCATTCTCCATCTTTCGCTGCCGTCCGAGTTCCGTAAACTAATGGCATGAAAGGCTTGCGTACAGGCTTATCGTTTTGAGTTACTTTGTCTACGCCGCCCGTCACATTTCAGGGTAAAACTGTCACATAAGAGAACATACAGGTACAATCAAGTACAACGCTTGTAGACGTACTCGACTGGCTACAACTCTGTCATATTCAGGAGTATTATGATCCTTGGGCAAGCCCCCCTTGTCCCGAACAGCGTGGGCCTCGGAGCTGAGACACTTGGTCCGAAGGTCCAGGATGCCACATGTAGCCGGCCTGCAAGCTGTCACATTGACATACCGCAGATGAAGCATCTAGAGAGATGATTGGCTTTCTGTAGATGCTACTCTCTACCGCAGACTAAGCCTCAAAGGCGTCGTAGCTCTGGCCGTGCATATGTACATGTGTGCTTAGCGTAGCAGCAGCCTGAGTCGGAGACGCCGAACGGGCATATTCGCACCGTCAGCCCATTCATATCGTGTGCCGCGGCCCAGGCAAACCAATGAGTTCGCGGAGACGAACATTGCATATAATATGAGGACTGATACCTCACATTCGTTGGTAAGAACGGTTGGCACCGAGCGGTCCTGGAAGCATGACTAGCTGCTTGAGTACATCAATGCTACCCCTACTTATACCACCTTATTATAGTATCGGCATGGTCTCCATGACAAGGATTTAATAGCACGCTGATGATTACCTTGCTCTGGACACGTGCAGTGCACTTGAGGGTATAATTCCGTGTCAATGCCGGCCTGCGATTCACACATTAAACACACGGTAATGCATAAGTCAAGGCAATTCAGCGGATTGCTTCCAGCCACTAGGTCATTTAGTAAAGCCATATTCCACACGCCTTAAGAGAAGTCCATTAAGTCTCTAAACACTTATCTTGCCCATCACGCATATTCAGTGTGTCTTCCAGCCGATGTCCGAGGTCTGAACAGCTCAGGCATATGCTCAGCGTTGTACAGCTTGTAAGCACCTTGAACAACCCTACCTACAGGGTTCCATTCCACGGACGCCTTTCAATTAGTTCATTCTTCCCAGCATCCTTATTACCACTGGCCGTTATAGTGATTTCGCGGTCTGTACAGTCGTATTGACATACTCCCATTACTCGGACCCTACTCTCTTTACGCTTCCCATTAAGCAGCTAGTTTTCGATATGATGTATATCCACAGTGTGCTGATTATAGAGAAGTCAAGCTAGAATGAATCTCAGTTTTGCTCAAGTAGACTACAATTAATTGATAGTACATATAATCGTGATCAAAACAATATCGCTCTCCTTAATCGCTCTCCAGTTTACAAAGATGATGACTGTGTTTTCAAGTCATCGTCGTCCAAGAATAAACATGTCAGTCGCAAGGATTTGAACAATGACGGGCTTATCCTCAACCACCTCGTACGTAACCATCTCAAGTGCTATACAATGAGTAGGGCTTAATTTCAGCTTTCTATGTTGTAGTTCTGTACTGAAGGGCATATACTGAGTGGCCCCCGTATCTACGTGTTGCGTGAAGTAGTTCAAGTATATGTTATAGACGTTTAGGGCATACACGACCGGCACGCTGTTCTACCAAGCGTAGGAGTGCATGCTTCCAATTTCACGTACCAGTCTGTAGACCATCTGAGCGAGTGTGTCTCCGGATGGTAGGAGGATACCGAATTACTGCCAGGTAACACACGGCTCTCAATGTTCAGTTATCCCGCTCAGTGCAAACGCCTCCCTTATTATCCACGGAACCATCTGGGGCTTATCGGTTGTTATATCGGTTATTACAAAGATCGTTATGCTTGCATCTCACATTTTTGTTAGATTTGAAGCTCGACAGCGGAATGAGTATGTTGGTCATAGTATATGGCACCAAGCTACTGTATCTGTAGCCGTTTTATCCTTGGTTAAATGAGACTCACAAGGTTACCTGCTGTAGGGCTACCCAGAGTGACTGATCCGTCCCCGAACCATCTTTCAGCTAGGTATATATACCATCATCTTTTCGCGAGCTATGATCTATCAGCTAGATCGAAGACTATCCAGCCTAACTTCAAAGACTGGAGATAGTGGATAGCATGTGTAACTTCAACCTTAACTTAATATGTCGCAAGCTATGATCTATTGTGAGACCAAAAACCATCCAGTTTTAACTTCAGAGTATGACGATTGTGAATGCATGTGCCATAATCTTTTCTCGAGCTACAGTATATTAGTCTATTGACAAGATCAAAGGCTCCAGCCTAACTTTAAACTATAAGATGATGGATAGCATGATTAAGGTCCGACGATAACTTTCTTGCTTCATACAGAATTAAAACCTGAAAAATTACTGCAGCTTCCTACCTAGCAAGCTAAACAAAGTCCCGATCTAAATCGTGAAAATGCCCGATAATATGCATTTGACACAACTCTTTCTGTATCACGGAGTTGTCTAATAGCGGCATTCATCGGCTAGGGGCCGGATATGTGTCAGCCGTCCAGTTCGTCACATCAATGATTATTCCTTTGGAATATATTGGAGGCTCTATTCTCCAAAGAGTTAATGCTTCTAAAAAAATATACAAAGGTTTTAGCCCAATGGTCAAGTTCGAGAGTCTCCAAGATATTATAGCACACATGCACGACCTTCATAGAGCAAAGATGATGTTTCTCAGCAAGTTCCTACAGAGGCATATCGTATAGTCATAAATGGCCGCTTTCTGCGTTTACTCTACCCTGTCTATAGACGCCATGTTCTTTCGTTTGGGCAGGATCACAAACTTAATTCTAACTTTTACATGTTCCATTCTTACCGAGTCAAAAGTATGTGTAGAGTTTGGCGGCTTCTAACTCTACGACTTGGATGTCTCGTGTTAGTGATACTACGGCATTCATGATCGGTTCGGTACCCCGTATCCAGGCCTAGCTCTTATCAAATATAGAGACAAGGGCAAGACCGTAGCCCCAAAGCTAGCCTGAGATCGACCACAGATTTGCCTAGTCTAGTCGATTGTTCCGTTGTCGTCCCGCCTCGATTCGCTCAGAACAGCGCTACAGATTGCTCCAGCCACGCTGTTCCTGGCCAGATCCAGCTGTGTCCCTGCCAATCAATGCAGCAAACGTTTCACCACCTCAAAAAAAACAAATGGCCATGGAAGAAAAACAAAAGATAGTTGGTCACCTGTTGCAAGAGAAAGTGGTGACAAGCGGGTCTAGTATGGCTCGGAAACGCTATCTACAAACTATCAATCTGCTCACGAAGCCTCTAAGCTTCAGCGCTATTGGCTTAGCCCGCAGCTTTTTGATGCTATTCTAGATCCTCGGCGCTCGTCAAGCTATTCGGGACGGGCTTGCCGCCCACGGGTCCAGTTCTAGACTAATTAGCTGCCAGCGACTGGAGTCTCCAGATCAACTGCGACGCTGCCTTATCGTTCCAAGAAAGGCAAGGAATGGCAGGGGCTGAGGCTGAATCTCAGCGTGCATAAGGCGCTTGTGCTGGCGTCTCATATATTGGACTGACGCGCTGCGCTACCGGTGGCGATGGTGTTTTTTCTCTTCAGCCTTGATGGTCTCGAACTTTCCCTCTCTTCACGCGCCCGCCATTTCACGGAAAGTCAGGGTCTGGAACCCAAGACACCGGTCGTCATTCATTTTTGAGCAGCTTTAGGTTCGATATACGCCAGTGGCTGATGCTGGACATCAGGTATAATAAGGCTATCCGACTTTTTGCGCGTCTTCTCGTCGTTCCTTTTGGCGTCGTTGCTGCCTACATTCATTTCGTCTATCATTCATTAGACTTCAGCGATTAACGATGCATCTTATTCAACTTCTTGCCGCCAGCTTGGCTGTTTCAGTTTCATACGCCCTCCCTGTTCAGGAGGGCGCAAAAAAAACATTTGTAGTTTCTCGAAAACCTGCCGTTCAGTACCGACCTCAAGCCAAGAGCGCAACTCTTGTGGCCAATGTCACGGACCCCAGTGTCAGCCGCGACTCATGCGGCTCAGTGAACATGGGCGGCCGCACGTTTTGGACTTGCAGAGACACGGCCGTCCGCCTCCCTGGCACTGATCAGTTCGGATGGGTGTTTACCAACACCGTCGGCTGGACTGACCATCACCCTGATGGATCTCCAGCCATCCAGACCGGAGGACCTGTCGGGGCTGGATCTAACGGCACCAATAACATTCTGCTGATGAAGGGCCCGCAGCCGTCTCTTCCTACCTTTTATGCTTTGGGCTCCAACCAGTGCCCGAGCTCTGGAGTCTGCGCCGATGGCACATCGAGATGGACAAGCTGGCCGGACTCACCACCAATGGTCTCGAATACGGCCCAAGATGGGACTGTCACGGCATATACCTGGATATCCAACAACCACATAACTGGCAGTTCATTCCAGGTTTTGACAACTCAGCCCTCAGTCACCCTCCACAAAATGACTTATAAGCCCAACACCAATGTCAACGTTGTCCCGACTGTGAAGCCTGTGGACACCAGCTTCTGGAAAGCGGGTGAGATTGCTTATGGAACCTATGGCAACGTTGTCAACGGTGGATATGCCTACCTCTATGGCCTGCTGTATCCGAGCGGAGTTGCTCTGGCTCGTGTTCCGGTCAACAGCATTGAAGACAAGACGAAATACCAATACTTTGTGAGCGGCAAGTGGACCAGCACCAAGCCTGCCATCATCAACCCGGCTGCCGCAGTCCCCAATGCCGGGACGACAGGCCAGGGAACCTTTTACTACTGCAACAAGGCCCAGTCGTATATCTGGATCGGCCAGAACAGCCCAAGCGTTTGGGCAGACTTTTATATCTCGACGGCCCCGAGCCCAGAGGGCCCCTGGATCACGCCCTACCTCCTCTATTCCGGACCCAATGGCGACGCAGAGCTGCCGTCGTACAGCCTGCAGGCGCATCACCACCTGCTGCGCAAGACTGACGACGGCATCTATCTGACGTGGACGCAGTACTTCAAACCCAGCACGTATAACGCATATGTCACCCCGCTTGTATACGTTTCGTTTGTCTAGGATTGGCTTGGGCTGCAGATAGACATGCATTTGCTTGTGCGTCCTCGTACATAGATACCCCATTGTTTTTGAATGCGAGCAAGTCACGAATGCCGGATGCGGACGAATACATGTTATTACGGGCATACTATTACTGTACATATAGACCAGGGTCTTGGGAGCGGGAGGGGCACTCTTGGTCCAGCGGGAGTTCTAAAACGTTTGGTTATCGGCGTCAAAAATCTTTTGTTTCTCGATTTGGGAGGTGGAGGAAGCTAGGATTCACGAACAAGCAGCTGTTAGATCAAAGGAAATGAAAATGGCATGGTTTCATCTTACCCCTTTCATGCAAACCACCGCTAGACAAATCGAACCACGGCCACCACGATCAACGTCCATGCAGGCGTGACTTGGTTCGAGTGAGCGTGCAATGCGCTCGCCTTAAACCGGGGCTGCCTGGAGAAGTGCCAGTTGAGCGGTGAGTTGGCAGTGTCTGGCCCTTGATTGCCCGCATGTGACACTCTAATCTGCCCGAACCCAATTCCCCTCCTCTTGGGACGCGGCATAGCTCATGCATAAATGCCTTATAATTGCGCTGCAATTGGTGTCCATGGATTCGTGTCATGCTTGTAAACAACAGCAGATAAACCATCGTCTGGGGATTCATTCCTCCCAGAGCCATATCCAGCCCTCTGCTTTTCTTTCTCATTTTTTGCTCCCCCATACCGGGTGCCGTCCGCTAGCCCTAGAGCGAAGAGCTCTCGTCCCTCTAGCCGTGCAGCCGCCACCAATCACAGGATCGCCCTCCATATCTATAGCGCATTGTAGCGCTGTGCCCTCCCTCCATCCCACTAACAAAGCCGCCGCCGGGACCCATCCACCGGGACCAGCTGGCCGTCTCCACACCTTCCTGTGAAAGCGTCTGCTCTGAATACCGTCATCAGGCTCAGAGCCCAACTAGGCTTTTTTCTTCTCTTTTTCTTCCTCTTCCTCTCTTACTCTCTCCTCCTCCTCTGCCTCTTCTCCTCCACGCTTCAAGACAGAGGCCCATCATGTCGTCCGACAACAACCAGCAGGTTATGGACGTGGTAAGACCGCCCATCGACTCGCCCGCCGAGATATAGCCGCGGCTGCTAACCTCAAAATTTGCCTCTTAGCTCTCGAGCATCTCGGGCCACTTTCGTCGGGTCACTGATAATGCCGCCGAGTTCATCGACAAGGGCGTCGACAAGGCCTCCGAGGCCGTCCGCGAGAGGCTGGCGACGGTCGAGTGGCTGCCCGATATCGTGAAGCCGCTCCCCCCACCCAAGCCAGAGGTCATTGTCGTGCCCCTGTCCAGCATCGAGAAGCTGCAGAACTGGTTCTCAAGGAACAAGTACCTGATCGGAGCCACCATCGTCGTCACCAGCGCTATCGCCTACAAGGGCTACCAGCAGAACAAATACGTGCGAAAGGTGCGGAGGGCCAAGCGAAGCAAGAATGGCGGCCGCAGCGAGGTCATTGTTATCGCGGGGTCGCCTCGACTGCCGCTGACCAAGACGCTGGCTCTGGATATGGAGAGGCGCGGATTCATCGTCTTCATCGTCTGCAATGCCACTGAAGATGAGGCCGCCGTCAAGTCTTTCTCCCGCCCAGACATCATGCCTCTCACCATTGACACCACAAATGTGAGCTCTTTTGCCCCCTTCTCACAGAGACTCATATGACAGCCCAAGCCGCTGTGTGTAAGTCGCAAAATGAAAGATACACTTGCTGACAGCTACCAGCCACCCAATGCCGGACTCGCTATTGAGCGCTTCGCCCACTTCCTCACATCTCCCAGAGCTCCAGGCCCCAACATCAAGCCGAACCAGCTGACCCTCAAATCCGTCTTCCTGATTCCCAGCCTCCACTACCAGACCTCTCCCATCGCCACCATCCCTCCATCAGCCTTTGCCGACCTTTTCAACACCCACCTGCTGCAGCCCATCCTCACCATCCAGACATTCCTGCCGCTGCTCACATCAAGGCTCGGCCCCATTGGCGAGAAATGGGTCCCTCCCAAGGTCCTGGTCTTCACTCCCTCCATCATCTCTTCCATCAACCCGCCCTTCCACGCTCCCGAGGCCACCGTCTGCTCCGCGCTCTCAGCTTTCACCGAGGTCTTGACGGCCGAACTGCGACCACTCGACATTCCCGTGACCCACATGCAGCTTGGCACCTTTGACTTCTCCGGCTTCGTGCCGATCCGCACCGGCTCGCCAACCCAGGGCCTGGTGACCAGCGCAGGAAACCCCGAAGACACTTTGATCTGGCCCGATGGTGCCAGACATGTCTACGGACGCAACTTTGTTGCCCAGACCGCATCTGCCATCTCTGGAGCCCGCATCCGTGGCCTGAAGGGAAGCTCTCTCCGTCATCTCCATGCCACCGTTTTCGACGTCATCGACGGCTCCGTCAAGTCTGACACCGTCCGCATCGGCCTCGGCGCCAGTATCTACGGGTTTGTTGGCCGATGGGCCCCCCGAAGCATCGTCTCATGGATGATGGGCATCCGCAAGGTCGATGAGCTCTCCACCTGGAAGACGAGCTCATACGAAGGCTCCGAGGATGGCAGTGACGACGAGGGCGCAGAGGGATCCATCTCCGAATCCAAGGAGTTCATTGCTGTCCAGTCTGAGGGCAATGTCTGGAACTCTGGAGAGACTGCCAAGTGGGAGGAACCTGCTCCCGAGGCCACCGCTGCTTAAAAGTCTCTTAACAGAAATGAAAACAAAACAAAAATTGCAAAACACAAAAAAAAAGGAGTAAAACAGAGAAAAGAAAGACAAATCATTTTCTTTTCTTTTTATTTCTTGGATTTTTCATGACACACAGCCTGCCGGGACAGCATGGCCAACAGTTGGCACTATGGGTATATATATATATGTTGAAAGCCCGTATTTAACGATTGGATGTTTTATGTATACATGGAAAGGAAACCCACTCTCATACTCATTGACGGTACATAGATACGCTCACGACTTTTACTAAATTTGACCACTCATTCATTGAACCATTTTTATACTTGATGTTTCCCTTTATTATTCCAGAGACCGTATGCTAATTTTCTATGTAACGCTCAATGTGAACCAAGTAGGCCTGTTTCCTCCCAAATAGCCTCCATTCCCAATAGGGTATCATTATAGGCTCGAAAAGTAAAGCAATGATGCATTGTAGCAACCATGAGTCCTCCTCAGTTTCTTCCACTTCGTAATCATAATCCCACTCAGCATCCTCTCAATGTCCCCTACTCCTATACCTCCCCCGTCCACCTCCGCCTCTCCATCTTCCCCCTCCTCCCCTTCCATGTCTCCCATGCCCACGATCCTCCCTCTCCCCCCTCCCCCCATCCCTAAACCGATCCCCATCATCATCCCCCCCAAACAACTGCCTCATATCCGGCTTCACCTCATCCTCACTCTTCTCCGCGCTCTTAGGCACAGGCTTCTCCAAATCCTTGGACCACTTCGGATGCGAGCCCATCTTGCACTCCGGCCCATCAGGACAGAACCCCGCGAGATAGTACACGCACAACTTCCTCCTCACATGCTTCTTCGCGCACAGCGGGCCCAGCGGGCAAAAGCCCATATCATAGTGCGGACACGGCGGCAGCTTCGACAGCGGATCGACGTGCAGATACAGACACTCCTCGCCGTTGGAGCAGTACCCGTTGCGCATGAAGAAGTTGCACTCGGGCATCTTACGCAGGTTGTACTCGTGCAAGAACTCGCACTGCTCGCCCTTCTTGCACAGGCCACGCAGCCAGTGCTTGCACACCAGCGAGTTGAGCCCGCCCGACGGGTGCTGCTGCTGCTGCTGCTGCGAGCCGTCCTTGGAGCGGCCGTCCGAGACGTGGCGCTCCGAGCAGCGCGTGCCGTTGGGGCAGCTGCCCGCCTGGAAGGCTTTGCATATCGGGCGGTCGGGGGAGAGGCCGACTTGGTACGTCTGGCGGAGGAACGGCGAGAAGCGGAAGCTGTAGGAGTGCGCGGCGTGGTTGAGGATGGTGGCGACGGGGTCTCTGGACGAGGACGAGGTGGCTGTTGTGGCGGCCATGGTGGTCGATTTGGTCTTTGGGGGTTTGGCTTGGGCAAAAACGCCCGGGATGAGGTGTTTGCAGCTGATTAACGAATTGTCGATCGATTTGGTAGGTAGTGAGAAGCAATATCCTAGTGGTGAATTGAGCTGTAGAAGATAAAGAGCTGTTGTAATGGTGGTGGTTGTGCAGGGATGATGAGAGGCGAAAAGTTGGAGCTCTTGGGCGCAGCAATTGGATCAGAAAGCTACGGCCACTCGCTAGCGCGGATGTGTCAGCCACATGTCTATCCTACTACCTTACCTCGAGGGGATGTCCTACAAGTAGAAGGGGTAATCTGTGCTCTTTGTAGTAACCTCGCAAAAGAAGAAAGTATCTAAAGCTCATCCTATTTGATAATGGCACATGAGCTTAGCTCTAGAGGCATGGGCTCATAAAATGTTGACTGTATCAGCTTTGGTTCTAATTCAGCTCATTGCTTAGCCATGAATTCAGCAGTAGTGAGACACAAGGCTGTGTGAAATGAATCCTATAAGCGGCATTGCAGTGCCACGGGTATTATTATATAGTATATATATATCAAAGATATGCATTGTAGACCAGAAAAAAGGGACAAGGCCACCCCTTATAAAGTAACATTTGAATGCAGACTCGCAAAAGCTTTTTGATGCCAGCAATAAGCCCTATACACAATCTCTAATAGAAAATCCCGGTGCAACTCCGTATGAGCAAAGTAAATCAAATAAAACAGGCCAATCACTTTCAAGTGCAGATCAAGGGTGTAACCCTTGTTAAAGATCAAGTGTCCCATCCGAGAGGGGAAAAAATCCAGCGTTTAAGATCATAGCGAACAACGTAAAGGAAAGCAGAGGCCAAGTACGCGGATACAGCTCAATAGAGGCTCTCGGCATAGTGGCCTTCTCTCTTTTGCGCGTAGCAAACACAGCAGTTGATGTAGCGATGGATCGATGTGTCTTCCAGGCTCTCTCGCGCTGCTTCCAGCATGGCCACTCGTTGTGCAGGAGAGAGGTTTAGGGCTGCGAGGGGTTTCGCGGCCATGGCTCCAAGAGAATCGTTAATGGTGGTTTTCATGAAGACACCCAGAGCTCGCAGAGTCTTGTCGCGTGGCCAGGTCGATATCGGTACTTTTTTTGTGATGCAGTGGACGTTTGTGAATCCAGCTTCTCCAAGAATCTGCTCAAGTTCATTGATGGTAAGAATATTGATGCCGTAAACTCGCAAGCCGTCCTTCATCGACTCGATAAACACTCGAAGGGGGTCGTCTTCTTTCATAGATCCATCGTCGCACCGGATTTCGAAAATGAGTTCGTGGAATTCCACCCAGCCACCGTTCTTAACATGTCTATCCTCCCAATAATTAGCTACTGTTTCTAGGGTCGGAAAGGGCGGCACATCAGCAACAACGGGGACGAACGGATATATCTTGGTAAGAAGGCCCTGAAGGTTTCGAAACACATGAGTCATTTGTCGGAAGTGTACAAGGTCGAAATCCGATCCGTGCAGCCACTCAGGCTCCTCGCTATCCTCGATAAACATGCGCACGTTGATAGGCACCCATGGTGGTTGAATGGGTGAAAGGTCAGTGCCAATGACGCTTGCGCTTGGATGCTGATCAGCGACTACCAAAAGGATATCAGTCAATTATGCGCCAAAAAGAACAAGTCGTTGCGCCGGTATACACGCGAATATGCACAAGTATTGCCATACCATCTATGGGCCATATTCCTGTTCGAGAGCTTATTAGCATTTGAGTACTTTATAGCGCTTCGCCAAAGCGACTTACCAATGCCAGTTCCGATGTCAATGATTTTCTGGGGGTAATCGCCGATGTTGGCATAGAACAAATGCCCGCCCTACAACCCAAATTATCCCTCTAAGCATTTGATAACCCAAGTAGGTGGTTGATGCTCGGCAACACCGAGCGAGGCTGAAGGCATCCTGCGCCATACGCCGGCGCGCGAAGCAGAGCAGGACGTACCATTAGCTGGAGAAACAGGGCGTGGACTGTTTCCTCCCTGTGACGCTCGACCTCATCGTTGGGCATGGGATAGATGCCTCTGCGGAAGCCATGATAGCGCCGGCCGTAGGCAATCTCGTCTTCGTAAACGCTCGGGGGCACGGAGGTGGACGGCCCTGATGAAACCTCCCAGCCGCTCTCGAAGTCGCTGGTGGCGTCGTCAATTTCAAAATCAATGTCGTCGTCCGCGTGCTCGAGCTCTGTCCGCGTCGTGACGCTCGTCGCATCCGTCACCGACGCTGTTGACACCAGCGAAAACGTGGTGTCATCGTCGTCATACATGGTGCCCTAGGAAGCGTGTGGATAAATGAGTTGGGTTGGACTTGACTGCAGACGGAGCCATGACCCTTTGTTTGCCTTAAGAGAGAGACGGTTAGGACCGAAGTGGAACCTGACGCTCCACCGTTGAAGAAAGACTACTGTTAGCAGCAAGTCCCTTTTAGACGCTTCCCTGCCAGGCACTAGCAGGCATATTCCGTGAAGATGAGGGGGTCCCCTAATTAGCCTCTCATCTCTGCCTTCTCCGCCGTGGCACAGAAGCTACTTTGACGCGCAACTACCGAGGAAGATGGAAAGGGTCAACAGCCACAGCTTGGCACCTCGCTGTCTTGTAAGTGAGCAGTAGCCTGCATCAGCCCAAGAGCTGTTTCTTATTTTCTTTTTCCCGCCGTCGCGCTTAATTGGCGGAGCTTGAATCCTCATACATTAAGCACTAGTCACAGTCGGTTAAGCTTTTGGCATGGCACATCTAGGCGCGCTGCCGGTCCCTTGTATAACACGGCTCGCCGTCAGTTTGCCCGGGCCTGTTGCTAATTTCGCAGCCGGTGGATAATCCAGAAGCACAGAAGACATGAAATACGGTGCCCTTGCTCTTCGAGCTAATGTAGTCTGATAGTGGAAGTGTGGTGTAAGAGATGCTTCCCAGACAATGCCTCCTGCCGGCGATTCAGGCGTCCGATACTGGCACACACAAGCAATGAACAGGCAGCAGCCGGACGAGCCCGATCCGCGGTACTGGACAGACGAGCAGGGTCCCGAAGTGGTAGCACGAATCGGGCCTGCGGGCGCGCAGACAGCGTGCAGATGATGTGTAGTAGTACAGAGAGGTTGTTGGTTCGCTTACACGCACAAGTATGTCGCAGTCTTACTCGTGGTAATACGTTGCAGCGTGGATATTAATACTACCAGTGTGAATGTAATAATATAGTGGGATATAGGTATGTAGTAATCAGATCTGCTCGAGCCATAGTCAGTGAAGCTCGCACAAAGGAAGAAGCCGCACTGACCCAGCTCTGTGCAGTCCCGCGCAACTTGACAACATCGACACAGCCTTTGTGATAAGATCAGCAAAGAGCAACGCAAAAAACACCCCATGAGTGAGGTAGCATCGAGTGGTGGTAATTCCTGTCACCAGGTAATCATCGAGCACCCACGCGTTGGCTGTGATACCCGCGATGCAACACACCCGATGCCTGTCCTATTTCGGCCTCGAAGGGCTAAAAGCACCCCGGCAGCATCCGAGATCCTCCCCGAGCGGCACGCACCATAGTCTGCAGCTACACAAGCGGGGAATGCTGAAGAATATGGATAGCATTCGTGCTTGTGCTCGTGCTCCATCTCCATAGGCCAAGGACCAGTAACAAGACGAGGACCGGCAAGTGGTGTGCTCCAAATGTGCCGCGTTTGGCTTGTCTCGCGCTTCAGATTTTTCTCCTATCACAGCTGCCGAAAACGTGGTGTTGCAGCAAATCATCCAGAGCCTTTTGAGCCCACTTGGAGGGGCTGTGCCTCTCATCAAGATTGCAGATAGCAGTAGTAGCAGCAGTAATCCAGCACTCGATCCCTGCGGGCTGCATCATTGGACGCAACAAGGCCACCACGTCTGGGCAAGATAAGTGCTAAAGCATGCAGTGAAGGATCATTGCATGTCTCCATAGAGGAGCGCTCCGTGCGTCTTCCATACAGGAGAATCCAGGTGCACACGTGAATACCTTGAGCCTGGCCTATCGGTGGTTGCTGTTGGGTATCAAGAGGTATCAGCAGGTCAGCTGGAAAGCGAAGCAACCCTGGAGATGCAGTGAATCCCAGCTGCAAGTGGCGTGTTCTCACTCGCGGAACTGCCAAGCATACAAAAAGCGTGTAGTTGTAGCGTCCAAATAGCATCATGTACTTCTAAGCTACTGCCTGGGCAGCAACAGCGCAATGTACTAACTGGGCAATCGCGAGTATAACCCAACAGGGGGCAGCAGAGCCTTCTTACCTGCCTTTACCGGCACTCGAATACGCTGCTCTTATAGGCCGCGAGATGGAGGAAGGAGGGAGGGAGGGACGCAGTAGGCTCGGCTCTTCCCTCCCCAGCGGTGACATCAAAACGTGGCAGCTACAAACGGTGCCTGTGCCTGCCCATCCAGTCACGACGCCTGGATCGAATATCTTGTGTCTCCGCCAAGCAGCAAGGATCGCAATCTGTGCTCGAGCATCCCCCGCCATGCCCTAGTGGTGGTGGCATCGGAGACTTGTCCAGTTTCTCCATACCCATACATCTACGGCGCAGTATGGCATGTACTGCTAGCAACACCAGCTGCAGGCTGACGGCGGTTGTGACTTTTAACCAGTGCAGCTTTGTGCAGCATCTTGTGCAGCGGCACGTATAGCTTGTGCAGCGGCTGATGTCGTAGCGGATGCAACATGACCCAGGTATGAAACTCAGCTTTGGAACATCGCGACCTTGCGGCATGATGGCATGGCATGACTAACCAAGGCACCTACGAAGCACACAGCACGGCAAGCGAAACACAAAATCCTCACTCTAGGGCTAAGGGTGCTCTAGCAATCCCACCGATATCTAGCTTATGAGTCAACGGTGATTTCAAATCGAGCAGAGCAGAAAGAGACAAACGCGCAAAGGGCTTGGAAGCCAACGACGTCCCCCTGCGCATCAGCAAGGCGCAAGCTTGGAAACACGAGTTAACAAATCTTTAAGCTGGGAAAGGAGAAAACTACAATCCGTATTTCAGCTTGAAAGCATGGCTGTCTGCCTGAAAGTACGGCTAGCAAGGCGGTACCTAGTCATTACTGCTACCTCTTCCTCGAGGGGGCCATGCAGGTTGTGGGTAGCTTCAATATTAGCCAAGCGAGTCTGTACTTTGTAAGCACGAGAATGACCATGGCCTGCCCTCGACGGTGAAAGTTCGACGTTACCTATCCGTTCATTGGTCAACCACGGGAGGAGACCGAACAGTAGAGTGGGAAAAAATTCCCTCGAATGGAGAAATGGTCATTCTCCTCTTTATACTACTCCATATGGTGGCCAGCAACGGAAGTTCATCCTCTTCGCAGCCTACACAAAGGATTTGACCATCGTCACGCCTCTCTAAGACTGAGTATACAACATGTATGAGACTCAGGAAAGAAAGAAAGAAAGAGGTCGACCGGAAGAAGAGGGCAACAAAGAGGAGAAGAGAGTCATTGTCTGAGGCGGCGTTTCGACAGCCTTGCGCGCGGTTGGCCATCGACTCACCCTGCAGCTGGCTATGCCGTGGCTTGCCAGCCTGCTCCAAGAGCCTCACTTTGACCTCGTCCTTATCCACTTCACACTTGCACTGCCCCATGACAGCTCAGACTGATTTGGCTGAACAACAAGGTAAATACTGGTCACGTCGGTGTCAGATTATCACATTATTTTGAATTTTTGCGGCCAAGTTCTTACATCCGGTGTCTCACAGTGAGCATTTTACAAATAATACCGTTGCTAGGGTTTCCCATTAAGCCAAAAGCCTTTTTAGCATGGCCCGAAGGAGATGCGCGCTCCATTCCGTGTCTTATTCCTTCATGTTCATGACGGAGACGTAATGGTCTATATGGAGCAACTCCACGTTCATTTCGGCCTTGCCGCTCCAATACGCCCTTGTCTCACGACAAAGCATACACTCAATCTGATATGATTCGATGTGAGATGTGCCACATGTCTCGGTCAAGCTTGCCGGTCAAGGGCGCTTCATTATTTGCCAGCGAAGCGCCATCTCGCCTTGCCAACAGCGGGCTGATTAATTGGAGAGATTTGGTTGAGCCGTCAGGCCGACGCATTGGCCAGTCTCACTTCACGGCTACCGGCCTGAACGTCAATCAAATATGTACGATCAAGCAAGGAGCAACGCGGCGGTCAAGAAAGGCAAACACGGACCTTCTCCGTCGTCCATGGATGAGACGTAGCCACGGCGCTTAGGAGCTTCTGTGAAGCCACGAATCCTGAGCCAGAGCGAAAGCGAAACAAGGGTGAAGGCGGCCCAATTTTGGGACCCAGAGTCCGTGCGGAAAGACTGAGAAGCAGGTCAAGAAGAGATTCAGGGAAGAGGGAGAAAAAAAAGGTCAATCACGAAGAGACTGCAGACGTCTCAAGCAGGAGAATTGGCTGCAGCGGCAGTAGCCGCAAAAAGAGCGGTAGCGGTACCTGGATTGGGATGAACGGGCCTTTTGGTTGATGTCCACTTCATCAGTTTAGCTATCCGGGCGGCTCTAAACTCTCGGCCTTCCAGCCATTGCCTTTAGCTCTCCCAACGGGTCGCCATCATCCACCCCCCTCCACTCGACTCTGATCGCCGATGGCACAGCACCAATACCAACACTGGGCATGGCAACGGCGAGAGAATATGCCAAAATACGGCTGTGGCTATATCTGGATGCTGATATGTAGGAGGCAACGTTTGCCAAGCATTCGTTCTTCATACGTTCAGGCAGAATAGGACTCGGCTCCGCCTGGCGGTGGCTCACTACGACCAGCGAGCACCGTCTCCGGCCAACACTCCAAGATCTGGCCATCCCACGCATGCTGTCATTACCCTCTGCTCTCTCTATACATGTCACTCTCGTCTTCCCACGCAAGTCAGCAGTTGGAATCCCCGCAATTATGTCATGCATCGTGGCTGTCTTCATCCTCTCCCTGGACCCTGGCCACTCTCAGGCCGTTGTTTGGACCCTCAATGCCTTTTCTCCCAGTGCGTAATTTGCATTCTCTCTCTCGTACCTGTGTCCCATCTTTCTGTGCTCAGTGCCCAAGACATTTCAGAGACCCCCCGGGTCCCCACTTCAGCATGCTATTCGACTTTTGCTCTTTGCCCGTCCCACACCCGGACCGCACGTCTTTTGCTCGGCCTAGGGTTTTGGCTCTGCCTGCTATATCGGTGTATGCTCGTATGAGTGAGTGCTCCGTACCACGCCGCGTGCAAATGGTGTTTGGCAATCATGCCCCCAAGAAACACACGACACGCCGGCATCGAGCCCCAGCAAGGCCCTCCCCCCCTTGATGCCTAACCTGGGCTTCTGTCTTGGTCGTTTGGTGAGCTCCGGAACTAGCCCCGGCCCAGGTAGCACGTCTCCGGCAGGGCTTTGGAGGTTGGATCTTCACAATGTTGCCGATTTACTACAAAACTGTCCCATTCTGCTGCTTTTGTGCTCCTTTCGCCCCCCCTCTTGAACCCTGAGGGCATCCCTTGCCACTGCTCTATGCTTCACGCTCAGCTCCCAATTGATGACCCTGTCCACGGTTACGGCCGTTCCTGAAGTCGCCGTCTCCTCCGTCACCGCCGTTCGCCTCCGGTTCTTCTGTCCGTAGCCCGATAACAAGATGAGCGCCGCCGCATCCCGCAAGTCACGCATAGCTACGAGTGTGGCGAGAGTTATGTACACCAATGCAGTCTATTTCCCTAGCAGCAGAATATACCAAGGTGATTCGCCGGGAATGCTCAATTACAGCTGCATCAACCACGTGTATTATGCGTATGCCAGCGTGACGGCGGACGGCAATGTTTTTGTGAGTTTTGACAAAATCCCAGAGACCACACAAAGGGCAGAGTGGCTTCTTTTCCCGTGCAATGGTTCGGAAAAAGTTGAGAATATTTCACCTGCATGATGTTGCTCGGCTGCTGACTTGTGACGTGTGGCCCAGCTCGGCGATGAGTGGGCCGATGCCAGAGCGCCAGTGGATGGTGTTCAGGGTGGCTTAGGATCCTTGATGCATCTCAAGCAGAAGCACCCTCACCTGCAGGTTGTCTTATCTATCGGTGGCAGCACTGCATCAGAGGCGTTTCCCATTGTTGCATCAAGCACTCTTCTCAGAGATAACTTTGCCCGGTCTGCCCTTGGCCTTGTGGAAGCATCCGGGCTTGATGGCGTTGACAGTAAGTACAAACGGAAGAGCATACAAGAGTCTACAAGAGTCTCGAGCTAACTATTCGTGATAGTTGCCTGGGAATTTCCATCCCAAGCTAAACATGGCCACGACTTCCTGGCCTTGCTGGCAGCAGTGCGGATTCATATGCCGGAAGACCGCTTCATTTTGACAGCTGTCCTCCCCGCGGCGAAGGAGGTTCTCCAACTAATCGACCTCAGCACAGCGGCCGAGTACCTTGACTACATCAACCTTGTGGCATATGACTTCTTCGGCACGTGGACATCCAAGACTGGCCATCACGCCCAATTATATACAATGAACAAGGATGAACCCTCAGCATCGACGGGCGTGGCCTATGTCATGTCCCAAGGATTCCCTCCAAAGAGCATCCTGCTCGGGATCCCGACCTACGGACGAAGCTTCCTCAAGGCCAATGGACCAGGACAGGACTTTAACGGCGTTGGCGGGCAAGATGGCACATTTGAATACGGCGAATTACCACGAAAGGGATGCAAAGAGATTGTGGATAGGCGCTACATTGCGGCCCAATGTGTCGGTGGTGATGGGGGGTTTGTCACGTATGACAACCCCGAGACGGTCAAGGTCAAGGCTGAATTTTGCAAGCAGAAGGGATTAGGGGTTTGTGGAGCTCAAATTTGTCCAATCTTTGTGAGACACAAATTGGTTGCTAACTATCAAATTTTTTTAATATTGCAGGGGCTCTTTTACTGGAACGGACCGGCTGACTCTCGAGATCAAGCACGAAGTCTGATTGCGGCTGGATTCCGCGCTCTACACACCTCGTGAGGCACAGAGTGTCGGTATGACGTCTCTCTCTCACGTTTTCTCTTTTGTTCTGTGTCTGTGTGGCACATATAGAATTCTCATTACGCATACGCCTTTCGACTCTCGCCTTACCGCTACTACTAGTGCCAGCAGATGGCATCAATGGGAGGGGTGGCTTGGCTCGCACGAGCGGTGCTGCATGACTCGGACGTGGTCGCAGGAAGGCGCGTTCCGAACTTCATCTCCAGCTGTGGCTCCATAACGTGGTAACGAATGTTCTTTTTGTTCTTCTTCTTCTTCTTCGTCTACTTTTTCTTTTTTTTTTTTGGGCAGAGGCAAACAGGATGCTTTGGCAAAGCCGGAGTGGATAGGGGGGGAAAAGAAAATAGAAAGAGATGCGCGGGTTCCATTGGCGCGCAACGGAAAACCGAATATCTTATGATGATATCCCTTTATAGACTTCAAATAGACGGGAGCAGGCGTTGTTGGCTTTTTCCTCTTCCTCTTCTGGTTACGGCAATAGACGTACAATCTCTTTCTCTTTCTGTCTCTCGCTCTCTCCACGCGCCACCTGGCAGCATCTAAGCTCAACGATGCCCTCCGCTATTCGACGGGCTAGCTGGCCACGAGCCCCATCGCTATTCATAGCGTCATTATCGTGGCTCTACACGCTCGAGAGGAAGGAGGATTTTTGTGGCTCCAAGCCGATGGGAAAACGTCACTCAGCAGTGGTGCGTTTCAAATCCGAAGGCGCCCAACTGGGCCAACTGGGGTAAGACGACGTTCTGGGTCTGCAATTAGAAATTTGGAGCCTCGACTCTCCCCTCTTTTTTTTTCCGCATGTGTGTGTGTCAATGTGTGTCGTGGAGCTTCTTACTACGGGCTTGCTTGAACAAGCCCGATAAAAAAAAATCGGGCCTTACGAGTTATGATAGCTGTCGTTTTTGAATGGCTCCGTTTCTTTTTTGGGGGTCCTTTTTTTTTTTTTTTGTGGCAGCTTGACAGAGAAAGGCAAGCCCATGGGTCGGTGACGCTTTGGTTGGAAGCAGATGCACACGGGCGGAGCGAAGGGCGGCCGAGTTCGGGCTTTTTGGGACGGGACGAGAGGCTGCGTTGGGAGATTTTGGTGAGATAGAGAGAGTGGGAGCCGGTGATGAATTGTTTATGGAGATGTTTTTGACCTAATGAGGTGGTGGCCTTTCCAGATTGTAATATTCCTAGATGTTTTCACTCGATATGATGCATGTGAAGCTCAAGATGAGAGCCAGTGAGATGAGAAGCATTCGCTGCAAGAAGGATCGATCTCTTTTTTTTAGACGCTACATTAGTAGCACATGCGTGCTAAAAACTCGGTTGCATTTTTCTCCTACCTGTCTTGTCGTTCGTAAGAGTTACAGCAGCCATGTATGTCTGTATGTATGTAGTTTAGTTTAGTTTTTGCATGTATGCGCTGCTTACTACCTGTCACTTCGGACTAATGCCGCCTTGGCCTTTTCGTGTTTGGCTGCTTGGGCCAGAAGCAGGTCAACTGCTAAATTCTATTAGCTATTTTGCTGCTTGAGTGGTAGAACGGTCTCGGCGAGCTCCGTGGAGCATAGACATGATGGCTTTTTGGGGTTTAGGTAGGTATGGAGGTGATGCTATTTCAAGAGGCTAACAAAAACTATTAGGCTAGAAAAAGGGAAGAGCAAGGAGCCAGTATATGCTTTGATAGGTATATTACGCTAAGCACTCCGATGATACTGAGGGAAATAAAGAAAAGAAAAAAACATCCCGTATGACAGATAAGCAGTAAGCAAACAAAAAAAAACAAAAAGCAAAAAGATTACTACTACTGCCTCAAAACTTACGCAAAATCCTGCCCGAAGACGTGGCTTGGCCTTCTCGATAGGGTTTGTGGATTGGGAATAATAGCCCACCCCCGGCTCCATATTTAATAACAGAAAATGGACTGGAAGAAAAGGGAAAGAAAAACCGCCTACCAGGTCTCTTATGACATATGATGCTTGCATGCATGAGTCTCACGTGGCGATAAGAGATTGGAGATGGAGATGCAGAGCACAATGTCTCAGATGGAGGTGCCCAATCGTTGCGTATCTACTTACATAAGTACCTGGGTTGGTGTGCGCGGACGTCGAATCGTGATGGGTCTGTATAGTCATGATTTTTAATTGAACGATGGCTGCAGCTTTGGAAGTTCTTGACGGCAGTGGCTGTTTTCTAAAAGAAAAACGGAGCTGAAGAACGGGGGGCGTGGAATCCGAAGAAGAAGCTCTCCAGCTATCAAACTGCTAGTAAAAAGCAGCACCTATACTGTACGGAGGTACCTTTGCTGTAACGGACCCCAGTGACAGACGGTGACGCATCCGGTAGCCGCTCAGCCTTAAAAATCGTACCTACAATAAGGCAAACAAAACCAACACAAGCAAACCCAAAAAAAAAAAAAAAAAAAAAAGAGTTCCTCAGCTCAGTGCCAGGCTGACGGGTCGGGGTCTTAAAAACGAGAGCCACCTAATTTTCTCATCTCTTCTTCCTTTCGCCATTTTTGCGTCTTCTTTCTCTCGTTTTGCCTCCATCCCTTTTAAAGATGCGCCTCATGCGGCCTCGTCCATCCGCTCTTACATGTCGTCGTTACCGTTGAGACACGCAAACACACGCACAGAGAGAAAGAGAGTTTCTTTTTACACATCACCATGTCGAGTCCAGGCAGGGACATGCCTGCGAGAGCAGCAGACCACGATTCCACGACATACCTCGCTTCGTCGCCGTCTCCGTCAATCGCTTCGTATCGGCAGCGGCACCCGCAGTTTCAGCCTCATCAGCAAACGACCGCGTCCGAAGCAGCAGCAGCTGCGTCACCGTCAACAGCTGCCCTACAGGGACAAGATCAACAGCATCAGCATCACCACGACCCCAACCTCAGCCACAGCTTCACCGACAACAATGACGCCGCAGCGCCCTCCTCCTCGTCCGACCACATCCCCCCCTTCGAGCCCATCTTCACCCTCCTGACAAACACCACCACAAACACCACCGTCCACCCGCGCGTCCACTACCTCTTCAGCGACGACGACGCCTCCGCCGTGCTCACCGCCCCGCAGACCGACCCTCTGCACCGCGCCCTCGTCGTCGATCTCGCGCCGCCCGCGAATCCAAGCGGCAAATGGACCGTCTCGTGGGCGTCCAGCCTGACGCCGGACTTTGCCGTCACGGCGTCGCAGCTGTCCCTCCAGCACAGCGGTAACAACGAGGGCGAGGAGGGTGAGAATAACGAAGGTGCTTCGTCATCCGTGATGCTTCGCGTCGAGGGCGTAGAGCGCGAAGGCGTCCCTGCCGATACAAAGCCTACGAACGCAAACCTTCGGGGCTCCTCGAGCAGCGGTGGCTCTGCCGCTGGCATTGTTGGCCGTGAGGACGTGGATCAGTTGACGGAGGAGTTTAAGCGCCGCATGGGTGTCCTGAAGAAGGTGGTTGACGAAGGCGAGCGACGACGGGAGACGCTGAATAGGCTGAATGAGGAGATGGCAATGACGCACCCTGATGGGAGGGATGATGATAATACTACAACAGCGACAGCTGCGGCTGTGGAAGACGATACCCATGCAGGAGGGAGAGAGCCGCAGTAAGGTCAAGATACTTGCTGCCTTTATTTTTCTTTGGATACTACTACTACCCTCCTACTGTAGCTATGTCAAGCTACCATGAGATGGACGAGATCAACAAATGTCTCTCAACTTATACCAGACTCGGCCCTCCTTTACCTCGCCACAACATACACAGAGCACAACGGGAAGCATAGTTGGCGCACGGTCACATCTACATTGCAGCCTTAGATTTGCTCTTTTGCTTTCGATTTAATCCACAATAATCTCCTTTTTTATTTGTTTTTCTCGACGTTGGGGCAGTCTTTGAAGGATATATTACATATTCTCCGCTCTTCGGGTATCGTAGCGAAGTGATTATCAAGATTTCATAATAATACCACCACTACTAGTATTTACTCCCATGCACCATGTGCCTTGATCAGACCTGCACCCAGTTAGAGGTGCGAGCAAGAATGAGAATAATTTAATTAAAATTTGATATTAGAAAAAAGTCTTTCTGCTGAGCGCCTCAAATGCTAAACTCCAAAATGTTCTTCCCAAAACCAGCAACCAAAAACGTATTGGTGAAAAAAAAGCAGTGTAAAGGCGTCTAAACAAAATCAATCCAACCAGCCATCTCTTGTGCTTCGACAAACATAAAAAAGACTCAGAGCTCGTTCCCATTCAACAACCATCGGAATGTCATAGCCCTTGTGTGGCGCCCGAATCCAAAGGCGTAAACAAAAGAAATATGGGCACAAGGTCATGCCGCATGTCGGTAGCTACTTTTATACAATGTCTTCAACGATGGAGTCAAAACGTGTGTGTGTGTGCGTGCGTGCCCCTTTTATACCTCTTCCTCGCTTTCACTCTCTCAGTCATCCTTCTTTCAGCCTCGTCTCCAGTATCTCGTCAGATGCAGCCATTACTGTGGTGCAGCAGGCAAGTGAAGTCTTCCCTTGGCTATCCGGCCAAACTGGGCAGCAATCTCATCCTCTGAGGGCAGACGAGCCACGAGACGAGCAGCCGGTACAGCAACCTCTTCGAGCAGAGATCGCTTCTTGTTGTTGTTTGTTCCTCGGACAACGAAGATGTAAATGAGCACAATGATGACGACGATGACGATAATGGCAACTATCAAGATTAGCCCGTGTTCTCAAATCTGAGCGTCGTGTAAATAATCGACTTACCAACAATACCAAGGCAAATCCACTTCTTCTTCCTGGTGGATCGGGCAGTTGTGACAGCCACCGCAATTTCCTCGTTACCCTTGTCGAGGTTCTCGACAATCTCCTCGCCCTTCTGCTCAATCTGCACAATAGCAGCGTCTTGCTGGACGACCAGGGTATCAAGATCCTGCATGAGCTGGAACAGCTCTGTCATCTGCTGCTCAATCTTCAGCAGCTCCTTGTGTCGGTCCTGGACTGCGCTCAGTGCAGCACGAGCACGGCCCTGGCGGTCGCTTTGCATCAGAGCTTGGCTGAAAATCTGACCGTTGCCGGTGTCTTCAACCGCGGCCTGGACCTCTTCCTCTGTAGCATCGGGGCGAACAATACGGTATTGGCGACCCATCTGCTGCTTAACGGCGGCCTGAAACTCGGATTCGACAGTCTGGTATTTGGTGATGACGGCCTTGACTTCTCGATCGACTCGGTCGACATGGCTGCTGTTCATGGCGCTTCGGCCCTCAGGCTTGGATTTGATGGTCCGGACACGCTCAACAAGAGAGCGGTAAGTAGCCGTGGTCTCGGTTGTCAGGGCATCCAGCTGACGGTTGGACTGGCTGGACGAGGAGCTGTCGACATCGCTGAGAACTCGGGATTGGAGCACCTTGATCTGTTCCAGGCTGCTCTCGACTTGGCGAACACTGTTGCTGATGTCGCGGCACTCGTTACGGATCGCATTGGGGTCTTCGCGGGCCATTGAGCCAGCATTCTGCGTTAGAGGAGCCATCTCGACTGCTGAGCCTGTAAGTGTACGGTTAACATCTGCATGATGGGTTGAGCGATGCGTACTGTCGTCCATACTTCCAGTTGGGGCGTAACCACGGCCACCAGCGCCATAGGGGGTATTGTTATAGCTAGGAGGGGGGTTGTCATAACCGCCGCCGCCATAGTTGTCGTTCCGTTGGTCGTACGGGTTTTGATTCCCACCGTATCTAAAGAGAGACAGGGCGTCAGTCACTGGAATGCGGGTTTCAGGGGCACTGGATGCAAAGCCCAAGTCGAGTGATTGCGATATACTAACCCGTACTGTTTTGACATTTTATTAGCAAGCTATTCTGAGTATCATGTAACGAAATGTGGTTTGCAAACGTGTAAGATTGTGTATATGGAATTGGAAATATGAAGAAGAGAGGATTGGATATATTCCAGAGCGAACGCAGATGCTTTTCTTTGTGTTCTGGGACGCTCGCGTTGAAACAGCAGCCGTAGGAGAGTCGGGGTGAAACACTTACGCTCATGGTGGATTCAGTTAGGAGAAATCCAGGGATATCAGAGGTTTGGCGAAACGCTGTAAGCTGCAAAGCGTGGCTAGCAATCGACGGCTGTTTTTTTCCTGTTCAAAAAAAGACTACAACAAAAGAAGGGAATCGAACACAAGCAACAACAAAAAAAAAGCAATGGCCTCACTGCCTTTTGGTTAAGAAATTGTGTAAATGGCAGAAACAACTTTGCTGTTCAATGTTGGAGAATAAAATGGCCCAGGAGCAGAGGAGGCTCCAAGCCCGGGTTTCCAGACAAGGGTTATAGAGGAAGGCGAGAAGGGGGCAGCTGCACCACAGCGGAGCCGCGACCAGGGAAGGAGCGGCCCTACGAGACTTAGCTTCCAGTGGCGGTACCGGTACGCGCAGTAGCGTGGCGTGTATCAGTGCGCAGCCAGTGTGGCAGCCGCAAATGCGCGTAGGGGGCAGGCCGCAAATTAGCGAGATACGTGTACTGGGTACCGGTACAAGCGCCCACGCCGTGGCGCCTGGTCTAATCAAATGGAAGGCACTGCAATAAGAGCCATCACGAGCGTAATTTTGCAGAGGCCGCTAAATAAGGAGATCGACGGCCAGGCGAAATCACAGGCAGAGCGCAATAATTGGCTTGTAATTGTGGCCGTTCAATAGCCCAGAACTCTTATTCGTATTAAACTACAGAGCATAAAAACTTATTACTGCCATGGCTTGTACTACGTAACAGGTACATGACGATCCTTTCAGTTTGGTCGTATTCCCAACCAAGCAACCTTGGGCAAGGCGTTTTCGCTTTTGCTTTCCGTTGTGTCAGATGGTGTCGACAACAAACTGCCCTGATTGGATCCGCGTCTTCAGCACAGCATCAAGCTAGTGGAACAACGGCCGGTGGCGCACATTGATTTGCCCTGGTCTAGAGGCCGGGGTGCCATCGGGGTCCCTGCCAGGATGTGGATGAGTCGCAGAGATTGCACTACGGGGTATCAGCTGTGGCGCCTGGAAACGGGGACGAACAGCTCCGTTGCACCACCAACGCTGCTGTTCTCGTCGCTCTTTATTTTCCTTGGTTTTGATTGCGGCGCCTGTTCTGCGCTAGGCCGCTGGAAAATGGCCTTGTGCGACGATCAAACAAAGCAGCCGTCCCATACGGAATATCGCAGCCGAGCAGAGAATCAGCCATTGAGGGGATTGAGGGGATTGAGGGGTTCTGCTCTACTGTAGACGGCGAGCTGACTGGAGCTGACAATGGCGCCGCAGCTCACCGCGCGCCACCTACACACACGTAGCAGCATTTCGTAATGGCCCGGCCTGCAGTCAGCATTTCACCGGCTTCTAAAAAAAGACTGCCTAAGAATATATATGCTTGTTCGACTAGCTTGTTGGGCAACGATCCTCAGCACCGCCTCCATCGACCTCAGATGCCCAACGACGGATCTAGATAAACACCGACAGCTGCGTGGCCCTTCCGATCGGCCAGGAAGGCGGATGCAGAGCAACATCTACAATGAGAAGAGAATTTAATATTTGCGGGATAGCTGGTCATGAGCGACCTTGTTTGAATCAGCATGAACCAACATGCATGGCGAAGGAAGCGAGCGAATTGGCAAGCTTAAATAGCGTTGAAAAGGATCAATCCTAGCAGCTTCAGCTCGATGACATGGCCTTGACAAAGCAATTTCAAGATTAGAACCAATAATTCATATTCTAGACACTATCGTCGTCTGTGCCTGGAAACTCGTGCTGCATAGTGAAATACCTAATCTTTATCTGCTAATTCTATTTCTGCTTCCATCTCTTGAAGATACTGTCCCCTCACAAAACTGCATAAGCAGAGACATAACTGACACTCGATTCATTGGGCCGCGTAACTTGACTACTACGGTCATACTTCACAACTTTGAAGCGACTCTTTTTCTCATCATCGACCTCCTGTGCATATAGCTCGAGGGCAGCCATGGCAATTCCAATTGGATGTCGCCCGCACACCGTGTTTCCGGTACGTCGGAGATTATCGACAAAAGCATCATGACTGCCGCTCTTGACGGCATCCATAGCCGCCTCATCGACTAGCTGGATCGATTCATAGATAGGTGGTCCTGATGGCCTTGTGTTATAAGGTTGGAGATGCTTCAGGCTGTCAAGGTCTCCATCGGCAGTGTAAACCGTATAGTCAAAGTCCCATCCCCAGTGACAAAAATCCGAGCTAATGATGAAGGCATTTTCTTCATCCTTGAGATAAGACAAGAGTAATCGACCAAGATTCTTTTCGTCTGTTCGGTTAGTGCTTCCGACAATAATGGGGACCACTTGGGGAAAATCATCTGTTGTGTTGAAGGTCTGTTCACATCGCTTGTAGAGCAATGGCAAATGCATTTCCAGAGAATGTTCTGCCTTATCATTGGTGCGGGGTGCATCGCTCATGGCCCCTGCTTCTTTCACTCGCTCGAGGGTATCCCTATCCACGGTGAAATCTCCGAACGGAGTGGCATATGTTGAAAACGTTGTGACGGCGCAGCCAATGAGGCGGTAGGTATGAGACGGCCCTAAAATGAACACTCTCTTTGCTTTGCTGAGATCAAGGCAACTGTAGGCCCACCCAGCATTTGGCCCTGAATATCGATATCCTGCGTGCCTTTATACATGTATCAGAGAGAGGCTGGGATTGGATTTATCCAAGGTCACTCACGGCGCAATGATTATTCGAGCTCCTGGTATAGGCAATGAAAAGTCATCGACAGTCTCAGGAACATTGGCAAAAAAGCCGCTGATTTGTTCTGCCAGATCCTTTACTCTGTTGGTATACCATGAGCCTGCTTTCCCGGCTTCTCTTACGTCCGTATTTGTATCTGTTTCCATTTCCATTTTCTTGATTTTCGGAGATTTTTTGTAGTCGTTCAATATGCTGTTGGTTCGTCTGAGCTTTGAAAGCAGGTCATCAATGATCCCCGCCTTTGCAAAGCGGGGTTGCAGTAATGGTGGGCAGGAGAGCCACTTCGTAATACCTACTCCGGTAGCTTAGGCAGGACCTACTACCTTAGCAATCGGAAGTCAAATTTTGAGCGCATGTGAATTCCATCCTCAGATAAACATTTTCGCAGCTCGCTTAAGAGACAAAGCTAAATTGTTCTCACAATAGCTGGTAGGGTCCTAGGAGATACAGGCCTGCTTGACCCAGTCTGCCTATCTACACATCCTGTGCAGGAGTTTTTTTTTTCCTACAGAGAGTGCGTATGTGAGAAACGTCCCATGTTCAATTGATCTTGTTTGATAATACAACACCTAGTAGTCATCTTGGCAATCTACCCAAGCACCAGGCATTACCACCTCTTTTTTATTCTCAATTGTCCTCCAAAACTGGCATGCCATGAATTCATACTCCGGAGCCCATTTCAGTTTCCAGTCGCTGGGGCTCGGCCCAATATTCAGATCAATTATTCGAAGCGGCACCCAATATTGCTCGCCAGACATGTCGGTGCGCGTTATACGATTCACCTTTGGTAGTGGCTCTCCCTTCCTCATATTGTTCCGCAACATGGTCCGTGAATTTTCGATAGCGTCTGCATCAAAAGCACCTTTTGTGTTGTTCTCAATGGCGTGGAGAACTAGCAACTCCCGCTTCCCATATGCCAGTAAATCAATCCCAGCTGATTCCAAGAGTGCAAGCCACTGTTGAAGACAGCCATTAAAGTATGCATCCCAGTGATTGACAGGCGTGTCGGGGCAGAGATAGCAGAGCGCTCCGCCAATAACAGACGAAAGCGGAGTGCCTCTCCAAGCTGTCACTTCATAAGCGTCCCATGGCACAACCGTTTCCACGCAGGTGAGATCCTCAAGTGTAGCAAACTGGGCGGTCTTAATAACAAGATGTGCCCAATCTTCGTCATATGTTCGCATCCACACGTATGGCTTCATACACTTGTTTAATCTCTCGGGATATCGACACCCCATTGCCAAAGCTGCAGAGTGTACAAGAGATACCTTCTCGCAGCTTGATTGGGCAACGCTATTTTTAGTGATATTCCTGTCTTCTGAGAGAAGGCCCTTTAGAGTTCGGCAATCAATAACGTTAAATGCCCCGAGCCGGACGGCTTCAAGTCGATCCCTCAATGGGCGTAGATAATATTTAGGCATGAACAAATTTCGGAAATGGTGCAAGAGCTTGTCATCAGGTGCGAACGATCTTATGAAATCCAAGAGTCTTTCGGCAGGTAGAGAATCAGGTTCCTGGAGATATGACGCAAATAGTTCAGCTATCATCTGAAGATTCTTCTCCGGAGGGGCATTCTGTATGGAAAACATTTTTGACGCTATGGAGTCGATAGGTGATCTGTTATTCCACTATCAGCCATGCACCAGAAACTAAGAAGGGAAAACTGACGAGTTGCCTGAGGTATAATCCAGTAATGACACGAGGCCAAGTTGAAGTAAGAGTTGGCATATTTCGTACTGCTGATTGGTCGCCGCATACTTAGACAATTGTAAGTTTTTGGCCACAGTATGATAGATGGGCCATACAAACATGTAAAAGTGACCTCCCGTCCGTGGTACGGTCAAATGGCGACGCACTTCTGCTGCTGAACATTTGCCGAACGCCAATTAGATCCCCACAGCTGATCTTCCTAATCAACTCAGAGTCATCTGCGATTATGTTGTACACGCGATAGCTATATGTCCATCCTGCAATAGCTGGTGCTGATATAAATTCATATACTGATGTCGATATCCAGCTTGGTAGCTGCAGCTGGGCTTTCCAACCGCCGACCCCATTAGTGTAAGTTAGGGCGAATCGCGCGTATTGGGATATATCAAACGTCAAGAGGCTTGTCGTTTTCTTAGACCTTTCCATCGCCTTCTTGCTTCTAGGGAAGAATTCATCGACATCATTCTGGAACTGAGGCATTTTCTTGTCCTGTAGTAGCAGTGGAAGAGATTGTCGAGATGTTCTAACAAGCGTATGACGTTGGGGCTGGACCCGTGCTGCGGGAGCTTGAGAGCTTAATTTCCGAAGCATTGCCCTAGTTCTTTAACGTTAGAATATGGTTTATTTACAAGTAGATAGGTGGTTGGCTTTGTTCAAACGAAAGCCTTCAACCCACATCTGGTACGCTTGTATTGCCAACTGCAGAAAGGTCATGCACCGAGACATGCTCTGTTCAAGCCTCTCCACCACGGATTTATTGAGCATAATCTTAACAGTAGCATACTTGCGCTTGATACTCTTCTTTGCCTGCAGCTGTGTTCGCATATCGGCTACTAATACTCCCAATGAGTCATGTGCCTTCTTTGACATGTCGAGACAGTTTTTGAACGATGCGGAGACATTGTCCTCATTGAAGTGGTCCTCAATCTCTGCGAATATTGGTTCTAGGGCCTTGAGGTGCTCTACGAGCCCTGAAATCCCATCCGGGACGCCTCGAAATTCCTGCCATAGCTGATGAGTCTGGTAAATGAGCGTTGCCACACGTGGCACCGAATTTATCACATCGAGGTTGGTGGTCATGTCTCTCTGCTTCAGAAACTTAATGTAGAAAAATGACCGCGTGAGACGTGCTGGAAGGAGTGCAATGATCGCACGGTAGATCGACCGTAGGCAGAGAAAAGGAATGCATAGCAAATAACCGCTTCGGAAAAAAGGCTTGCAGTCTTAGGACTTCATTTTCGACAGCAGAAGCGAGCACCGCCTCTTTCTAGCCAGAGGCAGCAACTCATTTTTGTCTGTCAAACGTAGACGAGAAGGCTGTGGTGCGAGCGGCCTCTTACATGGGGCTGGAAAGAAGGTGGGCGGCAGGCAGGCAGAAGCAGAAACGATCAAATGGCATTGGCTGAGAGGCATGCCGCTGCATGGGCTGTTATGCTGTTGGGCCTTTTTCCCCCGTTAAGTTGGAGTGCAAAACGGAAACTGGGCGGCTCGGGCCATGTTTTATTCGCTCTTTGGGCGGGCAGACAGGGGGTTTGGGCCGCGAGAATGGGCCGGCATGGATACTTGAAGGTTTGAGAATTGGCATCCATCAGGGATGGTTTGTTGGATACGGCTCTCAAATGGAAATATGACTTCTATCACCAGGGGGAATAACAACGTTGCATGGATAAAAAGCGGTTTTACATGTATAATGATGGTAGATATGTCTTGACTTATCAGGTCAAATATTATGTATGGATATGATAAGCGGCAGTAGTAGCAATAGGAATAGCAGCGGCAATAGGAATAGCAGCGGTTAGACAAAAAGAAAGAAAGAGAGACAGTACCGTTAATAAAAGCAATACACTACTTCTACTTGTTCAAGCAGAATAGCTCACGTGGAAATGGCAGTGGTGTGTGGAAATTCAGGCCTATGTGTTGGTAGCTATCAAACATTCCCTATGATCCCTTTCCTTTTGGGCTCCCACTTGGCTGTGTATACCTCCGTAGCTGCATAACAGGTCTTCTTCCTCTCTTTCTACATAGTGTTCCGGGATACTACTTGCTAGGCTTCTGTCTCGTTTGTAATTGAATTTGTAAGTAAAGACAGCTCGTTTGAATGTTCCAAAGCGCAGCTTCCCGCAACGGTACTGCTGCAAAACGGCAGGATATTCGTAGCATGTCTCATGTAAGTGGTGTTCCACAAGCATCCCATCCTCCGCAAACACGAGCGAGCATCCCGAGAACCGTCTTACATAAAAAAATACAATTCGAACTACTGCATAGACAAGTAGAGCGTGAAGGTTGAAAATTGAAAATTGTAATAGCAGAGGCCAGAATAGCATCCTATTCGCCAGCTTATGTCTCGGGCCTCTCTGTCTGGGACTAATAGTTGGTTTAAGTGCCAATTTTAGGTGGTGTAACACAAACATGTATGGATCGGCAATAAGATCCTCAGGCTTCTTTTTTCTTACGATATTACTCTCGCCCTGCTCGGGAAGGCACGGCGAGATGAAAAATCACAGGCGCTCGGACTTTGCTGTGCCTATGATTTTGATTATGAAGGATTCTGCGCTGTGGGTACTGTATGACGGTCTACCCTGTGATACTGCACGAGTTTGCCTTAGTCGTAGGATCACCTGCAACATACACGAGTAGGTTTTGATACTCTCCGAGTAGTCATGTACGTAAGAGATATTAAGGCATAGTACAAGAGGTTTACAGTATTGATTGTTGATTGATAAAGCTCAATCTTATCAATGAACTTGCAGCCCCTGTAAACCAAACAGTGCGATGGATACCTCATACGATCCTAGCTAGCAACCGCAATTCAACTGAAGCCTAGTAGAGCCACATTTTGCTAAACATCAGGTTTATCAGGTTAGTCCAGATCGTCTCCCGCCTGTTTCAAGCAGTCCGTCGGGTCTTGGCGGCCTGTTGACGTAGCATTTTGCCACCAGCCAGATTGATGATGTCTTTTGGTGGGCGGCCCTTTGCGGAGGATTGGCCACTAACAAGTTTGAGAAGCACACCAAGCTGCAAGTGCTGTGCGCCGCCATCTACACGGTATCGCATGTAATGCAATGCTGCGAGATCGCACGCGTACATGGAGTATCTGATACTGCCGCATGTTTCTCTTTGTGTGTGCAATTGGCTGCTGGAACCTCGTATAATGAGAGTCTAGAAATAGACTTTTGTTGAGCAAAAGCTACGTGATTTCAACAATAGGTACTAGGTACTATTGTGTACATGACATGTACTAAAATGCATTGACACTTTTGTTTGTTCCTTTTTAGGGCTCAAAGACTGTTCAAGGACAGACTGTTCAAATACAGAGTAGAGTTCAAAGGCCGCACTCAAAGGCAACGGCTCAAAGCCAGCGTGTAAAAAGCTGCCTATAAAAGCGGTATCCGAAGCAGCGAGCAAATAATGAAAAGACTCAATGCAGTCATCATCAGTCCAGGAACAGGATCCAGCAAGTGGCGCCACGCTGACGGCTTAGACAGTACGAGTCCCCCGTCGGCGGATATACTGTGCTGCAGCCAATGTAACGCTTCGTACATACGAGGAACCTGGGCCAAGGCTGCCGGTGCTATTTAATCGGCCACGCTGCAGTCAATAGCGCGCTCAGCTACATCTACATGTGCCCGATATCTCGCCCCTTGGACTCGGCCCAGTCAATTGACCTCACCGGTGGCGACGATGCTGCCGCTCCCTCTGTTTGCCCTGCCTCATTATTAACCATCGCCGAAGAGTTGCATCCACGTGCACTCCAGAGCGATTCAAGCCCTAATCAAACCAGCACGGGCCTGGGACTCTTCGGAAAGCATTCCAATCGTTGCGTGTCAAGGCGTCAATTTAGACTCTGCCGCTGCGATTTAGCGGCTTGCAGCGCTCGATATTACGGCATCCAGCATTGCAGCACCCGGGCTGACGCTATTACTTACGGCGACCCCACCTGCGACCAACATTGAACTTTTTGATTTCGGAACTTGCATCATTTGAAATAATAAAACCACCTACCGACTTATCGCAATTTTCTCTTCCTCCGTCGTCTTCTTCTACTGCACACGTCTTTACGGCCTCTTCCCGATCTCTTACTACTTCGATCATCTGAAGCCGACTCTCTACCGTCTGGGCGCGCCAGTTTGGTGCCGCATTCCTCTTCGCCATGCCGAGCACCTCCAGCATGGCGTGGTCCAAGAGCACCCGCATCAAAATCATGATCGCCATCGACACGGCCTTCTTCCTGCTCGAGCTGATATGCGGCTTCCTGGCGCATTCGTTGGCGCTAACGGCTGATGCCTTCCACATGGTATGTTGCGCGATCCATCGTCACGTCGCCTGGATCCAGACATGTCGATACCAGGAGAGCAATCGCGCCATGCTAACCGTTCGCAGCTCAACGATATCATCTCTCTCGCCATCGGTCTGTGGGCAGTGATAGCGTCGCAAAAGGCCACCACCGACGAGTTTACCTTTGGCGTAAGTTTTTACATGTTCCGTGCAGACCAAACGTGAACACTTGCAGCTGACACCCCCTTGCCTGCAGTGGGTACGAGCCGAGATCCTGGGTGCCTTCTTCAACGCCGTCTTCTTAATCGCGCTTTGCGTGTCCATCATCCTCGAAGCCTTGACACGCTTTGTCGACCCGCCCGAAATCAACAATCCCAAGCTTATCCTTATTGTTGGCTGTGCCGGCCTGTTCTCCAACCTGCTGGGCTTTGTGGTCCTGGGGGGTCACGGACATGACCACGGACACGACCATGATCACGACCACGAACACGGCCATGATGACCACGAACACGACCACGATCATGAACATGAGCACAACCATACCCACGGAGACGGCTGTGATGCCGAACAGGGACGACACTTTGGCGGTGATATCGCTGATGAAAACGGCGCCATTGGTGACATCCTCCCGGAGGTGATTGTCCAAAGAGCCACCATGGCAGGCCGTCGAGCTAGCACCGACAGCCCCGAGACGGCTAGACGGATTCACTTTGGCGACGACTCTACAAACCGCGACGAATCCAACGGAGCCAGCCGCATGTCTGTCCAATCCAGGGGGCGAGACCACCAGCGCCGATCGAGCAGAGGTCATTCTCGCTTCACTAGCATCGAAGATATGAGCATCCACCCCGCCAGCTTCAGACAGGAAATTATCGCTGCTAGTAGAGCTGCATCGTCCAATGTTCATGCCGAAGATGGTGATGAGTCTCCCTTTGCAGACTCTGAGACCGAGGCCAATGAGGAATCGGCACTTCTCCCGGATGGAAAGTCAAATCTTTCTTACTCTACTGGTTCGGCTTCTAAGAAGCAGAGCGCAAGACGAGACTCTAGCGTGCACCATGGTCACAACCACACTCTTCCGAGACAGGCTGGCGCCAAAGTCAGTGGCCATAACCATGCCGACATGGGCATGCATGCCATGTTGCTTCACGTCATTGGCGATGCACTGGGAAACGTCGGTGTCATTATAACGGCGCTCGTCATCTGGCTCACCAACTGGCCCGGCAAGCTCTATGCTGATCCGGCAGTCTCGCTCGTCATTACGGCTATTATCCTCAAGACGTCGATTCCTCTGACTCTTGCTACTTCACGTGTCTTGCTCCAGGCCACTCCTGAAAACATCCGTATCCCGGAAATCCGCCAGGATATTGAACAGCTTCCCGGAGTCGTCAGCTGCCATCATATCCACGTCTGGCAGCTCTCCGATACAAAGATTGTCGCCAGCATGCATCTCCAAGTCTCCTTCCCGATTAACACACACAGCGGAGAGAAGTACATGCAGCTGGCCAGGCGCGCTCGGAAATGTCTTCATGGCTATGGTATTCACAGTGCCACTATTCAGCCCGAGTTTTGTCTTGATATTAAGCATCAGCACAACGGCGAGGCACCGGCATTTTCACTTGACGGAGCATCTGATGAACAAATCAGACCATGCCTTCTAGAATGCGTTGATAACTGCCAAGCACAAGGGTGCTGTATGGTGGATACGTCGTCAGCCAGCTCGACTCGAAGAGCTAGTGAATCTTCACGCAGCGAGGGCGCTCAACATGACCACCAACATTAAACATTAAACATTAAACACGACCTGTTCTCTCGACCCGTTTGCGTAGGATGACTGGGTTGGATAATGAGTTGAAAAGCCAACAGCGAGCTTACTATGCGACTTTATCAACGCATTTCAGACTTTACAGTGTGGAATATGTGCTTGATCTAACCCAGCTTACTACCATTTTCCCCCCTTACCAGTTTTTTAATAGTTATCATTTGGCTCTATGGTTTTACGGATGGCTGGCGTTGTGCTTTGGGCGATGAAAACAACCCCAAAGCTGGCTAGATCTTTCTTTTTGTCTTTCTTTTCTACAAAGCATGTATTAATTTTGTTTCTTTCGTTTTCCTTCTCACGTTTAGAGAAGTGGATTTGATTATTTAGAGCGTGGTACAGCGTCATAGGGAGGCGACACAACGAGCCCAAAAGGAGGAATTGGGGGATCACTTGTTTGCGGAAGAGGTGGGTTCATCTGTACCAAAGAATTTAATTAGAGGGGAGATTGCAGTTTGGTGATTTGAAAAGGGCACGCTCGATGGGTGCTTTCTTTTATCACATTAGGACAGCGGCGTTGGTTGAAAATACAAGGAAAAGTTGCGAGAATTGAGAACTTTCGGCATGGGAGCGTTACATGATAAACATATCGTCCTGTTTTGGACATGGCTTGTTGTAGTATGTGAATCGTTTTGAATATTTATACGGCCTGTGATAATCCCACGTGTTCGACGAGAGTGGTTTCTTAGAAGAGAGAGGCATCTACTGAACATTAGGAATAGTTGAAGCATAATTTTCAGCCGCCTTTATGGAACAATTACGAACAATTGGCATATATTTTCACCTTTCGGCACAGTCGTCATCACCTTTATGATAGCAGGCTGCATCAATCATTGTGCTTCGTACAAGCCTTGTACTGCTTCATTTGCATATCACTTCACTGTCTTTCGTTAGCAAAACACACATAATAGAATAACCTTCGTAGGAGATGGCAGAATGCTCATCTACAGACAAGTACTTCGTAGTAGCACAACGGATGTGCAAGCATCTAAATACTTCTATAATTAGAGTGTATAGACACCCCAGATGTTGTTCATTCTCGGTTGTATAAGCGAGAGTGACAACTTTATACGACACGAAGCAGAGCGGAGAGCCCTGAGACGAGGCGAAGTGGGAGAAGAAAGGTGCCAGACAATCTGGCATCTCAAAATAGCAGAGCTTATTCTACATGCGAGGCACCATCACAAAATCTGAAAATAGCTGACGGCGGTGGCTGTATAAGCACAAGTGAACGATTCATGTCCCCTTCTAGCGGTGTCTACGGTATTCTCGGCTCTTTGGGTTATAGAGTGGTAGACTCTGAGTAGCCAATCTTGAACCCCTATTTTCCATATTGCTGAGGTGATCAGAGAGCAACCTATTACAAAGTACCATTACTTCACTAACCATCCCTTCGTATGAGCCTGCATGCAATATGCAGAGGACAACTCATATCGTTCAGCTCGGGATATATATGGAGACAGGTACTACAAGAAGCATCATCAGCTCCTCACCGATGTAGTGGCAAGAGATGCGTTGTACAGCCAAGAGGTAAGAAAGCGTTAGTACTATCAGCAGTCAGCATATAAGTGATCAGGGACTGTGATCCATGGATAACCGGTGAGGCTGGACCCGGCGAGCTCCGCCTGCATGTCTCATTGGTCCCGAATCCCACGATATCACGAGCTGAGAGGGTGAGAGAGGCGCTTAGGTACACTCCTTGCGTACTTGCAGTTCATAGTATCGCTCGACTGGACCAGGAGCCCCAGCAATACATTCACATCCAGTCCTCTATGGAGGAGAACCAACGTGGCTTCGATTGTCTGGCATAGCTATCCTGGAAATATGGAGCAGTGTTACGTACGAATACTCCGTGCTCCCTACTAGACTAAGTGTTAGTAACGGCACGAGTAATACGGAACAATAACGGCAGCGATATGGAAGCAGACAAGCATATGCCTTGGAGCAGATGCCATCGACACAACCCTAGAGCTCAGGGAACTGGGCCGTGAGTCTGCACGAGCCATCCACGAGCCAAGAATAGCCATGACAGACGTCAAACCGGCCGGACAAAGCGAGATTAGCTTCTGAATCAGCAGGATTCTGGACAAGTCAAAATCACAGACGGATCCTCGTTGATCGGGTGTTCAGTTGCAGGCAGGGCTTCGTCAACGAACGACGTTGGTCCAGGAATTCCGCCCAAGTCGTAACCCTTCCCTTTCAGACGGGACGGCCCCCGTGTCTCTGCTTGACTAGGGTTGAGATGAGGTGCCACGACATGGTGTCTCCTGGAGCAGCTGCTGGGGGCTTCCCTGTCCGCTCTTTGATTTGAAGGCTTGAGGGATGGACAGACGGCAATCCATTATGTAGGGAAGCAGCTGGAACAGAAAACACGAGATATAAAAAGCAAACATTCAAAGTTATGCTTGTGCTCGCCAGCATCATTGTTCTCCCTTTAGCACGTATCAGGGTGATTAATCGTAGCCAGGGTACCCAAAGCAGCTGGTGCCACGGCAACTCGTAACAGTGCTAGTGATTCCATGGTCCATGGTCCATGGCATTATGCATTGAAACTAGTAGCAGTAGTACTACACTACAGTACTGCCATTACCAGAACACACACTTTTGCAGTGCTTGGCGTGATCAAGCGGTGTTATTCAATATGGCCGAAGACGCTCGAACTCCCTCATTCGACGTATCCATCAGCTCCGTATCGTCCGCAATCGAGATTTCGATGGCAAGGGGGCAAGTCAGGAGAAAGACTTCGGAGAAACGGGGCGTCTCGCGTCGTCAATCGCATTCGGGGCAGCTGCTCAAAGCGGGAACAGACGAGCTCTTTGATTGCACAGCAATTTGATACGCCCGTCCCAGTTCCCTGCTCATTAGCCGCAGATGCGGGCAGAAGCGAAGGGGGCGCCATACTTGTACCAATATGCGGGTGGGACACTGCTGGTAACGTAGCTCGTAAAAAACACGGAGTAATCGGGAGCAGTCGTCGCATCCAATGCCGTCGACGTGATTGCAATATGCTGTAAGGCGATAAGGGGAAGCCAATAGTTGCTGTGCTTTGTATTTGTTGCCTAGGCTTCGTGCCTGGCAGAGCCGGGAGAATGCTTGACGCAAAGGATAGGAGGCCGAAAGACTGTACTTTGCAGCTCCGCAGTAGCAATTTGTGCTCCGTATTCGAAATGAAGCCGGGTTGTGGAGAACAGAGTAGTAATTGGCCTGGGGTAGTATGTCATGATGCCAAAATAGGAAACGCACATTATTACGGAGAACACCCTTCCGCTGTGATGAAGGAGCGTACAGTCATCTAATTATGTTTGAACGTGGATTTCTTGCAGCTGGTATCTTGGTGAAGCAGCGTTGGATACACGATAGAGTACGGCCGCGAGGATTTGTTCATCTTATGCAGTAGGCATTTTGCTGGTTAGCAGTAGCTCGACACGGCTTGCAGAAAGCCACAATCGGACGGCTAGCTTTGAGTTCTACTGTACTTGTACTGGCTGTACTTTTCATCTGGTAGTGTCATCTGGTAGTGAATCGGCGACTGGCTTGTGCCAACAAGGCCACACTAGTGACCCCTTAGATCTGACGGCAATATTGGCTTGATAATTGCGCCAGGCCCAGAAGCACTTGTAGTGGAGGGAGTGCTCCGAGGCGACTTTCGCAATCTGCTACCTCCGATCGGATCTGGGGATCGCACCGAAGAGGGGGGCAGGTTTGTCATTTCAAAGAATATTATGTCAGTGCCAATTTGGGAAGCAGGACAAAAGTCGGTATGGAAGGCGAAGGATGCCGCATGTTGAGGCGCCGCACAGCCTTGGAAGGTCCATGCCCAACATGACCGATGCAGCCGTCTCATTCCGCCTCATTTTGGCCCCCTCTGCACGCTTGGAGACGGATATGATACTAGTAGTCTGCGTCTGCTCGGCTGAAAAATCTGGCTACTTCGAAGGCGCAGTGCGGATCATGGACAACCGACAAAATCGTACGTTTTGTTCGGTCTTGTTTCGAGACGATCCCCGCAGGCTTGCCAGTGCTCAGCTGAAATCTAGCCTTATCTGACTGGTGGCGTCGTGGCTAATTTATGCTGCATTGTCAGCCAGGCCGTGATAGGACGAAAAGTAACCAGTACGTTTCTCCATGTCCAGCTTTCATCACCGACGGGAGCTCTCATAGGCTGGCGCACATCAGAGCTGACGCCGAGCCTTTCCTATCACTTGCACAATTGGCATTGCTTCAGGGAGATGGTATTTCAAGGCATATTGCTTCAGCGAGGCCGGGAAGAGCGATTGGCGCACCAAACAGCGATATGGCTACTGGCCACTGCAACCATATTGCCATGCCATCATGCAGAGCATCGGAGGGACAGAGCATAGACAAGCTCGCAGCTTGGGGGTGGTATCCTGTCGCCAAATCACCCAAAACAGCTTCCGTAGGCCCTACAGGGCTCAAGGAACTCGTCTATGCAACCATATCTGAGACGCCGGCGTCAGGCAAGGCCTGAAAGCATCTCTCGACAGAGCAAATCGATGCGAATGGCACATTCAGAGGCTCTGGAGGTGCATTGTCGCTTCCATCGTCGGTGTTTGTAAGGTTGAAGTTTTGCAAGCCCTCGGGTTTTCACCGTAACTCATATTTTTTCCGCATCGGCGTGCCTGGACTCGGCAAGCTGCGGGTACCGCCTTCCTTGGTTGGCCACCTTCTCGTAATAGCCCATACATACAAGTACATACGGCAGGTACGGAGCACCACTCTTGGCTCCGAAAGAGAGCAAGTGCAAAGGACGCATGGACGTGCTGCTACTGCGGCTTGTACCGCTACTCGTGCTGGTAACCCGTGCTCGAATCTGCTCCCTCACATGCATCAACGATTTTTTTTTTTCTCGGCTCCTCCTTTGCTCCATTCAGCACATCTGGACCGAGACTCGGGCCACGATTTGCCAATTGGCGGAGCTAGACGGGGTTTAGAGTAGGGCCAATGGGCTGCAACGGTACCGGTAGCTACTTGCACAACCAGATGGAAGAATTCTTCTAGGGAAGATATTTAAAGATACGCCTCTCGCTTGGTTGATATTGCGTAAAGGCACCAGTGCTTCAACGTCCGATTCCTTCAATCGAACTCCAAGTAGTCCCCTACCGGCATAATTACAAGCTGTATGGCTCGATAGTAAATGTACTAGGCAGTGGTCCTCTCTAACAGCAGTCTGGACTTTGGCACTTTAGAACCAGTGGATGCGAATGCCCCATTGGCATTGTCGCTTGCTAGACGTCATTCTGGCCTACTAGCTTAGCTTCCACAATCAATCTCGCCCCTCTAATAGCGTCTGGTCCAACAAAGTGGCCTTTGGTCTTCTTGCAACCACGCCTTGCACCTATCGCCTAGCTGCCTGGCGCTCAATTGGAGGCCGAGGCAACATCACCGAAGCCCGAGAGTTTGTATTTGCGCATTGGACTCCTCTCCGCGGCAGTGGGAAGCTTACAGTGGTTGTTTAACCTTGAGCACGACGCCAACGCTTGGCTTGACAAGACAAGACAAGGAACAGGCTTCAGCATCTTTAGACTCGACTTGGCCAGGATTTGCTCTTCCCGAAGCCCCACGCCATTTTTTACGCTATGTGTGCTACGAAATCGGAACGGCGTTAGTATCCAATGGCTGCCGCTTATACCGTGACCTTTTCGCGTTCATGTTCATCTTTCTGTCTGATGGGGGCTTGATCCTTGCGTGTTGCGGCTGGCGTACTCTACATGTACTTGTAAACCATTGACGTTGCTCAAAACCAGCCTAAAGATTAAGAGGAGTAGCTATATCTCTCGTTTCTTCGGCATCCCCCATAAGTAAGGTAGCTGGCTACTTCTAGTGCCTAACAGCAACACTTGAACAATCTAGCTTCTGTATAAGTCTTGTAGTACTGTAGTAAGTAGTAGTACAGTATATAGGTACGTATTCAAACTTATGCCAGATTCAAGAATCTCGCCCAATCACCCAAAGGTGGGACTATCACAAAAAGCTACAGTATTTCTTCTGCGTCCTGTCAGAAAGCTATCGATCCTCCCACCATTCATACATCATCGCTGTAAAGACGGTGTGACCATCATATATATATAGCAGCGTTCACTGCATAGCCTAAAACTCGGTGCCTTTTTCACGCTCTTGACACCTGTCCTATGTGCTGCAGGAATGCCCACGCCGAGCTTATAAAGTGTGTAGCACCAGTAATCAATCATCTGCAGCATGCTCAAACTTGCCTTTCCGATGCAAGGCCGACGCCTAGCCCCACGCACCTGGCGACGGGATCCGAGATTCCAGTCCAATGGGGCCCCTGGCGTATCGCGCTCTTGCATGCATCTTGTACATGTCCTAGCCAGAGCTTGGCTCCGTAGAGGGGCAGACGCGACGCAGTAGCACATGGTCGCGCCTCGAATCGGCGACCAGCTACTGTAATGTCATTGGCAGACGGGCTTGTCAGTCTGCCTCTTATGTATGTACGTGTATGCGTCAGCGAGGCACCCGCAACAAGCCGGACCCGAACGTATATGCACATACATTCTTTTAGAGGGGCGCTGCTGCGAACCACGCAGTAGTAGCATTGTAGTTAGTGGTAAGAATCTCCGCGATTGGGGAGAGAGAAATTTTCTGGTAAAATGAGGGGAGGCAATAACGTTGTGTGGTGGCTTTCTAGCTATGCACGGAGTACATTGGCATACTTACACGTGCTCTCTTCCCGAGAGAGGCTATTCGGAACGGATTGAGGTGAATTAGTAGCTCCTAATCGTAATAGTCAATAATCATACTGCCTCAACCGCAGCTCACGCTGATGGATGGCTCACGGCCGACGGGGTGCCGGCCACCGCCGGGCTTTTTGGCGCGTGGCTGACGGCGCCCCGGCGCTCCGGTTATTCTCTCGGGGTCGCACGCGCGCGACAGCCCCGGAGACCGGAGGCGTCTTTTGGCCTCGCGGCTGGGCTGGGGGTGACGAGTCTGGCTGGCGTTTGGGCGTTTGCCTCATCGCGTTGCTAGCCATGTAGGAGAGCGTGTCGTGGCGGCGGCTATTGTCTTTGAGCATGGAGAATGCCTGTGCAGCCAACATATCTGCCGGGGGGTCTGCTGCAAGCGACATCCTTGCTCATATTCGTCGCCTACCCAGGTATACTGTATGTGTCTTCACCTCTTTACTAATGCCTTTGGCTGTACATTATGGAGTATGCGCGCATATACCTACATGTATTCGTACTTGTGCCGCCGCAAAAGCTTACAGTCGACCCGTTGATTTGGCTAATATGAGACCGTCTTACCGCTGTTGTACCAAGTGAACGCCCATATAGGTAATGTTGGCCCTTTGCTTTTATCATACTTTAGATAGCACAGGCACACGAGAAGGCTCTTCAAAGGCTACAGCCGAAAAAGAAGACACATCAATGGGCACTGCCGCTTTGGGCACCCACCGAGGCTACATCAAGCTTGCATCCACGCACGACGCTATTAAGTTCATTCCTAATCGTCAACGGCCCTGTCCCGCCTTTATTCTGTAAGCTGCTGGCAGCGGTGAACGCTGCATATTGCTATATTGCTAGTGGCATGGGGGTATTACCTCAACTGGTAGATGACAAGCCAGACTGGGTAAAAGCTGTCACGACGCACTGACAATTAGTAGCACCATTAAAAAAAATTATATTGCGTTTTTTCACCGCGGAAACCGCTCTTTTTTGGGTGGTACTGTAGTGGAATTGTGTCTGCCAATCGGCAGAAAGAAGTTTTTTTCTCTTTGTGTCCTCCACAAGCTTACGGGTCAATATGGATGCTTCGGGAAGACCGCTTTTTTTTCAACACGCCAGCTCCCCACGTAGCAAGCCATTCGGTATACCATTTTCCCACTTTCCTTATCTGCATATATGGCGAAGCGGCGAGCAGTGCGAAATGCTCTGCATGAATCCGCAATGCTGCCTAGTAGGCTGAGAGAGGTTCATAGTTGGGTATCTAGGAAATCCCCCAAAGGCAATCAAATGCTAAAGTCTATTTTGAATGATGACTGCCTGTTGCCTACTGCACCAGTACGATTTCGGAATTGTAGGATATTGCTCCAAGAGCGCCGTGATACAGACGCTCATCTGACGATTTGCCCTTTTTTCTTCATTCCCGCCCCCTCTTGTGGCTCACATTTCGGGGTCCGATCTAATGGAACTTGGATTGGTGCCGAGTGCGGAGTAGATACATCGTGCCCGAACAAACTACCTCAGATGGAGGTATCTACGCACATTATTGACGTTTAGGTTGGGGGTCCCAAGGCAGGGCCTCTTAGTAATGCAAGGACAAATGTTTGACGCCTCTTCTTCCCTTCCGCGGATACTCTTGCATGTACAGAGTGGGATGAGCGGGCTCCATATAACGAATGAACCGGCAAAGGCGCTTGAAGCCCCGGCGTACGGGAAGCTTTACGTAGTTGATACAGAGTCTTAGACCCGATGGGGCGGATGAAAGGCCCCCCATGAGACTAGTCGCCCTGACACACCCAGTCGTTCGTTCGTTGCTTCAAAAGGTTTTGCATTCCCTTTATCACATTTGGGAATCACACCGATACGCATGGTATATATGAGAGTGGCTTGCAGCATATCAATTGACATCCCTAATCACACTCCTTGCTCCATCAAAGCCCCATCAAAGCCACACAAAAAGTAACACATCGCTACGTTGAAAAACAGCGACTTGTCATTAGCAGAGCTTCCCCACCGCCTTTAAGCAAACGCCACAAAAAAAAAGCGAGCAAGGGTTCAATTTGCCTTGTTTCCTCTTTCGGAGAGCTCTTCAGCCTCATCTTCATCTGACCCTTCCAAATTCAGAAAGCTTCTAGAACAACAGAATGGCGCTCCCCCACTTCTTTCTTTTGCACTCTCTATTAGTGCATGGCGTTGTGCTATGAATAGTACCGATTTACGCAGCATTGTGCACATGCAATGCAGCATGTAACATCTGTACGCCCGTCACAAGAGCGCATCCAAGTAGGAAAAAAAGCAAGATTGACGCAATGCACATGCAGTCACGTACTAGCTAAACCCTCGGTATCTCTCCGCCAGTCCGTCACCCAACGCTCAACCAAAAAGATTGATAAAAATTTGCTTGGAAAATTTTCATTCTCCGGGACAACGAGCCGCAATATCCACTCAATCAATGCCTCTCAGCAATTTTCTGCTTGTCGTAACTTCGTACGATTTCCGCTGCAGAGCTGTTTAGCGCGACCCAGTGGTTCCCTCTCGTTGCTGGACACAATACGGGGCCACTACTGCTAGTTCCCTGCAATGGGACGACCCACAGGCATTTCACGCCCCCAAGCCAAAACTACCGGCAGTGAGGGCCGTCTGGATCAAAATCATTCTCATCATGGGTGTTATTTCAAGGGCATTTTATCGTGAAAAGAGGTAAAATAAGAAAAGAAAACTTTTCTCCCTCACTTGATATCACTCCACTTTTGCAACGCTGGTCGGTTCTCCCTGCCTATGCTATCTGCAAGAG